GTATAATCTTTAATAGACTTCGAATTCCAAAAGAACAGTATTAACAATGTAATCGATTTGTAATTCATTAAAATTAATCGTGATCTTTTGTACTCCTCACTTTGTTCAATGCATAATGTCTGTCAAATACATGAATTTCATTTGAATTCGAGAAGAACAAACATATATAGTTTCATTTCCATTCTAAACTGATCTCATAGCAGACATCAATAAATGATAATTTTTTCTGTCGTTTCCTAGGATCCATTAAAGCATTATCAAATAGCATTCCCATGGAAGCAATAGAGGTAGCTTCAATCTCTTTTGTCATATTATTCCAAATATAGAACTGCTAAAAAGTATTTCGATGTCTAAGTAACAGGGAGTGTAAATTTTGTGAAACTTTTGTTAAGGAGTGGAGAAGGATTGATAAATTTCTTTTCTTGAGCATCTGTCTAAATACGTCCTTACGTCTATATACAACCTGACTGATTTATGGTATTTTACACATTTTCATGGCTTTCTAAGGATTTCGAAATACATTGAAAAATCTAGAAAAGCAGTTGAAATATTTCGAAACACAAATTCGGAAATACATGTATGTTTTGTTCTCTTTTGGTTCTCACCTGCATACATGTGATGCTGTTAAACATTAAAGCGCTATGCAAATCACACTGTATGTAACCCACTGTATCATGACTGAAATATGCTTTTTTTTATATCTTCAAGCAACATGTTGTCAAAAGTGAAAATATCACTCATGAAATCTCTTAAAGGTACAAGGAACTCGAAGCTCTTCAGATGCTTTTGCAATGACACTGAATATTTTCAAGAACTTTCATCAGTATTTTAAAGACTTTTCAGAATTGTGTAAATTTTTTTATACTTTTTCAAGACTATCTATAATTTGCTTATATATCGTGATATTTCAAGAATATTCAATGCGATATTTCTACCTTTCGCTAACAGAAAGTATCAAAAACAGCTAGGTTAATCAGATTACATAACGTGGACTATTCAGAAATAGATGTCATTGGTCCTATAAATTGAATAGCACACATCAACATAGCTAGTTTATTCTGGTCGTAACACTTTTAGTAGTAATATGGATCGAAAATCAACTAACATCACAATAAAAGTTCAACTAGTAGTAGTTATGTGTCCAGTCTATCATCATTATGGTATAAATCATTGGCAATACAGCTGCAAATACTTTGCCCGCTTACCAGATGAGTTACATGTGAGAATTTTGAATATCTTTCAAATCAATTTCAAAGTAAGATCTTGCGAAATATTTCAAGAAAGATTGAAAAACTTTGAAATCATTTAAATTGACCTGAGAAAATCTTTATTCCACGCCCACATTCGGAATAGACTCAGTCATAGGGAAACAAATGTGACAAAAGACTCCATAATTAAAATGTCCTATTTGTGTCTCACTCAGAGCTTATAAAAAATCATTCTATAACAGATAAGCAAAATAAACGAAAATCCGCTTTCTTGGGCAGCATTTAAAATTGCTGTCTTACTATTTAGTATTCGTTGACTGCGGAGTGCTACACTCATATATATATTCACAAAACAAACAAAATAAGAAGATAAATGGAAGACTTTTTTATATGAGTGAAATAGAAAAAAATATACGGTAAAACCGAAGTATATGTCAATCCTTATTCTGAACATCACATTTGTATCTGATATAATAAAAAAATCGAGCAGATACATGCAAAACTATATACGAAAAGTTTTGATGCATATATCATTTACATTTGTGGTGGCATTACTTCGTATGAATCATTTCGTAAAAAATTAAGGATAAAGTTATGAAAGTAAAAATGGCTTTACTATTTACTTTTACGTTTATTTTATAAAGATAAATTAGAGAAAATCTTTATTTTTATTTTTTAAATTCAAATATTTTATTTATATTTCTTGCTTAATATAAAGGTACACTCTAAATAAAAATGTGTCGGATGTGTCATAAACTACGACACATTCAAACACGACACGAGGTGTTCGTTGCGACACATTCTGTCCAACAAGACGACGACGCATTTTTCACAACACATCCGACACATTTTCTATTGGTTGTTTTCGAAACGCATATTTCAATATTTTTTTTTATTTAATTTAATATATTTCCTTATTTTTTGAAAATTTAATCTCATCAGATCCTCAGATCTGACTGATTTGGCATTGATCCTATTCCCATCAGACCATCCAGTGTAGCCCTTCCCAGATCCAGCAGTTGCAGAATGCCTACCCAGCAGAATTCAAAATTCTGTTAACTTATAATATTTTTCAACAAATCAATGCTTATGGAATAGAATTCTACAGAATTCTATATTGCTAAGATTAAAGTATATCAATTTGGCTCTTCATATGATATTAGAATTCTACTGTCACTTATTTGAATTCTGGTTAGAATTATATTGTAGCTTGTTTGAATTCTTCTCAGAATTCTATATTCCTAAGATTATAGTATATCAATTTTTCTCTTCATATGATATTAGAATTCTACTGTAACTTGTTTGAATTCTGGTTAGAATTGTACTGTCACTTGTTTGAATTCTGGTTAGAATTCTACTGTCACTTGTTTGAATTCTGGTTAGAATTATATTGTAGCTTGTTTGAGTTCTGCTCAGAATTCTATAGAATGTTATGGTAATGTAATATGTTTTCTGTAAACAAATGCGTTGGATATGTTGTTCGCTTGGCACAAATTCCTAGGATTAAAGTTGTTTTCGTAAATTTTATGGATAGAGGATAGATTTTATACGGAATGAAGGGAATCTAAATCGTCTAGTTTAATTGAAAACATCGACACTTCTAATTTATTTCAAACTTACTGGCGTCTCTGGTAAACGTGAAATTTATACACAGCAATGTTCTGCGCGCGTATCTTCCTGCTTCAAAAAACAGACTGGCAGAACATAGCGCGTCTATTCAAAGGCAACTTTCCTAGTTATTGATAATATAAAAAAACTGTTCGTATAACTGTTTAAGTGCTTTTGTAAGATAAGCTATATGTAGTTTTATTATAAAGAAAAGAATGAAATTACAAAGATACGAAACAACTTTTTCATTAAATAACTTGTTTAATTCTACAATCCTGACTTTAGCGTGTACAAAAACATTTCATTCTCAATAATGCATGATATTGTTTCATGTTTGATATACATGCCAATGTAAATGTTTCTTCTTTTCTCTCGTTTCATGATGTAATCGTGATCAACTATCCTCGATGTGTATGAATTTCTTCTCTAGACATGCATGATTAAAAAAAGAAATCTAGAGATGAACAAACAACCATCATTATATCAACATCTTTTTACAAGCATACTCCTCAACAGTTGACTACAATAAATCACACAAAACCTTTCATTTTTATATAAGGATTTGAGCTTTGTATTCTGCTACTACCGATAGGATTCTATTTTATATTCTGCTGGTCTTTTTAACTTCTCGATAAGAATTCATTCTAGTTACCGTTATTTCGTATTTTTATACTGATAGTTGGTATAATTGTGCTACTACCGATAGAATTCTATTTTATATTCTGCTGGTCTTTTTAACTTCTCCATAAGAATTCATTATAGTTACCTTTGTTTCGCATTTTTATAAATTACCGATACTTGGTTATAATTCTGCTTCTACCGATAGAATTCTATTTTCCACTTATGGTAGTGTGTATGTTTATATTATGCTACTTTTTCGCTATGTACGAAATAACAGAATTCTGAATTCTGCTGGTTAGGTATTCTGCAGGCCCTCCGCAGATCATGGATCGGGATTGTGAACAATAGAGGATGTCCATGCATTATTGGCACAGGGATGGCATTTCCTTGATTGAAAAGCAATCAAGAATTAATTTAAAAGAAAATTTTATTTTGAAAACTTATCTTTCATGCGTTCAGTGATGCTGTTTATATGTCGCTGTATGTTCAGATCAAAATAGTGAACGACTAGTCGACAGAGAAAACGCGAAAAATATACGACACATCTTTTTTAATTATAAGTGTGGCAAAACAATTCGCGACACATTTTTCTAATAGAGAACACAACACAAAAATTCGCGCCACATAAAGTCGACGCATTTTTATTTAGAGTGTATATAGAGGTGAAGTAACACCCCTATTTGAGGGTGAAACTTCTGTGCTAACGTCTATGAAATTTCAACGAATATTTTCATTCATTCAATAGATTAAACATTTTTCTTTTCTTTCTTCAGAAAGTGATTTCCGTTTTCTTGTCTCCTGTTGACTTCAAAACATATATTCATACCAGAGTTGGACAAGTCAGAGATTTTCCAAGTCACAAGTCAAGTCAGACTTGACTTGACTTGACTTGACTTGTGGCATTTTTGACTTGACTTGCCCCGCGCTGATTCATACTATCCAACCCTGTATCGCTAAAATCTAGGAACAATGAAACAGAACACTACATTTAGAATTCGTACTTGAGTCTCTCTTACACATAGACATATTAGATATCAATTCTATACTTATTCTTTTCTATATAAATCCAAACATAAGAATCACATCTTAAATCTATATTGTAGGAGGCATAAACAGATCATCTCAATTTTCCGGCGACAAAAACATATTATTCCACCGATACCAATTTTAAAAAAGTTCTCTCAAACGCAATATTTTACAATATTTATTCGTTAACTCACCACTAATAAGAAGGTTCTTCATCATATAGAGGTCTCTTAGTGAATATAAAGTCTTGTGAAAGATCCACTGTAAAATAGAATATTCCGCTTGAAATACTGGAAATAAGTCAACATTGATAGCGAAAGGTTCTTCTAGATATAGAAAGATGGCGCATTGAGTGAGAAAAATTCAAGAAAAATTTGGTAGCATTGAGAAGAAGGTTGTATAAATCACATCCGATGAGTTCGTTGTCGTTTTGCTCGATTAGTAGCGTCCTTCATAACTTTAAAGGATTTTTTGTGAAATGAACATTTGCTAGATCTTTATAATAGCTCTCTCTTCAACATATTATAGACTCTGAATATGGCAATGCAAAGTGGTCAAGAACATCATACATTGAAACTAAATTATAGCTCAGAAACATTAACAAAAGGTTTAGGTTTCGAGTTTCAAAAAGGTGATATAGTATGTGCATCATATCCAAAATCAGGAACAACGTGGTGTCAACAAATTGTTCATCAGCTTCGTTCTAAAGGGGACATGAACTTTACCGATATAAACAAGGTTGTTCCATTTATTGATGCTGCATCCGATCTTGGCGTAGATCTGAAATCCGATCAAGCTGAATTATTCGCTCCACCGAGAACATTTAAAACACATTTTAGTTGGGAATGGATACCAAAAACATTATCCAAAAGTGACGAATTGAATGCTCACTATCTATATATTACTCGTGATCCACATGATGTTGCCTGCAGTGCCTATGAATACTTCAGTGATGTAATATTCTCTTCTGATGAAATTTCACCAAGCAAATATGTCGAAATCTGGAGCACACCTTCGCATTCACATCCAGCAAGAAAAGCGGGTCCTATCCCCCATGTTGCTAGTTGGTATCGAGCAGCACAGCTCTATCCTAAAAATATTCTATTTTTATTCTATGAAGATGTACAAGATGATTTAGCTGGTGCCGTACGGAAAATAGGAAACTTTGTTGGGTTGAATGATCGTGAGGATTTTGAAGAAAGAATCAAAATTGCTACCGACCAATCATCGTTTAGTTTCATGAAAAAATACAACGATGTATATAATAAAGAATGCAGCCCCATTAAAAAGCATTATAGTTTCATTAACAAAGATCGAACAAATAAAGGTGTTATGGGACGTGGTCGATCATTTTTTGGCGATGAAATATCGAAAAAGTTGGATGGTATTATTCAAACCCATTTCAATAAGGAGTTTGGAAATCATATTAACACGTATGCTGACTTTCGTAACTTGGCAAAAACAAACCCAACTTTGAATCTTTTTCTTCCGTGTAATGGTAACTATGAAAAAAATTGATAGTCATTATATGGATGATTCACTTGTATATTTAACATGTTTAAAGTCATATCGTGCACATTGAATATCGCCAATCTAACTGTGTAGAGCTGAGCTGACTTCCCTAATTTTCGAAGAAAACTATCGCCTGCCATCAGTAGAAAAGAGAAAATATTGAACGCACAAAATAATATACTTAAATTCGTCATGTAAGAAAAATACTCTGAGCACAATCCTCACAGAATTAAAATGCAAGACACGATAAGCCTGCTTTTCTCGAGTTGGTATTGTATTCGTAAATAGATTTTTTATTTTACTGTCAAAATAAGAATGTTTTGCAGAATGCATTGAAATCATCATATTTCGAGATCATAGACGCATGTACATTCGACATTATAAACCCAAAATAGTTATTTTCTCATCGATTGAAGCTGTTTATGAACGTTATTCTCAGTAAACATAGTGTTTTTCTGTGTTGAGTACTCATGGAATCTATATTATGTACTATTCCCTGTAATCACATGTATTTGTAGCAATACCCATGTAAATATTTTTTGCCTCGAAACGCGTCTGAAACGCGTTCCATTTGCGTGCGAAACGTACAGAAGCGAACGCGTCTAAATGCGTCTCCAGTGNGTTCAGATGCGTTTCAAAATTTTTCTAATTGCGTCTCAATGCGGTTCATACTGAAAACTCATTGGAACGCATTATAAAACCGTTTTCCGCGTTTCAACGCATCGATTCTGCGTTTCGTGTTTACATGGGTAGCCTTGCGTAAAAGTTATATTCAAGCATTTTTAAAACGTAACTTCTTCTAAAAACCTTAAATATGATTACTCCGTAAATTGTGAATTAATCAGATAAGAGGATTGATAATCTCGACGGGGCGATCATAAAAGTGTTATATAATTCTTGTGTACACGAATAAAGAACATCGTTCATTAGTTATTGTATGATTTGTTTCAATTTTTCAATTTTTACTGTCAATATTTCTTACACGGCTAATCAACTGAAATTTGATTTAAACGATATGAATATAAGAGTGTAAAACATACAACAGAATCATTCATATGTTCTTAACTAACATCCTACTCACCTTACCTTTCATCTTTTTATTTTATTTTAATACTAATATATGCTATACCTATTGGCATTCTTTGTGTTTTTTTCATTATTCTTTTTCAATTTTTTTCATTATTAGACTTATTTCTGATTTTCGAGAAGTATTTGCATGTGATATCGCATAAAGAATAATCGAATAAATTACTATCCCTAATAATATTTTCAAGTTCAAAAGCATGAAATGAATTGTTTTATTTCTCGACAATCGGTATTCATTGAGTGTTTGAAGATGAGGGTATAGGTATGTATTTTATGCTTGTAGATGATAAAATAGACGGAAACAAGATCAGATATACACACACAGCCATACGGTTCAAGAGAGAAAGTTCATTGCCTGACAGCAGAGACTTCTAGGTATACTGTTGATTAATAGTAATTTGAATTAGAATTTTCCTCAGAGTAAAGGAAGCGTTGAAAATTATACCTGATCTTGTTTTGCTTATTCATTTTATTCTTTATTTTTTCTGTTGGATGGATTATAAATAAAAGCTGGTTAGTAACTAACATGCTTTGCTTTTCTTGGATGGATGAGCGTTTTCATATATTAAATGTTGGTCGATAGGGCAAAAGGCGATAATCAGAATCCTGTATTTCCAGAAAACATTAGAAGTGTACCGAATATTTTTGTATCAATTCTTATTTAGGCGTTAGATGGTCTCTGTAAGGGCAAAGCCACTCAATGTCAACTGAATATTTTCATGCAGTCGAATATACAAGCAATATAGTTAAATAGCATAATTCTTGAGCGTGCCTATGCGCTTTTCAATAATATAATAGTTCCATGTCGAATGCAGTCGATTTCAACTACCGCTGAAGAAGATATCATCAGGATTGTTCGAACTAAAAAGCTGCCTTAATAAAGATACAAAAAATAATAGATCTTAATATTGATAAATAACATTTATGTCATTAAAATGACTAATACCATGGAATACTACTGCTGCAGGCAAGATTGAAATTGATCATTGTAGCTTTTCTCAGGCGTACGCCAAATATTACTTGATCATTCTAATACTCAACTACATGAATAAAACAAGTTTTTAATGCCTACAATTTCTCTTTGAAATGGTGGCACTCGAAAAACCATGGTTATCTTGTAACAAAATTTATTTAGAAAACTGTCAGGTCTCTCAAATTTAGAAATGGATATTAGTAGTTTGTCTTCATCAACACCTTTTTTATACAAATTAAAAGCAACATATATGGACGAAATTTGATCAGGCCATGAATGCAAAGGTCATTTTATGACCTTCATCAACAAGAGGGTCATTGAATTTTGGATTGACTCTATCGTATCGTCCATACTTGTTAGTTTTCTTTCAAGTTGATCGATTTTCACTTGCATTAACGTGACCTGTTCATCAATGTGATCAGTGATTATGTTAGTCTCATGTTAACCATTCAAAATTGCTGCCAAGCCCATACAGCTATCGACTAGTTTGCAGTGTTCTCGCTGGATCCTTTGAACACTTCGTACCCAAGTGAATAGTTTTCTTTGCATTCGCAAATACACTACTGATTTGTAGCAGCCACGCTGTTTCAATTGCAAAATGCTAATAGCGCATTTTATTATGTTAGCCGCTGCAGCGTAGTTATGGGCGTACTTTTCCCATCGTCGAAATTCTAACTTTCTTGACAATACTGCGATGAGAAGTGCACTTCTCACAATTCCAATAATAGCAGTCACAGAAACGGCGACTACAAAGCATAGAAAATATATGATATATTGAATACGATGATAGATATTATCTATTTCCAATCAAACTATTTAGTATTTCGGATAGTCTTCTAATATCGTTATAGAATTTGCCTTGACCCTGGTGTAAATATTTCTTCCTCCGATGTGACGTTCAGCCTATATAAACTGAAAATAGTTTTCAAGGACACATGTTTCTCTCAAATCATCAGCCATCGTAGGCTCAAAATTTTTATGCACGCCTGATAAAGAAAAGAAAGGTTCCCCTTTAGTTCGCCCCCTCAAAAAGTTCGGCAAGAAAGACTCGCTCAACCATATACTCAGAAGCTGTGCAATAATCTCAAGACAAGAGAGATGCTTTTGACTTCTAGCATATTTCTCAAGTCTCAGCGTATTGCAGATTAGATAAAACTGAAGAACACGATTTCCACTGGGATCCTGACAAATAGCAATATATATTACTGTTTTAACCTTTATTTTACTTACTGCGTCGGCAAACTGTTTAGAGAATGATGTCACCATAGCCTAAGAAATCAATCATCTACATTTACCAACGGTAGTGAAAGCGACAATGAAAAGCCACATTGCATTAGAAAATGATATTTGATCTCCATTTGGTTGATACTCGCAGGCTCGTATAGCCCAACTGGCAATGAAGAATAAAACTGTACTGAATGCCATTAAAGAATATGCTGACCAAATTTCTAGATAATTCTTCATGACGAAAACAAAATCAATCGAAACACTATTGAGATAGTCTAACGATTGTGATGCTGCATAACTAGGCATGCACCAAAACCAAACCTTTTGGTTTTGACAATGGTTTTGGTTTTGAAGTTTCGGTTTTGACAATGGTTTTGGTTTTGAAGTTTCGGTTTTGACAATGGCTTTGGTTTTGACTCAAAACCAAAACTATATCAAAAATAAAACCGTCAAAAACTTTTGACAGTTTCGGTTTCAATTTTTCTCAGACATGAAAGAATAAATATGTAAACGAAAATTGTTCGTCTTTTCGCAGCGCTCCGAATGACCGGAAATTGAATGTCCGTTTTTCGGGCATGAAACGATTTTTCATGGTTCTTCTCAAAACTACCACAGATTTTCGAGACCGTGGAACCCGAATCTGAGCACCATTAGTCTTGATATTCTATTGGTTGGTCAAGAATCAGCGAAAATCCAATCCTATGCAAAATTCTCTTTTCCAGGAAACTCGATTTGGTGAACTCGAGTCTGAAATTCATTTTGGAAACATCAATATTGCAATTGTTTACTGATTGAATAATAACGGCTTGGGGAAAACGCCGGTCCAATTCGAACTATCCACATGACATTACATACAGGGAGATATTTTCTGAAAAACTCGATTTCTGCTGGTTCCGGGTGGACCAATAGGGTTTCGATGAAAATGATGCTCAGATTCGGGTTCCTCGGTCTCGAAAATCTGTGGTAGTTTTGAGAAGAACCATGAAAAATAGTTCATGCCAGAAAAACGGACATTCAATTTTCAGCCATTTTGAGCGCTGCAAAAAGACAAACAATTTTCGTTTAGACACTCATCCTTTCATGGCTGAGAAAAACCAAAACCAAAACTGTCAAAAGTTTTTTACGGCTTTAGTTTTGATATAGTTTTGGTTTTGAGTCAAAACCAAAACCTCAAAACCAAAACCATTGTCAAAAACAAAACCTCAAAACCAAAACCATGTCAAAACCAAGACTCAAAACCAAAACTTCGAAACCAGTTTTGGTTTTGGTGCATGCCTATGCATAACGAATCATACTCGAATGAAACAACCGAATAAGTACAAACGCAAGAACACTACAAACAAGCACAAGTACTATTATTGATGAAACACAAGATAATGTCATCTTACTTGGTAATCCGAGTGCCATATCAACATAGATATATAACAACGACTTATTGATTGTATATGTGCTATTAGCAATTGATAGGGGTGTCACATTTAAATTTATAAAAAATTATTAAATCGAGAAATAATTTTTGAATGAGAAAAATTTTAATTTATTTTAAATTTAACTTTATAGAATTTTATTTAAAATTAAATTAACTTTTCACGAAGTTAAATTTAAATTAAATAAACTGTAAATTGACACCCCTAGTTTCAATTCAGATTTTTGAAAAAACCTGTTACTGTGTTTGGATCAAAAAGCGTATTGAAATGAATAGCTTATTATTGTAAGTGCTTTGCATCAATTCCATTGAAGTTTACATTAATCAATGAGTTTTTTCAGCGTTTGAACAAAATTTTCAATTTTTTCACACATAAACGATACGATATATTAAGTTTAACCATTGTTTTTCTCATATTGCGATGAAACAAAAGCGATAGAGTAGAGAAATCACAACACCCTAACGAGTTTATTCCGTTCTTTTGAAAAGATAAATTCTGGTTGAGAGAATTCAGATGAATCTCAATATAAATAATGAACTGATTTTTTTTCATGATATTTTGATTTTCTGCTGCTATATTCAGATGGTTTTGTTACTAATATTATTTAAAAATTTTGCTAGAAAAATTGTTCTATATGACCAAAACACGAAGACGATCGACAGCAAGTTCTCATGTTTGAACAAGTAATGTCGATTGTATACAATCGGCATTACCGAGGCGAATGAATCCGACAGTGAATCATATCGGATCTCATGGTATCCGACAAGTCGACAAAATCCGACCAGATTCCTGGTTACGAACCTACTAACGGATCCGACGGAAAAAAAAACATTTTATTAATCACCAGTGAATACGCATATGGTGTTAACAGAATACATGGGTCGAATGTTTATGTTGGTTTCCGTTAAATTCCGTCACTAGAACCTATCGGATTCCAACACTAGGGTTCCGATTGTAGGTCCCACATCCGGATATCGATAGGATTTCGTCGGTTTAATGAAATCCATACTATATCCGATAAGATTCCGGCACGAATCCGATAACATTCCACTATCGGAATCATTCTCCTGGGCACGTTTTCCACACATTAAGTATTTAAAACAGAAAAGTATAATCAATGACTAGTCTGAAGTATCTACCGTACTCATTAAGACTATTTGAAATGGCATACAATGTTCTGTGCCATGTCATCCAGGCTAGTGTGCTGATCGGGAAAAATAATAAAAATGAAGGGATCATAGATACAGTTGAACGCAGACCAACATTATTGAATAGTTGATGAGCGTTCAGACGGTAGAACAACATATAGGGATCAGCTTATAAAAGCTTACAGCCTAAATTATACAAGTTGGCTTCCATCTATGTATCTGAAAATAAGGAATTATGTTAAATTTAATAATTTTGACTAGTTAGAGACGACTTCAATACTTATTGAGAATTCCCAAAAATGTACCACTAAATAATAAAACACAATATTTATCTTATGGCAGACATATAAACCTAGGTATTGACGAATTCATTACGCATATAACTGATGGGAAATTTTTAATTTAACAGGATTTTTATAATAACTTTATATTCTATGCCATGGACATTATCAATCCTATGAGCTTATAGTTTCCTTATCTATGGTCAGCAAATTTCATTTTTCTGGAAAAAATTGACACCGAATGAACGACATGCCCTAACAATATGAAGTTTCAAGCATTCAAAATAAATTGCTATACTATACATGCCAATGTCATAAAATAGAATCCATCTGACATATCGACTTCTCAGATATATTTTTGGGAGCTTTTTGAAGTATATGTCGTACTAAGTATTAGCCCATGGATCAAATTCTTAATAAAAAAGAGGCAAAGATCAAAATATAGAAATGTAACAATCAATATGGGACCCTGTGGGGTTGATATTGTAATGACAAACTGGATAGAGGTGGAGTAGTTTACCGACGCTCTCGGCAATGATGTTTATTCGCTTCTTCACGTATCCAGAGTGTAACAACTTTATACATACATGTAACACACGTATATATATATATATATATATATATATAGGAGAGAGATAGAAGAAAGACACGAGAGAGAGAGAGAGATTATTACAATGGAAAGAGAACAGAAGGAAGAAGAAGAAGAAGAATCATCGAAGCGTGCCATCAATATCAATACAAGAAACATGCTGACTTTATTCGGTAAACAAATGAATATGATCGTCAACCATAAGACAACTGTCACGATATGGTATCTGACGTCCTTTGCTCTCTTCATAAACGCCCAAAGCAACTTTTCTAAACATTACTTCAATATCTATATTTGGAGTAGCAATGTGTTTCAATAAATGTTTAGTGAACAATCCATTCTTATCGTTGTCAACACCATCTGATGCTAATGTTCCTGGAGCACATGCAAACTGGATTAGAGAACCACCAGGGGCTGTCATTTTGAACAACCCTTGATTATTATCTCCAAGATTTCTAAATCGATTTCTATCATCGAATAAATATTCACGGCAGCAATCAAGAATAAATAGTGTGACATAACATGTTCTTGATTTCAGACTATTTAAAGCATCTTGAGCATTGATCGCATATGCTTTAATACTTAAATCTTCATCTATTTGTTCGAACACATCCACTGGCAATAAATAATTTTGCTCCCTATATTGAAAACCATGGCCCGCATAGTAAAACAATACTAAATCTTGATCTTCAATACGCCGAGAAAACTTTCCAATCAAATCAATCATTTTTTCATGAGTACAATCGATAGCCAATTCAATGGTGAAACCAATTTTGCGTAAGACATCAGCTAAGTCCGTGGCATCTTTCACTGCACAACATAGCGGTTTTGTTTTATAACTTTGGTTGCCAATAATTAATGCTAATTTTCGATGAATCGTCGGCGCCATTAGTTCGTTGGTTGCCATCTTCGAGAACATGAAATAAAGCAGAATTTGAATGCCAATGAAAAGCCGGCATTCATCTGTGTCAATTTTTCTCTGTCGGAATCGAATTTCAAGGTCGAAAATGTAATCAATTTTTAAAATTACATAATCCATTTTAGAGAGAGAAGAATATAATTAATATTTAATTGTTATTTTAAAAAACCTAGAAAACTCATAGTAAATTCGAAGTAATTACTTTGCAATTTTTTGAAACCGCATAGAATGTACAGTAACACATTATTCAGTTTCAATTTTTTTTGTGTTTCTTATATTCTCATGATGATTTAAGTGATGGTAATGTTTTACAATTAATGATATATGAAATAATTAATATTTATACTATTCAGTTTGATTCAGAACAAACAGAGTATGGACAAGAAATTTACAGCTTTGAAAACTTCTATTTTAGGCTCCCTTTGTTACCTGAGCATAATGAATTATGAAAGGATAAAGTAATTTCAAGTTTTCTGAACGATGAAGTATAAACAAGACTGAAAAGATTCTGATAAATCAAAATGAAATGAATTTGTTTTCATAAAACTGTCACATCCTCTGTTATCCATATCCATTCGCTTCTGATAAAATAACATGTATCTTCGTTTTCGTATTTTTATATGGGCGAAAATACGGGTTGGCCGTCATAATGTCGAAAGGAAAAATGTCGAAAGTAGAAATGCCGAAAGAAGGAAGAGGAATAATATCGAAAGGACAAATATCGAAAGGAAAAATCCCGAAAGGAAAAATGTCGAAAGAAAAAAATATCGAAAGGAAAAATGTCGAAAAAATTATATTGACATGAAACATTGCCAGTTAATATTTTAGAGAATCGTAAATAATATAGTGTATGTTTTGTTGTATGAAATTAAGCTGAAATGTTAAGGGTGAGAAAATTTTTTAAAAATATGTTATTTTTTCACGAGCTTCACGAACCTCAAGTTTTTCTTTTCCTGGAAGATGACTATGATTGCAAACAGTTTTCATCAATCGATTATTTGAATCAGAATGCGCTTTAGCTGCACAATAATTAATAGTGCATATCCAATACTTAGTATTTGTTGTTACTTTATTCAACTCCTTTATTTTACTTGTATCAATAGTTAGTCATCGCTATCAACAGCGGCTAAAATTCTGCACTAGTAAAATTATAAGAAAAAACAATGAACTGTATGTAATTAGAACCAACATACGCTTGAGGCATCATTATTTTTTTATTTTTCACTTTCGACATTTTTCCACATTAATATGTACGTTTCGACATTTTTCCTTTCGGCATTTTTTCTTTCGACATTTTTCCTTTCGATGTTTTTTCTTCACTTTTTCTGTTTTCGACATTTTTCCTTTCGACATTTTTCCAGCACACCAAAATACGTATCGAATCGATAAATAATTATAGTTGTCTTATCCAATTTTATCAAATGATTTATATGCACCGTTTCAATACTGAATATGAATAGTAGACATTATTAATGTTAAGAAATAATCAGATTTAATTAGTCATAAGGAGGAAAGTATTTCTTAACTATTTTTTTTTAACTTACTGCATCTATTTCATGATGTCCATTTGAATTTTCAGGTACAGCAGCTGCTATTTCTTCATCAACAAATACGGTTCGTAATGTTAACCTTTTAATGGCATAATTTTGGGAAGCTTGTGACCACTAAAAATAGAGTCAAATTTTATTTCTTTACTACAGAGATGTCTATCATGGGTGAGAGTCGCCACCACGATTATATTCAAGGTTGTGACTAATTTAAACTAGAATCGCTGCTGCTAATAGATCAGACTCTTTAAAAGTTACAGTATAAAATATATGATAATCGAGATACTGCAATTACAAATTCGTGAATTTTCAAAATCTCGTCTTAAAAAAGTTGTTGCAACAGCATTAAAAATATCTCTTCCACGCCGCCACCATTATCGATCTCTCTGCTTTACTATACCGTATTTAATTTCTTACAAAAGTATCGAGGTTACCAGCCGAGATGCTTGGTGCCGTAATCCATTGTATCCTAAATTTATGTTGAGTGCGATCATCAGGCTGATCATCCTGTCTTGGTCGAAGCGAAACTAATTGATAGAAGACAAAACGAAATGAATAAAAGCTTTCAGTGGTTTGATTTATTCTACCTAGTATATTAACAGTTGCATGTGCTTCAAGAAGACCAACGTTTGGTTTAACACAATAACGCTTTGGTACTGTTGTTAGAATTTTATAAGTCAGTAGACAGTTGTCAGTATTCGATAATTTAAGTGTTGCTGTTGAAAAGACATTGAAGGGACCATGAAAAATGAGAGCACTATTTGGAATGACTTCAAGCGTCATAGTTTCTTTTTTTAGGGTAGATCTACAAAATATTGTTTCCCTCTTTCTTATTTTGCCTTATTGTACACAGGCAATGAAAGGTAAATGAATTAATATTGCTATTTTCTAAACGTCTAGAATGTGCAAAACAGTGCTGTACAGCAATTAGAACTCTTATTACATGATCTCAGTTAAAACAGATCTTATGCTGTACTTTGAGTCATGTCCGGTATTCAATAAAACAGAAAAAAACGTTCTAGCAATAGCAACCAGTGACACTTTTAGTTCCTCCAGCAGATGTGAGACTGTAGTCATAAGCTAACAATCAAAATGCAATATAGACAATAGTGATTTGATGAACCACAGTTTTTGATCCCGATCTGAGTTGCGATTCCTGTCCTGTCCTAGTTACTTATTTTTCTAGCTTCAGTCATGATCTCTGTATGGGTTACAATTTCTTTTTTTAGTTCTAGTGTCACTTCTAGAATAAATATTTTTCAAGTTTGTATTCGTGATTTGAAGAATTTGTTAGTAAAAGCAAATCTTCATACAACTGTATCAAAACTATGGAAATGTAAAACACTATTTTTCTTGTGTTTACCTTTATTCTACTTGGTATTTCCATTGTTCAGCGCTAAAATCTCAATTTAAATATTTGCTAATGCTACGAATTAAAATCCCATAAAAATAATAAATATAACAGAGTAGCTGTCTAATTCGAGTTCGAATATAAATGGAGAAAAGAAAAAGTTAAACTCAAACTCAAACTAAATCTAGGAATAGATTTAGTTTTAATTTAACTTTCCGATATATATATATATATATGCGCGACATATGAATACATATATACGCTTCACCCGCACCCACATTTGAAGTATCCCGGGTACTCTTCACCCACACCCTCACACCCCACACTCACAGTTACCCCGTAGTCCCCCTCAACCCACACCCATTCTATCTTAAACTAAATATAAAACTAAATCTATTTCTATCACTTATTTTCGAATTGATACCATGCAATTGGATGTCCATTTATATTCGAATTCGAACTAGGCATCTCATGGGAAAACTATGGTTTATATGATGGTTACCTATTCGTTGCGAGTTTTTATTTGCTCGACAAATATTTGAGTATGATTTTGTTACGAATTGCACAACGTTTTTCTATTTGTCAGTGAATAATTGCAGCCACGTGTGATCGAAAGTAAATAAAATATAAAAAAAAGCTTTTAGAATTACTTTCTTTTGCGAATCGTCGACATTTATATCGTCAAATTTCAATGGCATCAAATTGTGAACTGGACGGTGATGAACTGGAAGCATTTACTTTAATTTGGCTTGATGCTGAAATCTATGGATCTGAAAATAAAATAGTTCAAAATGATCTTCGTCAATTAAGTGATGATTTTAGAACATTCCACAATGATCATGATTGTGAATCATTCATCGAATCTTTATCGATCGATCAACGTGTTGTTTTGATTACGAGTGGTCGGTTTGGTCGAGAAGTTATACCACGTATTCATGCGATCGAACAAATTTATTCGATTTATATTTATTGTTTCGATAAAGAAACATATGAGAAATGGGCAAAAAGTTATTCAAAAATTAACGGTGTTATAACAGAAAAAACAAAACTGATCGAAAAGATTCGTCAAAATAATAAAAAAGAAATCTTTCCAATAAATATTGAACCGCTTCATATAAACGTTTATGACAACACTATCGATAGTGAATTCATTCATTCACAATTATTAATTGATTATTTACTAAAAATGAAAATAAATTCAGCAATTGAAACACAAATTTTATCTTCATGTAAAACAAAATGTGATAAAGATAATTTACAATTAGAAACTCTTGAAAAATTTCAACAAACTAATTCATCAGAAAATAGTTTCGATTTCTTAATGAAAGACAATGTTCTTTTAAAATCATTCGCTGAAGCATTACAAACAAAAAATATCAATTTACTTTATCTATTTCGTTCTTTTCTTCGTTATATAAATCAACAATTAGAACAGAATCAATGTTCAACATCGAAACATGTTTATTTTAGTTATTTAATAAAACATGAAGAATTCGAACAATTGAAAAATTCCATTGGAAAATTTATATCCATTAATACATTGCTCCTGACAACATGTGAACGTGATAGAGCTTTGCGTGCTTTACAGAAAGTAAATACCTTAGAAAAAATTCTATTTGAAATTTATGCTGATCCCTCGATGAATGATATTAAACCATTCGCTCAATTGAAATCATTTCATACTTCAATAAATCAATCGCAAATAGTTTTTATGTTTGGATCAATATTTTTTATAGAAAACTTCGTACAACAAGATGATATTTGGATCTGTCGAATGAATCTATCAAGTCAAAAACATCCCGATTTAATAAATACGTTTAATAATATCAAAAAAGAAGATGGCGATAGTGAAATAGATCTTCTTTCGTTTGCAAATTTTCTAGCACGTATAGGTAAATATGATGATGCAGAAAACTATTATCAATATTTACTACGTGAATTACCACTCAATCACGAAGATGTTCATGTTATTTTTGGTAATCTAGGAAATGTTGCTTATCTTAGAAAAGACTATGATAGAAGCCTTGAGTATCATTTAAAATCAATAGAAACTAAAAAATGTTTATTAGAACCTAATGATCAACGTATTGCTGATAGTTATAATTGTCTTGGCATTGTATATTTTAATCGAAACAATTACAGACAAGCTATTGAGTCCTATGAAGCAGCATTAAATATTTTAAAATTAATAACGAATAATAATCAACCGAAAATTGCTGCTTGTCTTAGTAATATCGGTCTTGTTTATCGAACAGAAAAAAACTACTTAAAAGCCTTGGATTATTATAAAAATGTGTTAGAAATTGAAAAAAAATATTTATCCGAAGATCATACAGATCTAGGACAAACATATCATACTATTGGCGCCCTGTATTGGTGTTGTGGTTATTGTGAGGAAGCTTTGGAGTATTATAATTTATCACTTGAAAATAAGAAACGTCATCTTTCATCTAAACCTATGTCATCCATGGCTATGACACTAGAAAATATTGGCTTAGTTCATGAAAATAAAAATGATTTTCAAGAAGCTTTGAAATACTATGAAGCAGCCGCTCCTATTTATCGACAAACTTTATCAGCAACGCACGCCGATGTTTTACAAATTGAAAATAATATTTCACGCGTCTTATCTCATTTGGAACAAATGGAAACCTTTTGAAATGTAAAAAGATTGAGATTTAAATGTGTTTTGTTGTTGATGTGCTCTTTTCAAACGATTTCATATTATTTGATATTATGTATTTCAAAGGCGAGAATGCCAATAGTCTTAACCTTTGTTTTTTAAATGCGTCAAAAAGCAAAAAAAGCACGAATAAATAAATTTCATTTGCTATTAAAATTAATGAGAAAATATTGGATCGGTCCCGACATCAATAATGAAGTAATGTATTAGAATTCCTTTATATTTATGACAATGAGGCTAATTTGACTTTGTACTCATTTAATTTTAATTATTGTCAATATATACCGCGGCTTAGCGAAGTCTTTAATGAAATACAAAATATGTGGACACACAAGCCAAGCCCCTCTTTTGTACTTGGCGGTATTTTGTTAATAAAATATCAATACAATGTGCAGATCAGGGAATCCCTTGATATTTAACTTCGATTGCCTTATATATTCAGTAAGTTGCTGCAATGAGAACAATTAATCATATTGTCTGGCAAGTCATTGTTTTTATATTGTTCAGAACATATACAAGGAGATGGCGACGTATGTAGATTTTTATTTCTTTAAAGAGATAGGTCATTCTGATGAAAACGTCCTCACGAGTTATAGCAGTCAATATGTTTCATCGTAAGATGTTCTGAGAAAGAGAGTATAGCATATGGAGATATATTAACATCTTCATATCTTATGAATAATAGGAAAACAGAAATTTCGAAAGCAATCATATTAGTGTTACATATAGCATAGAATTGCTCAATACATAACATTATCGCATATTTAAGCTTCGTCAAGCTTGCATATGTCAAGGCATTGTTGTGTCTGGGTAGTAAATACGCTCGAATGATATTTTTCTAGAGGAATGTCAATGAGTATAAAAAAAGGACTTTACCTCGATTATCATTTTATTTGCTATTTATATTTGAAAGGTTCCTGTTTAGTAACTAAGAGATTACTAGGGATTCGAGTCAAAAACACTTCTAAAATGTAAAGGTACAGCTAATTTCATCAACGAAAATTCCTAACAAATGAATTGAATCATTATCTATTTATTTTAAAAGAAAAAGTTGATATTTAGAGATTCATTCATCAAGAATAAATTCGTCGATGTTTTAATAGGATTTGCTTCGAGTTGATATATTGCGACATCTTTAATGTCGCGCTCAATTTATTATATTGGTTGAATAACCAATAAATGAAAAAAAACACGAATGCCGTCACTCATATCACTCGTAGTACTCCAACGCGTTAACTGATCGTTTTCTACCGGGTTAAATTCTTCTATTTTTATCCGGAAATTTAACAAAAATACCTATTTTTCACAATAACAACATCAGCAATGATTGAAACACGTCTAGATGATGTAGAGAATATCTTTAAAGATCTTCGGGAATCGTTTAACAGTGGTACAACAAAGTCACTATCATGGCGTAAAAAACAAATTGAACAACTCTATAAAATGTGCGATGAACAAAAGCATGTCTTTGCTTCAGCCTTAAATGATGATTTTCATCGGCCATCATTTGAAACACTAGTATTCGATTGCGGTTCAGTAAGTTTTTATTTATCATTTGAATCCATCATATACTGATATTGTCGTTTGTCCTAGATTCGTAATGAATGTACTCATGCTCTCAATGAAATCGATGAATGGGTACGTGATAAAAAAATTTCGGATGCATTTGCTTTTGCAATGTTGGACAAGTATATTCACCCTGAACCGTTAGGAATTGCTTTAATTATTGGTTCTTGGAATTATCCATATTTAGTTACGTTAGCCCCATTAGTTGGTGCCATAGCTGCTGGTAATTGTGTTATTCTGAAACCATCAGAATTGGCGCCAAAGTCTGCTGCTATTATGGCAGCCATGGTTGAACGTTATCTTGACCCATCATGTGTTCGTGTTGTATTGGGTGGTGCTGATCACGTACAAGTTTTACTTAAAGGTGATATCAATAAAGTTTTTTATACGGGTTCGACAGCAGTTGGAAAAATAATCATGAAAGCAGCAGCAGAAAAAATGATTCCGGTAACACTGGAATGCGGTGGGAAAAATCCCGTTTATATTGCGGATGATGCTAATATGGAAATTTGTGCAAAGCGTATTGCCTGGGGAAAAGCTATCAATTGCGGACAAACTTGGTAAAATTTTTCAGAGCTAGAGAGAATCTAACATAATTCGAAGGGAACGTCTACTAATTTATAACTTGAACTCGTAGCAATTTATTAATTGAGAGCAATGTGTGCTGGCTAATATGAGAATTACGAATAAGACGGAAGCCAACTGATATCTGTACACCCGTTTAATATTTCTCATTTTAATATTCTTAGTCAATCAGACTTTTTCCGTATCCTTCTTTTTCAGTAAGAATATTTTCTCTTGATCCTAAACAAAATAGATTCAATCCAACATTTTTCGTAAATACCAGATTGAACTCCTTTTGTTAAGTTTTATTTTCTTGACCACTTTGGAGTTTATTCTATTTCGTCGGAATTGAAACAGAAATAAAATATACCAATCCATGATCTGATTCAGTTTGAGCAAGAAAAATATCAAAGTATTTCATGAGAATTTGCTCAACAAAACAAAACGCTACTATTTTGACAAATACGCTTTGTTCGCATGAATAAATCATATTCGCTAGAATTATTATCCGTTGAATATTTTTAGTTTAGCACCTGATTATATATTGTGTTCAAAGACCACAGAAAATCGTATTGTACCTGAAATCATAAAAGCTTGGCGACAATTTTATACAGATACTCCATTCAACTCTGAATCGTATTGTCATATTATTAATAATCGTCATTTTGAACGTGTCAAAAAATTAATCAATCAAAATAAAGTTGTTCATGGCGGACAAACAGATTCAGAGAATAATTATATTGCACCAACGATCATGTATGAAAAGTCTACTTTTGAAATTTTATTTTATCGGAATAATTTTCATAGGACCGACGTTACTGAAAATGATGATATTATGCGTGAAGAAATATTCGGGCCAATTCTTCCATTTATAACAGTGAACAATGAAGAGGAAGCAATTAAATTTATGAATAACAGAGATAAATCTTTAGCTCTCTATGTGTTTTCATCAACAAAAAGTTTAGCTCAACGAATTATAAATTCAACAAGTGCTGGCTCAACATGTGTTAATGATGTTATTTTTCAAATTGCTCCACCATCATTACCATTTGGTGGTGTTGGTGCCAGTGGTCTTGGTTCCTATCATGGAAAATATTCATTTGATACTTTTAGTCATCAACGTACAGTTGTCTATGCGCCAAATTGGACTGAGCCTATTCTTTCTAAACGTAATCCACCGTATAATCCAACAATAACAGGTTTAATGGAAAAATTAACTAAAGTTCACCGTAATTGGTTTCCTATGCCGCGGTTTAATTGTTTCAGCATGATGTTCACGGTCCTAGCATTAGCTGTTGGAATAAGTATGACCATGAACAGAATGAAGGATGATAAATCCAAAGTTTAATAACATCAATCGAGTCTTTTTCATTTCTTATCTTTATACCTTATTTAAGTATAAAAAAAAAGATAATTTTCTACTTCGCTTTGTATTTCTAATGGTGCAATTCTTTTTGCTTTCAGATAGGAATTTAGTGTAATTTGGTGCTAAATGCAAGAGACAATAGGAGATACGACTTATGATTGGACTGATGCCACAAGTCATTTCGCTGATTTATGTCGTCATTTACCAATCGGTGAAGTCGTACGTGATGCAGATTTTACCTTATTTGAAGCAATGACAGCGCTTGAATTGATGGATCCAAAAATGGATGGTGGTATGTCAATAAAACATCATTTTCAAGAACAAAAACAAGGTAATCGAATATTAACATTGAAACAATTAATTGATAAACAACTTTTAAAAATCACAAAATTTACATCGACTGAACTAATCTATTTATTTGATCAATTATTATCAACATTTCATATGTGGCTCGATGGACATAGTCTTGCATTAACATTATTTACATGTGTTTATTTGCATGATGTAACAATAATTGATGATTCTCATTTACGTACAATATGTTTTACATTTATTAAATTAGTTGATTACATACGTGAACGTATTTTATTAAAAGCTGGTTTATTCGAAGAAGAAGATTTTAGTGGAACATTAACGTATAATTTTCCATTTTATCGTGATTTTAAAGAACAAACATGTTTGACTGATCTAAAAAAATCTGAAGATGAATTAAATAAACGTTTACGTTCATTAAAACATCAAACAGAATTAGATCAAGTAGATATTAATGCGACTCAGCAATTGATATATCGAATTAGATTTCTACGTTATTTTTTTGGTTTAACAGTTAAATTTAATGAAGCTAATGAAAAAACAGGCGAACAAACTTATTTAAATACTGAAGAAATTTCGAAATATCTTAAGCAAATCGACGAAATGCTACAGCTTATTCGACCGTCATTTATAATCGAAAACGAAACGGTTAGTATGTGACGAAAGTCAGCACTCTATATATATATATATATATCATCTAGTTTATGATAGCGATTTTGCTTTAGTGTATTTCTTGACGTTCGATAAAATAAAACGAAGAAATGTTTTACATCTAGTCTTGCATCAGAGACTATCGTAGTCGTCTAGTACAAGCAGTGATTTATCTACGGAGTGAACGCTACTCAACCGAACATATGTAGTTGATTTTTATAAAAAGCTCTACGGCGCAAAATGTTTTAGTCAGCAACCCCTTCAAAACCCGGAACGGTGCTCTCAGATATAAATCGTCCTTGTGCTTACTTTTTGTTCAAGCACCAAGAGACTGACAAAATCATAGCGATATTACTGTTCATCCGAACTTTAAAAAAAATGCTCCTACGACAAATTAAACTAATGTACTCTGCACCATCATTTTTTTAAATTATCTTGATTATAAATTTTGAGCGCCATTAAACATCTACCATTTTATACTGTTTTTAGACTCCAACCGATGATAATTCTCAATTAAATATTTCGCAAACATTATTAACTGATATATCTCGTTCTTTTGATCCTTATTATAATTATCGTCAGTTACCTCCTGCATTTAATCGTTTTATACGTCAATTGATATTTCCATCATTTGTTTATAAATCATTAGTAAATATTTGTCAACAACTACGTAAAATGCTTGAAATCAACGATAAAAGAACATTGAAGCAATCTTTTGAATTTTTCCTTGAATATTCAACACATGAAAAGCCATCATTATTTATTCGTTCGTTATTACTTTTATCTTACTTACCATCGGTCCAAGGTTGTTTATTGAGTTCAAGAAAAATTTTCGGGCAAATTTCATTCGCTGAACAAGTTAAATGTGAAATACGATCGTTTATCGTGCCACCGTTGTTAACATTAAAATCAATTTCAATTGATAATGAAACATTAAGTTGTAGTGAAAATTTTTTCCAACGTGCCTGTGTACCGTTCTCAAATCTATTCTATTCATTATGTAATAATCATGCGCGTACACGTGAAAAACTATCGAATCTATTAGAAGAATTTAGTGTTCTACAAGATGAAAGTGAAAAATTAGATCAATGGCTACATAAATATCTTATACAACAAATTGTTCAAGCAAATTTATCAACAGCGAATGCACAAACATTATTATTAATTGAAAAAACTTCATATTTTTTTCAATTTATTCTTAATTGGACATTGCTAATTATGGAATATTATCTATTGATGGGTTTTGACTTATCATTATATTCAAAACGTGAATTATACGATGTGTATTTTTATTTTGCCCAAATCATCTTATTTACGCATATAAATGTTTATAAAACATCGAAAAACATTCTAAATACAACAGTACCATTTCTTGTTCAATTAAATCAAAAACAACAAACAAATAAAAATCAAATAAACAATCAATTTATTCAGCAAATGAATAGTTTAATACAACATAATTCCAATGATGATCCCTTAGCTGAATTAACGAATGAAAATAATGCTACGCAGAAGAAAACTAAAAGAAAGAATCCAAATGTTTTAGTTGCAACAAATAATGAATATCATGAACAAGAATTATTATTAATTCATGGACATTTTGCCATGAGTACAGCTATGCATAGATGTTTGAAAGCATTAGATATTGAACGAAGATTAAAATTTAGCAGGTAAATTATTCTTCATAGAAAAATTTTTACGAGGCAATCTTTCACCTTTGACTGACTAAATGAGGCAAATAGAAATTTCCGGCAACGCCGAAAAATAAGTGACATTTCTTTTGGATGTCGACTGCAGTTCCTGCACTTGAGGGAGAAAAAAGAATTCATATGATTAAAATTGCTTTAGAAATACCTTGATGATGTTAGTTTCAATCTTCGGCTGAATTCTATTCATAGGGAAAGTAGAGTGTCCGAACTTCCGGTATGTGTATACTAATTGGTACTAGCAGTTGCTGATATATAGTTTTGCAGCTAATTTGATGACTATAAACGAATGACACATTATTTCGATACGCTTTGTTTTCCTATTAAATGTAATTGAAGGTTTCTCGGATTGAGTAAAATTAACTGATTAGAAATTCAGATTCCTTGACTCACAGAATACTTTCCAACAAACTATGTATACAACTCAAAAATTGAATTACTAGCGATCATCTTAATTTCGTGTTCAAGAACTGTATTGATCCTCTCGAACTATATTTTATAAAAAAAATTATTTTTATTGATTCGAATCAACTGGTTGTGTTTTTAAATTTCAGTAATGACTCGAATTATTTTCTTCGCGATGAAATTCGTTACCGTCATCGTTTTCTTCCATTCGCGAACTTATGTGCCCCACCGTATATGCCTCATACAGATTTTCTTCACATACAACATTTAAGTGATAATCGTTACACGGCATCTGAATTATATCAAGATGCTATAAATAATTTTTCTCAAGCTAAAACATATTTTGAAACTTATCTCAATCGTATAACAATGTCAAAACAATACCAACAACAAACATTCAATCGAACATTTACAACAGGTTTTACGTCTTTAATAGATGCCGAATCCTACATACGAATAGCTAAAACGAACGGCATTGTATTGAAGTTATTGTTAGGTGGACATAAACCAGATGTAAAAATAGATTTCGATTTTAGTTTACACGCTCACTACCCTACACTAAAACTGTGATGTTTTTATTTTGTTTTCTCCGATAGAGGAAAAAAAGGAATATATCGAGTTTGTTTTCATTGTTTTTTTTTTGTTGCCTGTGTGTTTGTAGTTTGCATTACAACTAATTCTAATCCGTATAACCAAACCAAGAAACGAGAAAAAAAATGATTTAAAAAAAATTGAAAAAAGAAACTTGTTTAAGATAAATCACTGACTAATATTAATCAACGGGATTTTATTTATGTTCTGTTTGAGACTTATTTTCAAAAAGTAATTAAATCAAAATATCTATTACAACAATGACAGATTCAACAACCAAAGATCACAATGTCGATGCTATTGAAAGTAATAGTGATGAACCCGAATTTGACTTTAAAGAATATTATTCGAGAGAAAGAACACTATCATTACGTGATACATATATTCCGTGAGTTAAAAACAAACTTTGTCTTTTTACTAATAAATAATTTTTTTTAATTTACCGATAGATATTGTACGGAACTATTTTATCGTGAAAATCCTATCAAAATTGTTCGTTGTCAAGGCACTTATATGTATGATCAATTGGGAAATAAATATTTAGATTGTATTAATAATGTCGCACATGGTATTATTGAATTTTTTGTTTTCTACTCGTACGAAAACTTCTTTTTTTCAGTTGGTCATTGCCATCCATATGTTGTTAAACAGATCTATAAACAAATGGGTGCATGTGCAACAAATAATCGTTATTTACACGATAATACAGTTATTCTAGCTGAAAAACTTGCGAAAACATTACCAAAAAGTCTCGACCAATTTTTTTATACGAATTCAGGGTAGAAATTTTCAAAACAAGATTATGTTTTCCCGACTATTTGTTTTCTAATCTATAGATCAGAATCAAATGATTTAGCACTTCGTTTAGCAAGGCAATATACAGGAAATCATGATATTCTTGTACTTGATAAGTAGGTTAAAGGAAAGTATTCACACAGATCAAAAACAACACTTTTTCTTTGGTATCTAGTGCTTATCATGGGCATTTGACAACACTTTTCGAATTATCAACTTATAAATTTAAAAAAGGAAATATTGCAATGAAAGAACCGGAACATGTTCATGTTGTATGTATTGACGGATGATGAAAATAGATTTGCTTTGCTTTGATAATAGGAAGAGTAGTTATAAAAAATTATATACATCGCGCAGAATAGAAGTTCACATAATAGTGAGTTTTGTTTTTGTTCGAAACCGATTTACATCAGCTTGACCTTACTGAACGTCTCTTTTTTATGATTGCATATCGTGTCCAGGGTTACCAAATTTAAATTTTAGAAACCAGAGAATTTTTTTGAAAAATCAGGAGTGTTTTTTTTCGACATTCAACAGTCATTCGATGATTTTTATCTGATAACTTCCGATTTTTCACTAATAGATGCATTAATCTCTTTTCCTATAATGAGATTGATGCTGAAAATTTTCCTTGTAGACGAATTAAAATTGAAAATAGAATGCTAATTTCATAAAGTTTGTTTAAACAGATAATTAAAACGTGTTCATTAGAATACATAGTAAAAACTACTTAGTCAATTTACTCAGCAATTCGTAACACTTTTGCGGCGTAACTCACGTAAAATCTAACAATCGAATATATGTTTCGAAAGATTTGGTTCGTTTAAAAGATAATCATAGAGTTCTGGTCCAGCAAAAAAGACTGTGTGGCCAGGTTCCTACATCTTGTGGGGAAATTCAAGATTTCGAAAAATAGATTCCGGAATTTTTTGGATTTTCGCAGTTGACATCAGACAACCTTCTTGAATGCGCACGTTTTTATTTAAATATATGTTGTAGATATGTATAAAGAGTATTTCTGTTTCGAATCCGTTAGAGTAAAACGTACTTTAAATGAAAAAACGGACCCAAAAAACCTTTACGCATTTTTTCAATATTTGAAAAAAGCTCCGCAAGTTTCCGGACTTTCAAGTTCGACATGTAGCAACACTGAAAATGAGTGTTCATTTTAATCTTCAAGTTAGCTCCAATTAAATCATGGCTCATTTGATTTCGACTATCATTCCATATATAAGTTTAACGTTCCCGTAAATTTGTTCTTTTCTCTTGGAAATCGCTGTAGGTTCAAAACGAAGCTAATCGTCACATTACAAAAGTCAGGAGAAATCAGGAGATCCCTGGTCAAAACAGGAGATTTGGTAACCCTGATCGTGCCACTTCTTAAAAGTAATTGGATCAGTCAATGTTTGTATTGTGCTGTTTTATCTTGATCTAGCATGACCGTATGCTGAAAGGCTTTATAAAGATATAACTGTTCGTGCGCTTTGATGGCAACCTATAAAAAGAATGAGGCTATCACAGAAACAAAACTTTGCATCATCTGGCGAAATCATTACAGCTCTGAATTGTTGTTAGTCTGTACGAAAATTTTCTTGTTTATTAATTGAAGTTTTGAGTTGGCTTGAATTAACTTACATGTAAAGTGACTCTTTCAATATATTTTGATGTTTATTAGTTACCAATACCTGATATTTACCGTGGTAAATATCGTGATATTGATTATAATTATGATGAAGAAAAACTAAGTCAATTATATGTGAATGAAGTTCGTCAAAAAGTTGAAGAAGTTGAATCCCGTGGTCGACGTATTGCAATATTTTTAATTGAATCATTACAATCATGTGGTGGACAAATTATTTATCCAAAGAATTTTCTTAAAAATGCATTTGAGTAAATAATTAGTTTATTCAGGTTTTTTTCTGAAATATATGCATATTTGTTTCTCAAATTTAGTTATCTTCACTCCAAAGGTATTCTATGTCTTGTCGATGAGGTTCAAACTGGTTTCGGCCGATCTGGTACTCATTTTTGGGCATTTCAATCCTATGGCGAAGGTTAATTAATTTTTTAAAGATCCTTATAGAGTTGCTTTTGTGAAAAACAAACTTCAGTCTTCTTAGACTACATTGAAAACATTTCATTTTACTGGATGAACTTCTTGCAATTGAGAAACTTAGAAAAAGCTCTTGCTTTACCATACGCGTCTATCGTCTTGAATGGAAAAGGTGTCATGAGTATCTTCTAAAAACGTTTAGCTATATGAGCAGCAATTGACCATGATTAGCAGTAGCAATCGCAGTCTTTCTTATGCTAAACCAACTGGGGTTCCGTTAACAGCGTGTTTGATTATTTAGATGTCGTGCCTGATTTTGTTACGATGGGTAAATCTATGGGTAACGGATTTCCTGTGTCGGCTTTGGCGACACGTCGATGTATTACACAAAAATTCGACAACGATGGTATTGAATATTTTAATACTTTTGGTGGAAATCCAGTGAGTTGCCGTGCCGCTATTGCCGTACTTGATGTGATTGAAAGTGAAAATTTGATGGAAAATGCTCGTGTTGTTGGAGCTTATTTATTAAATAAATTAAAGGAGATAGGCAAAAAGTATGACCTTGTCGGTGATGTACGTGGTCGAGGACTTTTTCTTGGAATGGATATTGTGCGTGATCCAAAAACTCGTGAACCTGGTATTGAAGAAGCAAGACAAATAAAATATAGGTAAGAAATAAAATGCATTCCATATTAATATTCTTATTTAATAATAGACTTCGTGAGCATATGATTATAATTTCACTTGATGGGCCTGATCATAATGTTATTAAATTTAAGTCGTAAGTTTCGTTTTTGGTTTCCTGTTCCTTTTTTATGATTCTCTCTTTAACAATATACTAGGCCAATGTGTTTCTCACAACTCGATGCAGATTTTCTTTGTGAAAAAATGGAAACAGTCATTGAAGAAATTCAAAAAACGAGAGATGAAAAACAAGAATGATCTGAACAAATAAAACATATCCGAAAATATTTATCCGATTTATGTTGCATTTTCTTTTCTGAGTATCTTGTATTATTTTTCACTTTAAAGCTGTTTATTTAAGAAGCGGTAGGAAGTACGTGAAGGAGATCCTTTTTTTTTCTCATGTACATATCGCAGTGAGATGCAATCGTTTTCTTCTTTGAAAGTAGAATGAAGGGATAGCTTTTGAATTTAAAATTATGGTATTGCTAATCTTGCTTAATTTTAGATTCATTTATGAATAAATTATTCTTTTTTGTTTACTCAAAAAATGAGTACACTCTAGATTCGGTCAGTGTGTCCGTCCGGCCGTTAACACGATAACTCTTGAAAGCCTCATCCTTTTACCATGAAATTTTGTACACAGAATAATCTCATCAATATCTCAGTCGAGTTCGAAGATGAGAAGGATCCGTCAAGAAATGGCTGAGTTATCGAAAAAACTGTCATTATTGACCAAACCATCCCTGAGGAGGGGGGGAGGGAGGTACAAGGAGTTTTTCAAAAACACTTTTTTTCTCAGAATTATTCAAAATATATATAAATCGACTCAGCTTTTGCAGTACACGTAACAATCGGATGCGAATCCGATGTTTTCTCATCTATTTTAAATTCATTCTATCTACTTAATTCAGAACTACTGGTGATCAACTTACATCTGTAGAAGAAATGTAATAAGAAATTAGAAGGTTAGCCGTATCAATTTTCTCAGCGATAATATAAATATATATTTTATATGCGATCATAGGACCAAGAGATATAGAGTGTATATTTATAATGGATAGAAGTCTTTTGTTATTAGTCAACGATCAAACTAGATTTTTTTATCGACATGAGTCATTCGTTGCTTTTCTCGGCTGAGCATAAATGAAATTAATCTCTTGATTGATGACTATTTTACTTGAATTATATTAGGGATGACGTAAATATTTTCTTTTACTCGATATATTGTACTTGTCAAGTTAGCTAAGCTGACAGGAATGTTCATCGAATGGAAATGATCTATTAAATAAACTCGAGTCACTGAAGAATCCTTTTCATGAGCTAGCTAGCTACTACTTTACACTATGAAGCTATTGAATTAAACCGAATATTTTTCAATATAATACAAATTTTCACTTCTCGAAAACTCTTTTCAAAACTGACAATGATTCTATGAATGTATTTGCTGAATGTTTACAAGTTTGTCGAAAAGATATTTTCTTTTTTCGTACAACATTTTTAGAGCATCACTTTGGCATCGTTTCATATTAAACATCTATCGATTATTGAGTCAGAAAAAGAAATAGTGACGTATTTTATATGCAAAACAATAGACCATAGTCGAACGTATAGTATATTTCGTATGGGAAATTTTCAAAGTCAATGTAGATGTGTAGCCATATGTCGCAGCGCTTGTCAGGATTCCAGAGAAAAAAGTGTAGCTGCCGATGTTCTTGAAATTGATCGTCCTGGCGCTATTTATTTACCGAATGATACAATTTCCAGCACTGTTTTGTCACATAAGAATGTGAATGCATCGACTTTTTCAACTGGTATTATTTATTTTAAAAAATATAAAAAGAATAATTTAGAAAAATGCCAAATACAATTTTTCTCAACTGAATATGATTTAATTTTAACCTCAAATACAAAGCAATATTTTAAATTACGTCTTGATGATCATCTTCCGCCATCATTGAATCATGTCAAGACAAATCCGAATATATCCTATTCAGTAAATCTTATCCATAAAAACTCTCAAGATAAAATTCGTTGTTCAATACCAATTCATGTTTTACCATACGTTAAACTTGATCTACCTGTACTTTTATCAACGATTTGTTTTTCGGTCCTGCAGAAAATCGATTATCCGCTATTAATCTTCAAGTTAAAACGAATCGTGCTGTTTTTATACTTGATGCTGTCATACAGATTTTCTATGAAATTCAAAATCCAAATCAATAATATATTCATAATATTGAAATAAATTTAGGAATTTATTATAGTATTGAATCAAGTGTTTGTTCAAGAAGATATATGTAGTGGAGTGGAAACTTGTAATAATATTTTAAAAAATAAGAAATTAATAAGAAATAGAGTTTTGATAACTATACCGAAGAAAATGTGTTTACCGCCCACATTTTAATTTCAATATGGGCAAGAAAATGCCGCAACATCGTTTTCTTTAACCATTGAATATAAAATACAACTTAAAATTTATGTGGACATAGAAAATGTATGGCAAGTCGATGTATCTATTATTATATGCAATGATACTATTGAACAGACTGATACTTCTCGAGAAGAAAATAATCCGGAGCCTGAAGTAATTGCGAAAAATTTTATTGTGAATGCTAATATTGTTGAATAAATAAATTTAATATAATTTTGCAAGGATTAAAATATGAAACAGGATTTTAGTTCTTGTTGTTCACAGTAGGAGGGATTGATTGAATATTTTTGGTGACTAGAATAGTTGATCGATGATGCAAATGCTTCCATGCAAAGATTTCAACGGCATAGAACAACTTGTCAGACATGTATCATAGGTTTCTAAAATTACTCAACTGCTTGCGATGAGGACAAAGCATTCATCTTTTCAAGTTTACGATTTAAGCGCTATCGAAAAAGAGGAAATGAATCGTGTTATTTTATCGCTGAATCTCGGAGGATTCGTTTTTGACCTTTGAGAAATCACTCGTTGGTTCCGAAAGGTCAACTCTTACCGTAGGCTCGAGAACACAGCATGAACTGAAATATAAAAATATGAGTCAAAGAAATGATGAATCACCTGAAGCAGTCCTACAATTGGTTTAGATTGTGCTTTCACAATCGTTCTGGAATCTTACCATGGCTATTGATAGTACTGATTCATAAAAATGAATGGGTTGAGTAAAGAAACAAACTTTTGAATTCCCTGCTCGCATTCAAAATAGTTCGCTAGTTGTTTTAGTAGCTTAAATCTTGCAAAAACTTTGTTCAAAGTCACTTTATTATTCTACTTCCATCATATAAATGAATAATACAAATAATAAAATCTCATTATCAATTAATCTTCGTCAAACAGCAAAACACGTTAATATACGACTAAACTGACGTAAGATTCGATTGATCGATTGCCTTATAACCACCTGCGTATTCAGTCTTATACTATGAAGTTCTATATTGTCAATCGAAATACCAGAAAAATCTACCGTCACCGATTGTACATATTACTCCGGTTTCTGTATCGTCATTATTAAGAGAAGTGGTGATCTACGGAAAGAATTGCTTTGAAAATCTGATAGGATGAGTCGAGTCTATTTCAATCCTCCTGGTGGATACATGTAAATTCTTATTACCTGAAAAATTAATTCAATAGCTTTGCGCCTGAATGAAGTTTTCTTTGGTTATATAGATGTCCCCACAAAAAAATCCTTTTGATTTAGACTGATAATTAGTCTAATAAATAAGATGATTTTTATCTATGATTAATTGAAGTAGAAATCAATCGTCGCAACTACACTGTGCAACTTGGAAATTTCCAAACAATAAAAATTACAATTTGATTGGTCTACATCGGGCTCGTATATGTGCAAACAAACATAAATCAAACGCTTTCTCGCCAACTTGGAAATATATATTATTCATTAAATATATGATCGCGTATCCACCCAATAACATGTATCAGAATACAAAATCTATTTCAAATGTTATGAAATTTGACATTGACAAGTCGATATATCATTGAAATTGGCGTAATTGAAGTTTAATTTAGAAATTTACAATATTCCCAACGAGGAAACATCTATTTCATTCTTTTTTATTGAAAAAATATATTGCTCATTTCTTGTTACATTAACTTGAAATTTCTCCTGAACATATTCTCTCTACTATAAAAGTAATATATGTTACTTGCATTTTTCAAAATCATGTTACGAGTATTACTTGGAAAAATCCAACTTGACTTTCCTCGCCTTTTATTTTCATTCTTTCTCATATTACAGCATTTTATCTATGTTTTGCGTACCCTTTATACTTGGATTTATTTCCTGTGAAAAGTAATCTTCTCGACTTGCATTAAAAGAAAAGCATATCTTTTGATTCAGATCGAAATTAGCAAATATGAACTGTCAAATAGAGCGGTTGTATCCTATTGGCGTTTAAACGAAATTCAATATTGTTATCATGGATTCAGTTGCAACAACAGCAACACAATCTGTCACAGTTACTAATAATAATTTGGAAACATTTTCACTGGTTTGGCTTGACAATTCTGTTAATAAGTCAGAAGAAAACCGTCATACTCAACAACGATTGAGGACAATAATTAATCATTTACGAGCGTTTGACAACAGTCATGATTGTGAAGATTATATTCGATCTGTATCAAGTCATGATCGGATTATTATTATTATTAGTGGCCTATCAGGCAGACGATTAGTACCACGTATACACAGTCTTCGGCAAGTTTACTCAATCTATGTTTACTGTTTGGATAGAAAAACAAATAAAAAGTGGACTGAAGACTTTAACAAAGTAAATACGTATTCACACTTTCTTCAGCACAGACTACAAAGCGAGAGTAACTCTAGATATCTTGCTTAAGTATTTTATTCCGATGATTTGCCAAATTTGTCTGACATTGATTACGAATGTTTTATCATTCGTTTTTTTAATTATCAATAGTCAAAAATACTAGTTCATCAGCAATCTTTAGAGTAAATTACCATTTGTACAGTGATATATGAGCCTTCAAATAAGTTGAATTCTTGTAAATCCTGTTTGCATACTAATAAACTAGAGTGATGAAACGACGGGAAATTGGTGAATCATCGATAACGGTTTTTGCCAGTATAAGTCGTGATAAACCGGTTACTAGTGGTACAGTTACCAATACAATTGGTGATCGTCACTATTTTATCCCTCTAATAGAGAAATCAGGTCAAATCTTTCAATTTTCATTATTTTTAATTTCTATGAATTCACAGACTATTGTGTCAATTACTTTAAACATAAATTTTAGGTAGGCCATTACCTATCGATTTCTATTTCTTACACTATGAAGAGTTGATTAACCGATTTAGACAACTAAGATCATCCGATTCTCCCGTAAATGCAGTTCTGTATCGCTTAGAAAAAGAAGCTCTAATATATGTAAATCTATCAAGCAGTCGTTTTTGTTGATAAACTTAGTGAAACGAATCCTTGTCAAACTTTAGATTCAAGCCCTTATAACTAAATCAGAAGAATTAGTAAATCGAATTGAACAAGATCAAACAAAACGTATTAAAATAAAAGTAGATGAAGTTCTCTCGATAAATATATTGAATAAAGATCAAGGCCAATCGACAACTGGGCTTAACGGTCAATTTGTTCATTCTCAGCTATTAATTGATTGTCTACTTCGAATGAAATCGAGCACACAAGAGAGAAATGATCTTATTCATCTATGTAAAGAAGAATACAAAGGTAATCCCCACGAGCTATCAATAATAAATGATTTTGAAAAAACTTACACATCATCTCAAGCTATATGGTGGTATACAAGACAAACATTTCTCTACCGTTTATTGAATAAAGCTTTACGAGTGCAAAATATTGATTTAATATATTTATTTCGTTTTTTTATTCGTGATTTGCATCGACAATTATTAGAATATCAATGTGCATCATCTATACGTGTTTATCGTGGTCAATTGATGTTTCAAGATGAACTGCAAATATTAAAAGATTCCACAGGACAATTTATTTCGATAAATTCATTTCTATCGACCAGTCTTAGTCGTGAGTTAGCGTTAGTTTTCTCTCGTAATTCTGATCAATGTGAAAAAGTTCTTTTTGAAATCGATGCTAATCCACAATATGGTTATGAAAAACCATTTGCAAATATAAGCAGTCATAGCCATTTTCCTGACGAATGCGAAGTACTATTTATGTTAGGTTCAATATTTCGTCTTGTTGATATTCACTGTAACGAGGATAGTTTATGGATTATTCATATGACATTATCAAGTGAAAATGATCATGATTTGAAACCGATACTTGAACATATGAAAAATCAACATAGTCCAGATGAAACTGATCTTCTTTCATTTGGTCATGTTTTACGAAATATGGGTAAATTTCATGATGCCGAAAATTATTATCGCCGTTTACTTCATCCATATCCAACTGATTCACAAGAATTAGGTCGATGTTATCATGCAATTGGCATAATCGCCTATGAGAAAGGTGATTATGATTCAAGTTTAAAGTGGCATGAACATTCACTGAAAATTAAATTAAGCTCATTAAAATCTGATGATCCACATTTAGCCAGCAATTATAATAGTATTGGAACAATTTATGAGAGAAAAAAAGATTATACACGTGCACTACAATCATTTCATAAATCATTAGTTATTCTGCAGCAAGCATTCGGTGATGATCATCCAAGAGTAGCTGTATGTTTAAATAATATTGCTGGTATATATCAAACAGAGAAAAAATATAATGAAGCATTAGAATATAATAAAAAAGCTTTATGCATAAGAGAAAAACATCTTCCGGCAGATCATCCCGATCTGGGAGCATCGCATAGTAATATAGGAATAATCTATCGATGTCTTGGATATTACGATTTAGCATTGAAACATCATAATCGGTCTCTTGATATTCATCGAAAAACACTTCCACCACAACATCCGCAAATAGCGTCAACACTTACTAATGTTGGTCTTGTTTATGAAGATAAAGCAGAATTTCAACCGGCGTTAAATAATTATGAAAAAGCTGCTTCGATCTATCGTCAAGCATTACCATTGACACATCCGAATATAATCAAAACCAAGCAACTTATTCAGCGAGTTTTATTGAAAATGTAATGAAAATCTTTATTCAAGAAGTACCGACAAAACCATATCGTGAATCATTGTAAATTAACTATATTGTTTTCAATTTGAATGATTGTATGTTTTTACACGAGATGTCACAGATATTTCGGGTTAAGAAAAAATATATGTAATTTAGTAGAATCGAATTATCACCATCGCAAATATTCGACAGACGAAATCATAGGATGTGTGGTGATGTAGACTCCCATAACCAAAAACTGTTCAGAGTCTACGAGCAAAACATATAAGATTTCTTCTACATTTTCCTCTTTTCTTGAAAAAACAATCATTTCACTTCGAACTATTTACAACCGCTACATCCGATAATCTCTTATTTTTCGTTTCCGTCGCATTTTTAATAGCCTAACACGTCAATATATTCTGCACTATCGATATCATGATCAAGTATCGTTGAGTTTGCAATATTTCTTTCTTGACAATATGAAGAGATGTCGCTTTATAATTAATCGTTTCTATTGTTGAGGGTCATTAATCAAATAATGATTGGTCAAAAAATAAGCCAGAGCTATTCTTTAAACACGTGGCTCTAACAGAAACAAATAATTACATTTATTTCTTGTTGTTGAAAAACTACAAATTTTTTATCTTTAGATTTTTATCAGAGCCAATCGAGATAATTAATATATCACAATGAGTTTTCTATGGGATTGGTTTACCAGTATTTTAACGTCGCTGGGTATGTACTCTCAAATATTAACCTTGAATATCTATTTATTCTTTTGTTTCAAATAGGTCTCCATAAAAAAAGTGGTAAACTTGTATTTCTTGGCCTTGATAATGCTGGAAAAGTAAAATGAATAATATTCAACGTAAAAAGTAAAATATTTTTCTTTCTTCCCTCATCTTTTAGACAACTTTGTTGCATATGCTTAAAGATGATCGACTAGCACAACATGTGCCGACACTACATCCAAGTATGAAATTTATTCGATACTCATGATGATTAACTTTTATTTCTTATAGCTTCGGAAGAATTAGTTATGGGCAATATGAAATTTACAACGTTTGATTTAGGTGGTCACGCTCAAGGTAAAATTCTATTTTTTTTTTTGACATTGAATGATGTATATGAGTTCATGAGCAGGAAAAAGAGAGGTGTTGATTCTAAAATTTAATTTTGTTTTTGTTATTAATTAAAGCTCGTCGTGTATGGAAAGACTATTTTCCGGCTGTTGATTCAGTTGTATTTCTTGTTGATGCAGTCGATCGAACGCGTTTTGCTGAAGCCAAAGCTGAACTTGATGTTCGTATATTCAGTTTTACATAGTCAATTTAAAAAAAATGAAATCTTTTCTAGAGTTTATTAACAGACGAACAAGTAGTAAATGCACCTATTGTTGTACTTGGAAACAAAATTGATTTACCAGGAGCTGTCAGTGAACAAGAACTTCGTTATGTACTTGGTATTTCTACAGCAACAACAGGCAAAGGCAATGTTCCTCGTTCGGATGTATCTGGCCGTCCTATGGAACTATTTATGTGTAGTGTACTAAGACGTGAAGGCTACGGGGAAGCGTTTCGATGGCTTTCACAATATCTGTAGGAATACAATCAAGTTGATATCAATATCGCTTTTTTTCCTTCTTTTGTCTTCTATGCTTTATCTTCCTGGTCTTTATATACTCACTCTGTCTTTTGTTTTCTCTTGTCGGATTGATTAAAAACGTTCATTTCAAAATTGAGCGCAATTGAGTTGAATATAAAACATCAACATACGTATGGTTTTTCTTTTTATGCGTCACTTCTTTTCCTCTGTCATCTTACAGTCTCTTTTTTTGTATAAAAGAAGAAAAATAAATGTATTGCAGGATACCGTTATTTATCAAAAAGAATATCATTCGGAAAAATCTAAATTAGTGATTGAAGATAAAATAGTCTATCTCAACAATTAAATGCCTGATGACTGTTCCTGAAATGACTCCATAGAAAAAAAAAATCATCATGCATTAACCATGTGATCTGATATGTTAACTGCTGATAAAAATATTATATTTACAAAATGTTATCAACTATAACTTTGAAGTAATATAATTGACTTTCATGAAGAGATAGTTTTCCCGTTATTTATGAAAAAGAAAATTACTTAGTATTGTTATAATGAGCAATAAGATACATCTTTATGCTCATCAAAGCATGCAAATTTAATACAATTTTTTATTTCATAGCTTTCAGAAGGTGACAGTTCTATCTTGAAAACAAGTTATTCGTACCACTGCAAGCCATCTTTTGTTTTTAATAATATTTATCATAAGAATACTTCTTTATCAACTTACGTAACGAAAACATGTGAAAGATATTTACATATTTGTTTTTTCTCTATGCAGTAGTTTTGTCGAGAGACAGATTTCTTTTCAATTTATTCATCAATATTAAAAATGTATCTTCAACAAGTTCCGCAATTTAATTTCCTATGTAAAGAATTATGAACTGCTAAGTTTTTTGTTTTGTTTTCATATAAATAAAATAAACGATACATTTTTCACCTTAATCATTATTGACATTGTCTTTTTCTTTATGAATCAAAAATAGTGTCCAGATAATTTGACCAATCATGATAACAAACGAAATAATAACAACATAATGAACAATAGACAGAAGGACTTCAATAATTGAGTTTGATAAGAATGAATTCATAGTGATTATATAAGCTCAACACGTCAACGTTAGTTTGACGATCAATGATATGGGGTATTACATAATTTATTATACATGTATTGTTTTAGCGCCACGAATACCTAGCCGATCGATTGTTTATCTTGTTTCTAATCCTACTAACAAATACAAAATAAAACTAAATCATTTCTATTGTCGAACATCCAATGGTTATACATTCGATATGTCATATAAATTCTTATATTTCTTCTTTCTATTTCTTATTTATACCACTTATGAATGTGATATTTGGAAAGCAGCTGATTGTCCACAAGGACCATCAAAAGGTGATGAAGATTTAATGAAGTCTCATTTATATACGGAAGAACAATTAACTATTTTTTGTGATGCAAGTAAAGAGTTCGCTGATTGTGTCAATGAACATCTACTTTGTTGCGATATGCGTACTGAATATGCAGCAGCATTAGCATCACTCGATGTTCAACTTAAACGTAATGCAATACGTGCTGGAAGATATTGTTCGGAATTTAATGAAACAAACCCCATACAATATAAATGTCGAACAACTCTACAAACAATTCCGGGTACAAGATATCGTACAACAATGAGAACAATACCTGTGTGTAATTTAGAAAAAGTAAAAAAAAATATATTTGAATGAAATAGAGCGAATTTTTTATTTGTTCGCTTTTTCATATATAATTAGGCTGGAACAATTTGTAGTCCTATTATTGAAAATCGTGTTCGTTTTGATCGACGATGGTCTGCACACGAAAAAACGAAATGGTGCAGAGATGCCTATGAATATCATAAATGTGCACTTTCATATATAACAAACTGTACAATAACACCGGTTGCTGCCGACGTTGCTCAAATGAATGTCTTCTTAGATTATATTGAAAAATCTGCTAATCGTGAATGTCCAGGTGGTTTATATGGCTGTACGGATAAATCAGAAAATGACATTCAGTGTCAAGATAAAATCAGTTTTTTTCTGGAAAAAAATGCATTAGCTAATGAGACTTCCACAAGACAATGGTCGTTGTTAATTTTATTTTGCATGTTTTTTTATTTTGATCATTTTCTTTTTCGTTTGACTCGCAATTAAAAAATAATCCGACAAAAGAAAAACAAAATTGAGCGATGCGAAATTCATCGCAAACCAATTTACTGTTATTAAAGTTTTAACTGCAAAATCTCTGTTTTCGTCCCACGTAGTGTGAAAAAACACGTTTCTTTTTCCTTTCCGGCAAATATTTTGATGAATATCGTAACGATGGATTTTTTTTCTTCCACGTCAACCAAAAAGAAAAAAATATTTGCAGTAATGAAAACAATGAAGGGAAAAAAATAATCGTCGATAAAGATGCAATCCCCATCATTGCTAAGCCTGATACCAGCAAACTAATGATATACGCGGAGATACTCTCAATTTGCCTTGTGCGTAAGTATATATGTCAAAGCTAAACACGCGTTTCTTTTTATGGTTATTGGCCACAAGAAAAATTGTATTTTATAAATATCATCATTCTACTAGTTCTTTTTTTTCTTCTTTTGTTGCCATTCGACGTATTTAATTCGAGAAAAGAAGAAAAAGGTGTATATTGCTTAACAAAGCAAAAGGAATAGACCGAACAAAAAAAAAACATCGTTGACGCTCGTCAAGACATTATGGTTTCTATAAATTTTTCTTCTTTAGCGGAAAATGAGAAAAATACTAGTATAAAGAATGATTTCAACAGTTTATTTTTCTGTTCACCGAAGAACAACGCACACCTCGCTTGTAATCAACTACCGAAGAAAACGCAAGATTATTTTCCATTCCGTTCCGCAACTTATCAACAATTAAACAATTATTCTCAAACAGCATCTGTATTTATTAAAAGACAAATAAATATTTTTGATCGGCATCCAGGAAGATTCTTTTTAAAAAAAACAGAGATTATGAATAACCGATCGAATGTACAAGAATATTGGCGATATAGGGACTCTCAAAATAATGGATCGACCCAAGTGAGTTATTCTTTGTTTATTTACACGATAAAATATCGATAAAACAATTTTTGATCAATTAATTTTTTTGACTTTCAGACATCAATTTTTGTTAATAAAAATATTCATATACCTTCCTATTTACAAATATCCAAACGAAATGAGAATGAATATTCGAGACATAGAAGCGCTCATGTAAGTCGATTTGCTTTATTCTAAAATATAATTTTTTCAAGAGACCTATAAATATAATTCTAGTGTTCAATAAGTAGGTCAATAACCAGAGTTGATAAACCTTTAAAAACTCATTACAAGAGTCGAACTTTGGTTTACGACAAAGAGGCTAAAGTAAGCAGAAATTTATTGAATTAAAAATAAGAAATAGATTTTATTTCTTCGACAGCGTTTTCTTGTTCCTGACGATAAAGTATCTTGGAATGTTGACTTTCCCGACTATAAGCCTGTTGAATATACAACTACTAAAATTCAACGAAATCCAAAAGCTGATTCATCTGATCCGTTAGTCTATTGTTTGGTTTTGGTTTTGGTGAAGAAAAGAAAATAATTTATATAATTTAGTTTAGATCGACAATAACTAAATTCAATCAACTTGACAATAAAATCGATCGACGAAGCTTTACTGGTTTCTATTATATCGATCCAATAACTCAACGGCCTAGAAATCCAATAGGAAGAACTGGAAGTAAGCAACTCTAAATTTCATGCTATCAGAAATTCTTACTATAAGTCAGCCGATTTTCACATAAATAAATGAAGAAAAGTTATGTGTTATTTTTTTTGAATTCATATAGAAGCTATTATGTAAAGCTCATTTACTTCATTTTTCAAACAAAAAAAAACCCATAGCGACGTAAAGTGCTGCAAAAATACATAATTATAAAAAGCAATTTGAATATTTGCACAGCTAGAAAGAAAAATATTTTTTATAAAGAAATTATCGGGCGCCATCTCTCGCATTAAACAAAAAACAAAGTTATTCATTCACAGGAATTTGTAAGTGCATAAATATTGGAGTAGAGAAGTTCATTCGAAATGTTTTTGGTAACAACTCGTATGATTTTTACATTAGATTTTGATTAATAAGATATTTTTCTATAAATGTTAAATACTAAAGCACAAGTTCTTCAAGATTTTCAATGATGCACTGTCCTCTTCTTTTATGAGATATTGAAATCATCTGAATTTCTTTCTTTAACAAGTATTGTTCTTTTAGCATAGACACACCAAAATATTGGAAGCCTTATTAAATATGAATGTTTTATTGGGTCATGAAAAATTCATCTAGACAAAAATTTTCGGAACGAACTTGGAAATGAGATTTTCAAAATTTTGGATCCCAATAATATTCTATTTCGTTCTAGTGACTGGTCGTGGTCGTTTATATCATTGGGGCCCAAATCATGCTGGTGATCCAGTTGTCACACGGTATAGATTGACTTTTGAATTGTGTATACGATCGTTTTCATATTCTTAGTTGGAAACGGGATGAAAATGGTGCAGTAGTCTATCGTCAGTTGAATGCATATAGTTCTTTAAAACCTGTGCTTGAATTTGTTTCTATTAAACGACACGATACAAAACAATGGGCTATACCAGGAGTACGATATATACTAATACACTTTCAGTTTTACCATTATCAATCATTTAAAGGGTATGGTTGATCCAGGTGAAAATGTTAGCGAAACTGTTAGGCGTGAATTTCAAGAAGAAGCAGCGTCTGATGGTATTGATCCGAATAATATAAAAAAGTTGTTCACGAATGGTTATAAACTATATGAATCATATGCTGATGATCCTCGAAATACAGATAATGCTTGGATGGAAACGGTAGCTATGTAAGTTAAAGTTTAAGGGAAACAAAAAAGAAGAATATTTTGGATTAAAACTTTTAGGCATTTTCATGACGACACTGGCGTATTGACAGATAGTATTAACTTACATGCAGGTATGACATTTAAAAAAAGAAAAGAAATTGTTTTGCATTTGTTTCGTTTCTTAGGTGATGATGCTGAGCAAGTTGTTTGGTGTGAAATTCATCGAGCACTTGATTTATACGCATCTCATAAAGAGTTTGTTAAAGCAGCTGTTGATCGTTTGGATGCATTTTGGTGATTGAAAATAATACATTTAGACATACATATATATTTATTTCGAGAGCGCAGAAAAAAAGCAAAACGTGATAAATATAAGACTAGTAAAATGAGATTTACGAACTATTTAGTCATCATCTGTATCAGATCGATTATTTTCGTGTGTTTGACTATCTCGTACAGTGTTGCTTTTAACACATTCAGCCGATGAGAGATAACCAGATCTATGAATAGTGAAAATACAAAACATTGAATAAAAACCAAGCAAAAAAGAAGATTGTCTTACTCTTGTAAAAAGCCTTCAACATCACTAGGAACAAAGTCGTCGCCTAATTTATTTGTCAATGAAATAAACGACGAAAGTAATTCACCACCACGATAAACTAAAAGTGCTGGACAACCATTTTTAACCTAAATGGATAGCGGCAACAAAAGCGAATTGAAAAAAACGAACGAACAAAGCAGTTCACTTACAAAATTACGACTAAGTTGAGCTTCCGATGCTTGAATTCGACAAAACTTCACATACGGATATTGTTCAGCAAGAATAGGAATACAATGATTCATTGCTTTACAACCAATTGCTGACTATTAAAAATAAAATTTTAAGGTTAAATTATCTTCTGAAAAAGGGCATTTCAACTCTAACATCATTTTTCTATCCCGTTACGTTCGTTTTCAACTGAATCAAAAAAATAATTTTAGCGATCACTTTTTCGATCAAATGATTGGACTAGATAATCAGAATGATTAGAGTACGATGAATTCTAAATATAGTATTTGTTTGTTTTTTGTTTTGCATGAAATCCGACTTATCTTTCTTAACATCGATTACTAGTGTGCATAGTTAGATGATCTATCATCCGCCTTTATAGAATATCCAAGCAGGTGTGCGTCACTAAACTGAGTATGACGAGCATTTTACAATCTCAAACATGATAAGTCTAATTTTTAAAACTAGGTATCGCATAGTTTTTATTCTGAGACTAACACCATTATCAGACAATCAAAATATCATTGGCTATTCGTTCGAGATAATAATCCGTGGAGTTAATCATCTAGTTTCTATGGGTTCTTGCATTTGTTTAGAACTTTAAGTGAACCCGTTGAACACTTACGACAATTGAATTTTTGCTTTAAAGAACTTTTCTTTTCTCATTGGGACTCATTTCTAATGTAGAGAATGTAATAGTCGAATACGAACGAACCTGTTCAAAGACATATACAATAACAGTAACATTTTTATTTTCATCATCGATTGCACTGGTAAAATTGTCACGATTCAATTCAACTTGTTTGCCAAAACGAGGACTGAAAGATAAAATTTATTGTATTGAATTCATTTAAAAACTAAATACATACGCATCCAATAATCGCTGTTGCATTTGATACAGCATTTTTTCTCGATATTCTTTAAAAAAATCATCTTCAGCATCGAAAAACTCATCTTCAGCTTCTTGTTCTTTTTTCTTTGCTTCTTCATCGTCCAACTAATACGAAACAAACAAAAAATAGTCTAGATTGGCGTAGACCCAGATTTTACTTAATTATTTTCCTAAGCGTATATAATGAACTACGAAAACAACTCCTACGAAGTCATAGGCAATGCGTTAAATATTCACAAATAACACGGTACATAAATTTTACCATAACATGATTGAAAAGCATTCGGCAATCCAGTAAAAAGTTGTCAAACGAGTCATTTGCTCACAAAAAAAAACAGCTCTTATATTGACCTTGAAAAGGGCTGAAAATCAATAAAATGCATTGTCGAATCCATCCGGATAACAATAGCAGCAATACAGATTTCCTGGAAAACGAAAATCTATGATTAGTCTGCAACTCTGAGATCGATCTAACTATCAATAACTGCACAAGTTTATTTCCCTGTGATTCATCGTGATAAGATGTACTGAATTCTTGTCATGAATGAATAATAAAGCTTTTGAGTTTATTTGAAATGTTTGGTTGCTATGCTCGAATTGACGACTTCCCCTGGGGATCAATCTGAAGGCCTTGCTAAAATATTTTTTTTGTGATTGAAAATTTACGCCCTTTACAAATTCTATTTTTATTTCAGTGAAGTTGACAACTAAAACAGCCACTTGTACTCACATAAGATCTGCATGTCATAGATAATTTTTTGATTAAAGCATCTTTTTCTCTATTTTGTTCTTCTCGTTTTTCTGCTTCCAATTGTTTAAATCGTCGCCAATCTTCAATAACACCTTTTGGACCAGTCTAAAATGAAAATTTCTTTTTATAGAAAACAAAACAATAATTCCTTTCAATTGTTTACATTTTCAGTAAAACCACTCGATGAACTCGGTTGTTTCAAATCCGACTCCGGGATGAATCTTGTTGTTGATTTTCCATGTCTCTTGCCATCATCAGAATCATTACCTTAATTGAGAAAACCAAAACAGACAGTTGAACAATTTTATCGATCATGCTCAACTAATTTACCTTTATCATCCTCATCGTCAGATGAACTACTACAATAGTTTTGTAATTTTTCTCCAAGCAAACGATCATCAAGGGTCACCATTCTTGTTCTATCCTGCTTTGGGTTGCAACGCAAAAGAGATATGGAAAAAAAAGATTCTATTCTCTCATTGGCCAATTTCTCTGACAAATCATATTCAATTTGTCAAAACCATAAACAAAAGAGAAAGATGGCCATTGTCCATTGATTTAAGATTTCTTTTCTTCTTTTATTTTTAATATTATTATTGTGTGTATTTACAGATTGCGTAGAAATGACTTCACGTCGGGGAGTATTTTTCAGTTCAAAATCACGCTCAGCTGATTCAAATCTAATTGCCGATGGTAAAAATCGATCGCCACCCAAAACTGAATCATCAACATCAACATCAACTATAATTCAAAATGTAGATCAAACTAGTAGCAGTAGTAATAGTCAAACTTCGCCACCAAAATTAGAAACTGTTGCGACGGGAATTGTTAAGAAAAAATTAATATTAAAAGGCAAAAAACGAACTTTAGCAAAAACAATTTACTCTGGGCCAAGAAAAATCTTTAGTACAAGTTATAAAGTTAGTTTTTTAGTGTTTCTAAAAATTTAATTCGGATTTTGTTTTCTTTTAGGCTAATCGAGCACAATTAAATCATAAAGCATTTTTTGGTAGTGAAACGAATGAATATGATTTAGACAAAAGTGAAAAATCATGCACAGATTTTTGCTCATCACAACCAGTTGTCGAGCAACGACCGATATCCAAAGCGTCATTAGGTATTAAATCGAGAAGTTCAGATAATATTCGTGCAATAGCAACAACAATTATTGAAAATGGAAAGACAAAACTCGTTTGTCCACGAGGTCAAAAGAAGGTAAAACTTTTCATAGTGAGAATTGAACAAATTAATTTTTTGATTGTTAAAAGATGTATACAATAGTGCCAAATATACGACAACCGACGACATGCGAAGAATTAGGAGAAACTCAGAGTTATATTGATGATATGGAATATCTTCTTGCTGGATTTCAAAGTGATAAACTGCTCAGTAGTCGATGTCTCAGGTAGGAATAATATGAGTCGAAGTTTGTGATTAGTCACAAAATCATAGTGCATCTTCTTTTTGTGTGAGGTGTTTTGCATGCTATAGACTCGAACAAAGCACGTGCATCCTTTCCTGTAAGAGACACATCGGTCAAAAAGGTCTCCGACTGAGTTTCTTGCATTTTTAAATCGAATCTTTCTTCATTGGCGCGAATGTCTCGTTACTCAATTTTTCTTAAACAGTTCACTTGCAAAAACCAACTAAGTATCAATTTAAATCCTCATTGATTGACTTTCTAGTGCTGTGAAATTCGCGGAATTATGTGTTAAACCATCATTTCGAATGCATCTACGAACTGAAAGTGCACTTGATCGTGTTCTGGATTTACTAAAAGATGCACCAGAACTACCAGTAGGTCTTCTATTTATAGTATTATGTTTCCTAATGTTTTTTGTTTAGAGTTTAAATTTATGTACAGCTTTTATTTTATATGTCCTATCATCAGATACATTAACATCTGGAATAAGCTTAAGTACAGTACGTTTAATGATTGAACTAGTCAGTAAAAGTCCACAGAAAAACTCCATTGATGATGACGAATATAAAAAAATGCAACAACGGATATTATCAATTATTCATCAATCACTACAAGATGACATTTTCTATAAACAACGATTTAATGTATGAATCAATTATAATGATATACGTGTATATGCGTCTTTTTCTGATTTCTAGACATGTGATATCATACTCGAAACATTTGTTAATATTTCTCGCAGTCATTTAAAAGAATGGTTAAGAAATGAGGCACGTACATTGAATGGTTTTGATCTGATGATCGATGCGAGTAAGAGATGTTTGATTCTTTTTAAATAAAAATACTATCTAAAAGGAGCACCTGAGTACAGCAGTAAAAAATTGAATTCTGTTCTCATAGGCGGTAAGAACTTGAGACTGAGATAAAAATAAATGTGGAAACTTCGGATTTCATCCGAGAGTTATGTGTACTGCAAAAAGTGCATGCGACATATGAGTCATTCTAGAATGCCTGAACACGAAAATTATCATGAGAAACTAGACAATTTGATTTCTGGATGGAGTTTTTGTGAATTTTGAGACGTTTTTCAGGCGATGTTTCGTTAGAAAGCTATGACTTATTTCAAAACTAATATCAGATTTAGAATCAGCGTTAAAAACTGAGTCGATTTATATATGTTGTGAATAATTCTGAGAAATTTTTTTTTTTGAAAAATCCCTGTACTCCCCCTCAGGGATGGTCTGATCAAAAATGACAATTTTTTCGACAACTCAGCCATTTCTTGACGGATCCTTCTCATCTTCGAACTCGCCCTAGATATTGATAAGACAATTCTGTGCACAAAATTTCAGCTCAATCGAATGTAATTGTGAAGACTTATCGAATAAACGGACGGCCGGACACACTGACCGATTCTACAGTGTACTCTTTTTTTTTGAGTACACAAAAAATATCTTTTCTGTCGACACCTGATAAAAAAAAAGATTCTACTAATAAAGAGAACCCCATGAGACATTGATTACTATTAATATTAAACACATGTTGCGTATCAAATTGAAGCATATTTTTTATTATTATTGTAGAGAATGTTTAATGAATTCATATCGTGTGGTAGTTACATTTCATTGTGAGCTTTTCACAATGTCGCATTTCATTTTGAGTAAGATCTACTAAAAAGAACAAATAACATCTTTGTCCAGTTCGATTCGTCAAATGTATAGGAAAGTCATAGTATAATTTTTTTTCTCATTTCATTATTTCACACGAGTGAAGAATTTTTTATTTGACGATGATTGACGAGAAAATTTCTTTTCGCAATTGTTTACTGTAAATATTCTAACTAATTTCTCAATCGGTTTAATAGAGAAGGAAGAAAAAAAATAATGAATGTATTCTTAGAACAGTAAGAGTTACGATGAAAAGAAAAGAAAATTCTTCATTTAGTCCTTAGTCACATAAATGTCCATCGTCGTTATTATTCTAATTAGTTTTGTTAAGATCATGTTTCCTTAAAGATAAATTAATCGAAGTTATGCACCAATTATATCTTCTTGTTTTTCATCATGCACGCACGCGCCTATGAATGCTGATAATCAGAAAATAAATTACATATATGTGTATAGACAGTTTTAATCGATTTCTCAGTTAAACCGCAGCTATTCAATTTCATAATTAAAAGACTTCGTGAGAAAATAATTAAATCGTCGCTTTCTAATTCTACTTATTAGTAATTTTTGGCAACCATGTAACAATTATATACATAGTGATAATAGAATGAAAAATCATATGATGCCGAACTTAATAGATTATCAAGAAGAAGAAGAAGAAGAAGAAGACAGCATCAACTGTAGCGAAGTCTATGACATATGACGGAAAAAGTCAATCTATAATTCATGAGTAACAATAACAGAACATCAAGCAAATTTGAGTAATTGCGTAGTATTATACAGATAACGAGGAGAAATCTGATGATCTGATCTTTAGTCAACGAAAGCTATAGCTTACAATTTTTATTATTTTCGTCTGTAGCATAACACATGAATAGCGTAAGTTAAACAATTAGGACGATACAGACAGCACGTGAAAATGACACAAAGGTTATATGAAGAATATGACTTTTCCTTACGTGATAGTAATTGTATCACGCGAGAGCAATGTTTTTCTTTGTCAAGAACTTGTTTGGACTCTTGTTCTTTCGGCAAACTATTTTAAATAATTATCTTTTTAGACAAAATCTAAGAAATACTTTAAAGTAAAGATTGATAAAAAGCTTCGTAATTTCACAAAACGTTTTGATCTTGATGAGTATACATGTAAATGTAGTATAGAAATCTCGTTTTAGTAGATTATGCATAAAATCTTAGAATTTCTGTTTTGTCTGTTCATAATATAAGATCTTGATCGCTTTTGAAATTTAGTTAAATTATTATTTTCACTTTATTTTAGTAAAATAAGACAAATTTGAGTTAATGTTTAATTCAAAGTTTATTTGAAGCACAAACGAGAGTTTCATTAGTAGTAATAGCGGCTACTCGAGAATGGAGCAACATAGTTATTTGTTGCATAAATCCGGCCTTGTGGAGTATATACCATTGAAGGATAACCGTATACTGCGGGATATCCAGGAACAACATCCGGTCTACGACCAAGTATGCCATCGCCATTAATATCTACTCTCGTTATTCTTTCAAGCATACCTAAATATCCTAACATTGAAAAGATCAGATTAGTAAAGAAATATCTTCTTTTTCTTTATATATGTATTTACCTTGCCCACCTATATATCCATCACCATTGAGATCCATGCCAAGGCGACGTTCAAGATTGTTAACAATGTAACCTGTTCAAAACAGTAAACAGAGCTCATTTAAATTGTTCAACAATGCACACCGAGTTTATATTGAGTAATAACTTACTGTCCATATTTCTCATTTCTGTATTTTTTTTTGCAAAAATACAATTGATATCACGTTTCAAGTAATAAATGAAAAGTAACAGCAATATTATATGTGCCTCATCTTAAAAAGGCAACATTGACAGTAAAAAAACAAATTTTTCACGCATGAATTGCGCTATCGCCTTAAAACATCACTACACATGACTTTAAGGATGCATAATTTCTTACTCAGAGTAGGAAGTGAAACGATGAATAATGATACGTACATTATTTGCTTCGTTGTCAAAATAAAAATATGAGTTGAATCTTGATAAATAATAATCAATGCAAACATATACCTCTCAAAGCAACCGTTTCTTTTTTCTCTCAACACGTTAGTGTTTACATAGACTCAACCTTAAAATTATTTTAGCTACGGTCCAATAAGCTTTTGCTATGTGAAAACTTTATTAGTCAATATTGCTTAATTTTCTCTCAATCAAAATGACTTCATGAAAATAGCAGCAGTGGGGAGATTTCGAAAAAGGAAATTTTCTAACTAAATACGCTTATGTCGGAAACTACATGGATGAAAAATTCAAGTTTCAGAAAATTTCAGAAATTTTCTTAATTACCACAATACTATTCACACCAAGCCGAAACAGTACAAAGTAATTTCAGAAATTACTCATGCTGTATAACAACACTATCCGAAAATTATTGAAGTCAATTACCTTTAGCTTGAAATTTCCTGAGAAATTACTGAGATTACAATTCCATCATAAGGAAAATTCCAAAAGCCTCCAAAACTAAAGTAACATACTAAAAGAAATTTCTCCTCTTATTTCCTGGAAATTACGGAAATTTCTATAATTTCTTCTGATTCTTGGAGGTGGGTCTTTAAATCTATACACATATTTATCCTCAGACCTATATGATATGAATATAGAAACTATAGAAATTTCTGTATTTAAGGTAATTTCTAGGTAATTACTAGAATTGTTTCTTCTTATTCGATGATAATTTACCTTTATTTTATCAGTTTTTTCGGAAATTAATGGGAAATTTCTTGGAAGTTTACGGAAACCGTGGTAATTTCTGATAATTGACGTACGCATTAAAGGGTAATTACGGAAATTGCAAGAAAATTTCTTCTGACAATTTCATAGGCCAACTTAGTGTGAGAGGAATGTTTGTCATTTTCCGAAATTTACTTTTTCGGAAATCTGAACATATCTCGGATCTGACGCAAATAAGTTGAAATATAGTTTACTTAAAAGTAAACCAGTTTACAGTGGCCTTCATATCGAAATCAATCTTTTTTTCAATGTATTTATATTTCTTCTATAATAGTTACGCTTAGTCACGAGTCATAGTGTCAAAATAACAAATTACAATTTGATGATTACAAACAGTCTGTTGTATATTTCTAAGATCGTTTTCTTCTCGAAGAATTTCTTAGTATAATTAAAAAGATGTTTCAAAATCAATTGAATATTTTATTTTAATTGCTTAATTTTACATATTGTTTTCTTACTATTTCATGATGCAGTGTGTTAGAATTTTATTTGTTTATTTATGATACGAATAGAAAAGTCATTACTGCATCTTAACTGCATGGCTGCTTTCCTAGACTCGTATATTTATCGACTGAACACTACTTCCTAACATCCTCACTGTCAAGGTTTGAATAATAAAATCATATGTTTTTAGACATTAATCATTTTCTTTTCATTTCTATTTCGTATAATACAATGTGCTAGATGCTACGTTTTTAATTAAACAAGTTCGTTTCATTCATGTGTGATATTTCATCTAGGTTTTGTCCATTATTGGCATTTAAGGATGTCAAAATTTAGAAGGAAACACCTTGGTTTTCAAAACTCTGATGTAAGAATTATACAATGGTATAATTTATCAGATAATGATACCGATACTAACTTCACTCTATTGTGATATTATCGATTAAAATATCTGTTGCAATGAATAAAATGGACCGATACAACAATGAATGCCCACTGGATGATAAAAATAGACAAATTCGATAGTATTCCTAGCCTAATTTACACGCAAATAAATGATTATCACCAAAAAATGAACAATAATTAGTTATTGTTTTCTAAGTTGTTGTCAACTACCAAAGTCTGCTCCAGCAAATGACGTTCATATAAATCTTTAAATAGAATAGTTTCTATCATCTCATTTTATTTTTTCTACTATGCTCTTTTATTGTATACATCTGTTGTTTACTTGTCATTTTTAACCGATCTTTTTAACATTAGTTTGATGATGTGTCTGATTTTACGGGTATGTTTTAGTTACAATGAATAATTGCAGTCGTTAGTTTTTCATCAATTTAAAAGGTACTAAAATCTAAATTGACAGCGATTAAACGCCGAAAATCTAAATATAAGAACATGAACTGGCAATTATTTTCACATCAAAGTTGTTATTAATTCACTTTGACGACTGCTAAATATTATATTTTTTGTCGTTTTGGATCAATTTTTTGTTATAAACAATAATAATTGAGTGTTTGTTTGCTTTTATATATTAGATATGATTTCGAATTAAATGCAGTCATGTGCTATCATTCTCCAGAAATACGCATCATTGCAACACACAGTTTTACTATTTGCAATGCTCTCTGCTTTCATATATGTATTATAAGTTGCTAAGCAATGTAGACAGTAAATTGCAAGAACCAGAATGAGCTGTTTTGACATTTTAGGATTCTATTGAGTAGTAATATTTTTTATTCTTCAATAACATGACATTTTTTGTAAACTAAGATAATTCATTTGCCATCTCAACACATATTTCAATATCAGCTTTGATGAGAGAGACCAATGAAATGAGGCATAACAAGTAGCTTTTGATGAAATGAATATGTTTGTTTTTTATTGTGTACAATTACAATAACGAAAGCAATTATTTTGCGTTTCGTTTCCTATATTGTAAACATGGTTTTTATTTAGTCTTGAACTCTTTTTACACTAATTTCATATCAATACTTTCTTCGACAGAAGTCATACACATAACATATTATATGGAATATGGAATTGTTTCACATTTAATATTCACTCGTCCATTACTCACAGTCGATGAATCTAACGATAAAAGTCAACATTATTGGCAGGAAATGGTTCAACGGAAAAAAGAAAATGCCAATTCAAAGAAGCGATTGTATTCGGACACTTTTTCTTAATTGCATATTTCTATTGTTTTAAAATAATGTAATACTTTTGAAAAGCGCACTTAACATCATATGAGATAACATAATTTATTCTTTGAGTATTTACCAGAGTGTTTTTATTTCTAGATCGAAGTCCAGTCTATGGCACTTTTTAGATTGTTCGATTTAGTGTAAGATAAAAGAAGAAGAAAAACAAATCTTTCTATTATTTCAACAATATTTCTGTGTGCAAATTCCGCTAAGGTGTTGCAGTCCACTTAGTGCAATTTTTCATGTTTGAAAAAATTAGAAATTTTCTGTTTCTGGCACACATTCGAAAGTAAATTGTAATATATTGTAAGGCTCTTGATAGCTTTCTATAGACATAAAAAATATATTTAATACTTTTTCTTTAGAGTACACATGTGCTTCTTATCAATAATAAAAATAACGAGAAAAATATTTCATTTGTTGGTTGCCTAGCAGACCTTGTGTCGATGTTTTTGCATTTTAGTGGCAATGCATTTAATAGAGAAAATGAATGGAATGCGTTAATAAAAAAAGAAAACAATAACAAAACGAACTTGACAATTTCTAATACGATACGTTGTTTAAATATGAATATTTCTTTGGTAACTGTTTCGAATTAAATAATATAAGAATAGTAGATATCTGTATGAGAAAAGGTCAAAAAACTAGTGTCATGTCTATTGGTAAATAAACGATCGAACAAACACATAATTCGTTTCATATGTGTAAATACGGTAGCACTAATTGATCAAATGAATACTACAGCATTTCAATTAATTGATACTAGTCGTGTTCAAAAATCCTTTTTCACATTTAGTTGGAAGATAATATCGGCTAACTGCATAATAATCGTAGAGACAATACAGTGGCAAGACAATGATATATTATCAATATTCTATTTGCTATAGCTATCTATGGCGATGATCGCTTCGATTTTATGATGTTATCAATAGTGAAAAGTAGAGGCATCACCAGAAAAAAATTATAGAGGGGGGCTAAGTCGTCGGTCAAAACTATCGTAGAGAGAGGAGGCTAAAACCTCTGTAGTGGAGCTGAGTCCCCCATAGACCCCCCTGGTTACGCCCCTAGTGAAAAGGATACCTTTGATTTCAGCTTATTCAGCAGTAGAATTCATGTTTGTTCTGACAGTGAATTTTTAGATAATACGGATGATTTTCTCAATATGATCGGCCAATAGAAATGAATGTACAATGGTCATATAATCATACGGTAATACACTTACGAGATTCTTCTATATTCACCATAAATCAGAATGCAAATATAGTACAAGTCGAGATATAATGAGAAAAATTTTAAAAAATGCAGAACTCTTCATCAACTAATTAAATAAATAGCATTAGCTTAAATCATTTATTTTCTGTCAATTTCAATCATCACTATCTTGTTCGCCTATAAATCTCACTGTCTAATTTGATACATTGAAAGTGATACTCTTCTCAATCCAAGAAATCTTTCCCGACAATGCAACCAGAAAAATGGTCATTAAGTTACCTCTGAATATTGAGCATGATGCTGACTTATGAATGTGGCCAGTAGGAGCTGTACAATAATTGCATTTGTTAATCCTCAATCACGCACGATGTCATGATGAGAAGCGTATTTCTATGCCTACAGATCATGCTTATTTCGAACTAATGTCATTAAAAAAAAACGAAAATTCGTACTTGTACAAAAACTATTCCCATGGCATCATTGGTAGTTACTTATTTTTGTATCCTAATATCAGTTTGATATATAAAGAATTGAATCAATACTCCCAAGAACTTCTTTTCCTAGGGAAAAGTTTGACATTTAGTAAAAATATCTTCCCTTATTCATGATAGTATAGTTATTACATTTAAAAGAATTATGTCAAGATATATCCAAATGGACAAGTATATTATTGTATTGAAGCTTTGTTTAAAATTTAATTCTAAAATCTTGAAAATTTGTGACAAAATACTAGCAGAACATTGATCAAGATAATCTAGATGTCTTCAGAAAGTTTGTTTCACTATGAGAACAAAATTGATAAAATTATCAGTGGCAATATGAAGAACAAAAACATTTTACTGTGATGATGTTTTTATTTAGTGTCAAATTGCAAGTATCCCCTAGTCAACTCTCCCTAGAAGAATCCTCAGGGAGTCCCTAGGGATTTCGTTCTTTTGCGGGGACTCCCTGGGGACTCCCCGGGGAGTCGATTAGAGATCCAAAGAAATATTGATAATCAGCACTTTACAGTAGCAAATAAATATTTTATAGAAAGATTACCGTAGCAATATTTAAAAATTAATTACTTCCTCTTAAGAATAACGTATTAAATGTGAGTACGATTTAATTCTATGTGAGAATCCATTCTGTTAACTTTTCAAATTTAATGTCTTCATACACCAATTTAAAATAATAGAATAAAATGATACAGCAAATGTACAAAATAATTTTTGGCGTGGGAGTGTTTTGAGCACCGAAGGAATAGTGAAATGAGCACCAAATTTATCTATGCGAACTAAGAAAAAAAAATAATGTCATCCGACAAAACAATATGAAGAATACAAAAATAGTCATAAATAAATAAATATTATGGAAACATGATTATTACAAAAAAAGTTTATGATAACAGGGCAGTTCGAACTTTTTTCGACTTGTAATAAGAATGTAAATTGTGTATCTTTTAATAACTGTTTAGTTGTAAACAATACAAAAATGTCATTGATATTATTAATATGATAATAAGGTACCACCATATCCTGCAGGAAAACACGGAAATCGCTGGAACATGGAAGCAGTATTTCGGTCAAAAATACGACCGAACGGTTCCGGCAGATTCTTGCCAGGATCCGGTGCTTTCCGGCAGGAATTGATCGGAAATCACCGGAAATTTTCCAAGCGGAATACTGCGTCTACAAAATCAACGGAACCGACCGTTTCCAGGCCAGACTGTTCGACCGGGGTGTTGAAGCGTTCACAAATAATAAATTTTTAATTTGAACGCCTGTAATATTTCATTAAACGTAGTTTGAAGCTAATTCACGTACAGGTGATGGCGAACGAGTTATTGTATTACGTTGTTTATGGCAATGTGCATTTTTATACATAAATTTAATTTCTGTTAGGTGATCATTGTCAACATAAACTTGTGTTTTGATTTTGCATAATGGATATTTTCGATAATTGCTGCATCAATAAGAATGTTTAGTATAGAGCTCGATAAATTCGACGTTCGATATTTTGATACATTATGCTGCTTTAGAATAACATGAGTTTCGTCGAGTGTTTTGGCAATTTTAAAAATCTGATATTCTTCATTTGACATATTTTTGCTATTGGTAACTTTTACTTTTTTTTACACTTCTTTCATATGCATATCATTATTCAAATCAATTAGATTATTTATGAATTGCCATTGCATTAATCAATATGAGTAGAGCTAATCATAATTTAATAGCAAAATACCTATTAACTACGATCATTTCACCTTTTTTCAGTGCTCAAAACACATTTCTTCCATAATTTTCTTAATTTGATACAAATAATAATCTTATTCATATTCAAATGAAAAGAAACAAATAATTATATTTTTTTTACAACAAATAGTTCAATTTAAGTATCGCATCTTAGTATTTTATTAAAATTTATAATCATATACATTTATTACACATCCGAATATATATATATATATGTACGTATGAATGTTTATTTAACCAACTAATTAATTAATTAATGATAATTTTAAATTGAACTATTAATTTAAAATAAAATTCATTCAACTAGATGGGCATCAATGTAAATACTTCCACTTCTTTACATGCGAAATATTTTTTAGCAAATATTAAACCACCTAGATTAGTTGAATCAATATAACTTTTGGGAAAAAATATACAATTAGTTTTCTCATTAAACTTATTTCTTAAACATAAATCACTTCCTTCGTTTTTTGGTGAACCAAAATTAGGACCACATGTTGGATTATGACTTATTGCACTTTGTTGATATTCTTGAGCAACAGGAAATTTTGTTGGCGAAACATTTAAACTATTTTTCAATGTAAACAAAAAAGCTTTTGGATCCGCTTGATCAGAGCGTAAGTCAGGTGAGCTCCACGGTATTGATGTGAAACCACCAAAAATATTCCCAAAATCAGTTTGAATAATTGATACTGTTGGTGCAAATGAATCACAGCAACGATGAAAATCACTTGCATCATAACCATGTTCACTAGCTCTAAAAATTAAACTCCATGGTTGCTGCTGTTGAATATTATCGCCTATAAATTCAAGAAGTTTTTCTTCATATTCAGTCGTCAATAAGGTACTCCCAAGAAATATATTTAGGCGATTTTCTAACGATACATTTGATCTCCACGATAATGCTGTTTGAGCTGGATGAATTTTCGATTTCGATGGAGAAAATGGACTTATGGGTAGTACACGTGTTGCACTATTCGGTAATAATCCAGATGCAAAAGGTGAGAAACGAGATTTGGTAAGCGCTGATAAGGGACTGCACGGTGGTGATTGATTAATAATCTCAAATGAATTAGCAGTCGTAAGTAATTCATCTTTTTTTAACATTAAATTTATTTTATCTTCTAAAGTTCTTAATTTATAAAATTTTGCTTCAGTTAATACTTCTTTCAGTAGTTTTTTCTCTTCAATATTTAATTCACCTGTTCGAAGATATTTAAGAATAATATCAAACAAACGTCCATCACGATCGATAAAAATTGGTTTGTCAAAAGAATTTGTATTGACATTCCATTTTTCATTAATAAGCGTTTGAAAAAATGTTGAATTTGTTCGTTGTATCAACGTTTTAACTGTTGTCGTAAAACGTTGCCCCCCAATATCAAGATAAACACGATCTTCAGCATTTATTTCTAATTGTTTATCAATATTGCTTCGATCGTTTCGAAATTCTTCTAATTCTCTTTCAAGTTTTTCTTGTTTTAATTGCATTAATTGAATTGTTGAATTCAGCTTTTGAAAATCCTCACTATAATTAATAAATTGTGTTAATTGTTGAGACATTAAAATTAAATTTTGTTTTAAAACAGGAGCTAATGTTAATAGATTTTGTAGAACTTCTAATGCACTATCAACATTATTATTATTATTAGTAGTAGTAGTATCATTAATGTTCAATTTATTATTAGATATAGTAGCAGTAATAACACCATTAGTTTGTGACATTATTATTCTTGTTATGATGACAAGCAAGAAGAAAATAAAATAAAAATAAAACTATTCTGACGTATGTATATATGCTTAGTATGTTTTTTTTCCTCTGAGAAACTTATTTATCATAAAAAAAACGTTTTTGGTTCTACAATTTCTTTTTTTGTGTTTTTACTTCTCTAATTCTTCGGCTTGTCTCGAAAAAATCATAGACGACGATGATGGGTGCTTTACTTTACTGTCACACATGTGTCGTAAGTTTTCAGTTTTTTTCTTTTCTCTTTTATTTTATCGCAATAAAAAAAATCAGCGGAAATTATGTTGAAAGAAAAACAACAACAAGTCGATATTCTTTTGCTTCTTCTTTCTCCTCTTCAATAAATAAAAGGCAGCACGTTTTTCTAATTCATATTTTTTTACATTCAAAACACAAGTTAGTTTAATAAATGCAAACAAAAAAAAAGCAAGAAAAAAGATTGAGAAAAAGCTCATACAAGTGTTTCTAATTGTTGTTGATTGATAACATAACTATTATTATCGTCAGATGAAAGTGAACCTAAACACGAGTCTGTTGTACTTCGATCAGTTAAATTATCATCATCGGCATCATCAAATGTGTATAGACTGTTTCTACGTTGTTTAGTAGATATTAATCGATTGATATCACGATCGACACTTGAAGTTCGAGGAATATGAGAATAATTTGTTGCACCCTTTTTTAAAATGCTTTTCACTTGTGTCAGTGATGTTGAAATTTCATCTGTATTTATTATAGTTGACGGACGAAAACGAACGCGTGATAATGAACGCCTAGAATTAACTGTTTCATGATTAACTGCTTTAAGATATTCATCTTGACGTGAATGTCTTCTGGATGTTGACATTAAACCCAATGAAGTTCTAGAAATTCAAATATGACGAGATTTAACTATGCAGAATTATTTTTACACTTTTTCATACATACTTGCTATCGTCACTCATATCACCATCATGCTCATTTTGAGTAATCCAATCCAAATAATTTCCATAATTTGATGTTCCATTTTGTTGAATACGACAATCACTCGATAGATTTGTTTTTCTTAATTGCGTTATGATTTCATGCTGCCGTCGAATTAATGATTCTTGAATTTTTAACTGTTCATAGGCATTTATTACTGGTGATGGTTGTATATATCCTGCTGTTCGCAGAAGTCTTTTACGTTGTGCAAAACGTGACGGTGATGAATTACGTTTAAATGATAATTTAAAATGTACATGTGTTGCTGTGTAACGTAGTAGAATATCTTGAATGAAATCTGTGGATTTTAATGGAAATAAATATGGTTGACGTTCAATATATAAACAACAATCATTTGCAGATAAATAACGTATTTCAGATAAATCATCGAGTAATGCATCAATAACATGACTAACTGTGGTTAGACGATTAAAATTCGTTATACATTTGCTAATACCACGATAGGAAACTTGAATACATTCGTATGGACGGTGTTGACAAACTGAAAACAAAATTTAAGAATTAACTTTACCTTTAGTGTATACGATTCTTATAATGGATATTACCTTGCATGATTAGTGTATATCACCAAATCGATAGATTATAATATTAGTTCATTCTATATATATATATCGATCTCTTGTTGAGCATTCCTCTCTCTTGCATTTTCTCTCTTTTTGTCTATTGTTATTATAAGCCAATCTATTTGTCGTCTTACGTTTTCTTTCTAATTGATTACCGAATCAAATATGTGTGCTAATGCGCGCGGCTCGGTATGTGTCCATCGCCTTTTCTCTCGATGGTCAATTAAGATAGATATACGTCTATGCCGGAAGCAAGAAAAAATTCCACTTCTACCTCACACGTTAACAAGTTTATTCGATTAGTGTTTATTGTCTACAAATGATTGGAGATAATCCGGTGATAGACGAGCTGTTTTAGTTCTAAATGGATTATCGACAAATTCATCTCAATGTTTATTTAACAGGAAATAAGGTCTTTAGGACATTTTCTTTTTTTATTTTCACGACAAGAATTTTTGACCATGTGACAATTGATAATGAAGTATAAAGAAAATGAATAGATATTCACTTCTAAGGCGGTACAAAATGAAAGAGTAGAACATATGAATACTTTTTACTTTGAAAAAGAATATAATGAATATCAAAGATAATTGAAAGCAAGGGAATATTTATTGATTCAATTTATTGTGAACGAATGTGAGTTGAGATGGCTATAAAATCTTCTAATCAATGTTTTGTTTTGTTTATAGATGGAAGGAGGCAACATTAATTTAATTGTTTATCTACTTGTCATTCGTAAATGTTTTCGTTGTGTGATCAATTAGAACATGTAAATTTTTAACAATTATTCTAATTATTGCGAATTGAAAAAGTAGAATCCAATGATAGTAATTACTCTAAATATCGACTAGACAGTTTTACACAATAGTAACACTATTCCTTTATTTTTCTGTCAATAATATTTGTTCATTTCTTTTTATTTTTGCTTTTTTGTTTGCTTGCTTGATTTTTACCTAAAAGAAAACACGACGTAGGAATATGACGGTTAACTATGATACCGAGAAACCTTTAGATTTTGAAGTTGACTTTGTTTTTGACAAGGGATTACTTTTCGACGCAGTTTTGGCCACTGTTACTTTCTTATCTTTAGTTGTTCTCGATGCTGATTTATCGGAGATTTTCGCAGCAGAAGATGAATGTTCTTGTTTTGTCAATGGTATTGTTTTTCTGTTAAATAAACATTCATAAACAATACTTTTATTCTTTTTTTTTGATTTTTGATTAATATGAAAGCTTTTTTTACGCTGATGCCGGTGCTGAGCCATTCGCCCATAGATTCGTTCGAAAATCATAATATGCCTAATCAAAATGTGAATATACACAAATAGAAACAATTAAGAAGTACTTCAGCTGTTGCTTCTGATGTATCATGTTCATCAGAAAGATTATGTTTTGTGACTTCAAGGTAAGGATCTATTCAGAGAATTTCATACATCATGTTATTGTTTTGAATTATCGCAAGATTCTACCATTGAATGATAGTGCATGCAGTTTACTAAGTTCAGGTGTTTGTGATATTTTAATCCATGTAGGCGCTTCCTGTGTCCATTTTAGAATATCCTTTAGAATATAATTATACAAAGAATTGTTGAATTCATAATTCAAACAGGTATTTACAGTTGAAATTTTGATTTTCTTATTACCATTATGATCACGACGCTCGATTAAACCTGATACACAAAACAAAGCATTATCAACTACAAAGACTAGACTACGACAACGTGGTGATGGTAAATCGTTTCCATTTTCAAATCTAAATTCACACACACACACATATATATATATATATGGATTTATTCGAATATGAAAATAGCTATTGAATCATACTGTCCTGTTGTCATATTATAGATAGTTAAAGTAGATTCGAAAAATGTTTGATTCTTAAAAATATCATAGCCACCTCTAAAAATGATTCTGTTTGAAACTTTTGATAAGTAACACAACTCACGCAATGTATATTCGTTGTTCGTCAACTGTCGTGGCACTAAACGTTGGAAGAAAAACATGGCTTAGAATTAAGACAGATCGAATATAACCTAGCAGCAATTGGATTTAATAGTGTCGCAACATATTCCCATTTCAATGTTCGTAAATTCAAACGTTGAATATCATCAAGCAACCTAGTATGACAATAAAGAAGATGCATAAAAATCAAGAACGTCCAATTAGAACGAGAATTCGTTAGATTTCAATTCAAAAATTTTCATCATTTCAACATATTTTTACAGAGTTACCTAATAATATGAGATTAAGCAATTTACAGAATATTATTTCAGTAAAATTTGCGTTTGACTCTGTTTTTATCTTTCATAGCAGATTCTTGCTAAGATTACTTTTCGTTTTAAAATACAAGATAAATTATTCATTCTATATTGAATTGAGTATTCCAGAATAAAATCAAAATAACTATTTCACTTTGTATTAAACGTTTTTATCAAACATAGCTAGCACTAGCATTGCTGGCTCTTACCAGTTGTCTATTACTGACTATAGAAGACTTACTCATTATTTATTTTTTGGCCACCAGCAACATAGATTGCATCACCATTTGTGTATACTCCTGAAATATTGAAAAAGAAAACGTTTTCAGGTTAAATAGTTCTAGTCGAATTTTACTGAATCATTCACCAAAATGAATTCGGCATGGACTTAATCGTGAAATGCGCACAATGCTTCCATCAGATTTGAATAAATAATCTTTATCTGGTTCTTGTTGTTCAGGAATATTGACAAATAAATTGTATCCGCCTACATTAATATATAATAAAACACAATGATAAATCAAAGTTAAAAAGGAAAACAAGTAAATTGATCTACCAATGACGAAAATTCCTATTTGTTCATGAACTAATGCATATTTTTTTCTTGGTTCTATACTGTTAATCCGTTTTATGACTTGAAATTCTTCTTTATCGATAACAGATGCATTTTTTTTAACACGCGGACCCATTATCTGATAAAAGATGTTTTCAATTATTTGATGACATTGTCTAATTCTAACTTACAGTAAGACCCGGATCAAATACAGGTGGATCAGAAGCTGCGTCTCGAATAATGCCGAATGGTCGTTTAAGTCCATTAACATATTCTTCAAAAAGATCCAAGCAATGAGTTCGACGTTGACTATATTTCGATAAATAATCATCCGAATCTTCAGCACTGTAAATGATAAGAGATTTAATCAAAATCTGTGATTGAAGAAAATATGCGATTGTAATCTTCTGGTGATTAAAATGTCGAACATGAAACTGCTACTGTTTTCAATCACAGGAAGATACTTTTTTTAAAACGTTTAAACAGATTTCTTCAGTATCCAATTACTTTAACCTGCAGGAGTACAACAAGTGGGCGATTCTCATATGAGAGAGAAATTCTTTATTGATATACAGTCATCGATCGTATAGTAATAATATCTATGCAAAAGTCCGAATTTCTATCTCAATAATGTGAAGTTCTGTATAGGTTATATTTTCATATACGCATACCATTTCAATCGAATTCGATGTGAACGAATGATAGGTTTAGTGCTACTACCTGAAAAGCAAAAAATATTGATAATATCAAGTGAACTATGTTGTTACTCGTACGTTTGAAAATATCTCGTGTAAATTTGTTGATTTCATCTATATCCCACGTTGATTCAAAATTATTTATTGTTGAGCTTAGATCCTGCTTATTTTTCTGTGCATTGATTTTCGCATTGGATTCACCAGACTGTGTCTGATGAAACGAAAGTGTTGATGAAATAATTTGATTAGTACTTTGTGGCTCTGTAGAAATCCTATTCGATTGTATATCTGATATTGATTGATTACTTTTGGAATTGACTATTGGTAATTTTTGTGCTGTTTTCATGGTAGTAATAGACGGAGAATTTGACAATGTGATTGGCAGTGATGAATTTGTATCTGAGATCCGTTGATTTTCATTTGTTTTTTGTTGTTGTTTACTATCATTGAATCAAAATAAAGCTTGGTAACACTTTGATTGTCACATACCTATATGTAGTTTTACGAGCTTTAGCTTCATCAGGGAGTGTAATTTTTATAACACTCTCTCGATTTTGTTTTGCGCCCTAGATGAAAAAGTATGTCAATTTGTTCAATAGATTTTTTGATTTTTTTCAAACGAACTTCTTTCTCCGAGTCTTTCTTTCGGTTAGATTTTATTGACGATCTTTTACTTATTGCTTGCTGTGTTTTACTGGCCATAGTTCTTGATTTTTTCTCTTTTTTGTTACTCTCATTTCTTTGCAAGAATTTTGTTTTAATTTCATGTAATATTCTTTTATATTTATTTAAATCAGTATTTATCTCAATATTATTTTTCTCATTTTGATGATCGAGATGCGGTGCTCGCATTTGGAAACCATAATGTTTAAAAATAGATTCATATTTATCTTGTTTTTGATGATTATCACCATCAGTTATTATTGACGACATCGTAACGAAAGAGGATTTCTTTGTTTTGAAAGAAAAACGAATATCAACGCGCTAACATTTCAAAAAGAAAAATACTTCATGTATTTTATTAAGATTTTGTTTTTTTATACATAATTATCTCGCACATGATCATACACACTTATATCTATTGGAGGAGTTAAAATAATTGATACGGGTTCCTCATAAAAATGTTGAGAAAGATTCATAGATGTAATTTGTATTCGTTCAGTTATTGTTGGTTCTTGATGAAATATTCGATCAGAGACGTAGAGATTGATGGTAATAATAATGATAAGTGATGTGAACAAGACTACTAGAGTACCAATGATTAGTATCCAACGATATTGAATCCAGAAAGTTTTTTTTCTATTCAATTGTGAAGATAAAATGGTTGTATTCATCGGTGAACTGATTTGCAACGTCGTTACTATCATAGAAAGAAAGCTTAACAATCGAATAAATGCATACAGAAATAGATTTAGCTAGAATTTACTTCGATGACATTGTTGAATAGATAAATCTTTAATGATTAATGAATGATTACTAGCAATGCCATTCGTGTCGGTGACAACATTGATCTATATATTTTTTTAAATAAAATATAAACGAGTATTAAACGAATCTAGTTTTTGGTTAAAGAATCTTATCCACGTAGGCTTGCATTATTAATCGATAGAATACTTTTGTCGACAGTATGGACTGTCGAATAGTATATTCACATTATTAGCTTTGGTTATGATTTAATCCTTGACAATTTAGATTTTGATAAATGAGAGTCTTCATTAACGTGTTCAATTGAAAACGTTTTCAATGCAGCTGTCTATGATGATATGAAGGAGAGTCTGATAATTTATATGTACTATGAAATAGAGGAAATCTTCGTTTACAAGCCTACATGAATTGCATTCTCTTTGTTTTGTATTAGATTTTATTAGTTTACCATAGTTAAATTTTCTGGCAGTTGAACAGTTAAGGAATACCAGAATAATTCGAGCTGTTGCTTTGGAAAGCAAAAACTAGAAAATAATCTAGATTGAATTTTAATATTCAAAGAATTTTTCCCATAAAAATTCATACAAGCTAAAAGAAAAATATACTATGCAATCGAATTATGTTTTAACTTTTCTTCACCATCTGTAATTGATCCAGTGGTAAGATATTTGAATTCTAAACAGTATTGATGATTCGTTGATATATTTAGTTTTGAAAGAAATGTAGATTTTGATCCATCAAGATTTTTCATAATACATAAATCTGATGAAAAAAATATCTAGAAATAAAATCTACTGAAATAGATTTATTTGACTTACATGAACTCATCTGTTGATTATATCCACATCCACGATACGGATTCCAACCAAATAATTTCCATTCACACGATCCATTAGTACGATCTGGTAAGCACATAGAATTTGCTTCTATAATAATGATCATTTTCAATAGATAAATGATTCATTAAATTTGAATTCTAGTGACCTGAGTTTATTAATATGATTAGAGAAATAAGTATCGTGATACAATTATTTAATAGTACCATCATCCGTCTTATCGTTCGCTGATAGTTATTTTTACTGTTCTCTTTTGTTTTTATGGATATTCTTCAATCTTTCATATTCGCTGTTTGTTTCTGTAATTTTTTTTCTCTCTCTCTCTCTCTTTTGTTTATAAACACTATCAAGACGATAGTCTTGTAGTAGCAGCGAATTGATAATAAATTAAAATAGAAATCATCCGAGGTATAATTTGATTTTATTCACTTTTCTACTTCTAATTTCCCTGGGTTTCTCACAAATACATTTTGGTACAAAAAAAAATTCACAAAAATTTATGCACAATAGACAATGGTATTTTAAAAACAAACACTGCTTTTATCTACTGACCCAGATAGAAGGAAATTATTCCTAGAGTGCTACAGTTTTCGTGTTTTGCTTTGTTCTAATCGGACAGAGAAATCAACGGACAGGAAAAACAAACGTTGTCCAATAAAAAGTAAGGCAGTGATAGTTAAAGAACCCGAAAAGAGAAAAAAACAAATAAAATCTACGTGGACAATGTATAATTGTTTTTGTACAACAATCTAAATCTAACTTCTCCGGTTATTATTACTGTCGATAACGTCAGGTGCTGAGGCTACAGTTGATCCTGATGCGTATTCAATTGTCGGAAAGAACCCTTTTTCTTTGAAAACAGATCTAAAAATAACAAACGAAAAAATTGTAAACAAAAAGTAAAAATTATGAAATCAAGCCTACTCGTAAAAGCGAACATGAGATTCTAATTGATTTAATAATAATTGTTGTTGTTTGGAATGGGCTTTGAGTAACTATTTAAAATAGAATTAAGAAAAAGAAAACGTAATATTTGCAAGTCAGATAAAACTTGATAATATTTCAAACAAAGATCTACTTTGTATTTTTTTTGACCACTTTGACAATCGTTTAGATCATAACTAAGTCCATGAACAAATTGTAGTAAAAGCTGATTTTTCGTTTTTAAATTTTCTCTATCGCCTGTTAATTGTTGCATTAACGATGGAATTTTCTTTAAATGTTCTTGTAATGCTCCATTTCGATTATGGTCATGAATTCCTTCGTCCAAACTAGATAAATAAAAAATTTTTCATTAAAACTACGAAATTTTAAATAGCTAATCAGCTATTGCTACATTTATTTACTATGTGATCGGTAGTGCATAGAACACAAATATTCTATTAAGTTACTAGAAGCGAATTTATGTTAACAAAAACACAACACATGTGAATGAATTTTTCAACTAAAGGAAAACAACAAAAACAAAAAAATAAAAATTCTATGAAAACAATTATATCTGATGTAAATGCATTCTAAAATACACACAAATGTGTAAGTTAATGGTTAAATGACTAGGAAAGAAACTAATTAAAACAGAGCACATAACAACACCCACAAAATTAAAATAAACACTGATTTTTATTTTATTTATTTGTGATATATTTTACCACAATTCTGGAATGCCATCATGAATAAAATTTAATGCTTGATCGCAATCTTTTCTTAAACGTCGTTGTTCGTCTTCACAGCGATTAACATTTTCTCGCATTAATTTTAATTCTTCACTCAATGACGAATTTTCAAGGTGAAGAATATTCAATTCTGCTTCTTGTTTTGTACACTGAGGACAGAAATAGAAAAACAATATTATTTTGCAATTTAATATTAAAAACAGATAGTGAATCGAAATCAAATAAATACTTTATTATTCAGTATTGTAGCATTTTTCAAATTTTGTTCAAAATCATTTTTAACTTGTTCAAGCTCTTTGTCACGTTTTCGTAGTACTCGTTTATGTTCATCATTCGATCGTTCAATAACAGATATATGCCGTTTTAATTCTTGATTTAATTCTTCGGCATTTTCAAACTAAACAAAACATATATTTGAAAAAATTAAAATGAGAAATATGTAATGTACATCATGAAATAGTCAACTGTAAATAAAAATTAGCTTCAATGACTTTTCATCAATCATATCTATACGACATTTCAAACACTTTTATTTAAACTAACAGTATAAAAAAATTATCCGTTAATTACATTTTGTGATTGAATAATGAAATAATAAAATCTTGAAAACAAAACAAAAAACTCAATCTGGCCATAGATGATTTTTGTACGATTTTCGTAGGAAAATAATTAACAGTAAAAAAGATTTATTTATTTCTAAAATAAAATAATACCTAAGCTTACGAATATACATTTAGAATACTTCGAAAATATACGCCATTAGCAAAGATAAATGTTGTTGAAAATTGATATCCAATTTCCATAAAAACAATGCAATTTCGAATCAGAAAATCAAATGAAAATATTAGAACTAGCTTTCTTGTACTTAACCAGCTTTATGTATGTTTATTTAGATTAATAACTCTAGTAATATCCTCGATAACAGCAATGTCTTTCAAGAATCTTACGATACGACTTTTGCTGTATTAAAAAGACGTAACTGTGCTTCATCGAAATTCTACAGTATATAACTACATAGTCTGGACTACTGAAAACGTCATGCGAGTTGAATGTCTTTCATTGAGTCAGAGAATGTTAGCAATTAGAAAATTTTTATTGTATTGTCTTTCATTTGATACTTTTTATTTCTATATATGAATATTTCTGAGTTTATCTTTGAAATTATTTTTCCGCTCATTCTAGAATTCAAGCCAATCAGAATTTGAAAGAATTAAAAAGCTCAGTTATATAGTATGGAAAAATCAATATAATTGTTATGGTCAAGGCCAGAGTGTTCCTCTTTTTTACATTCTTTCGTATTCATAAACAGTTAACTACACGAATAATTTAATTAGAAATTACTAAATATAGTTATTAAATATCAATCGTAGAAAATTAGATAGAAAGTTCAATTAGAAAACGATAGAAAATGAGTTGTTCTATCATTTGTTTTTACATTAATACATTATTCGAACATGTATCTTATCGACAAATATATACTCTTTCAACTTATATATTTCAAGATGAATTACATTTATTTTTAAACAAAAAGCTTCAATAGAACAGATATTTCTCTGAAGAAATGCAATGGTGAGTAATGTATTAATAAAAAATATTAGGCTTTTTCTTTTGAAATATAATGTAGGTGGTTTGCGTGAAGTAGCCTTGCGTAGAAAGAGGAGACAAAGTTTTTTCATCAAAAAAAAGAAAGATTTATAGAAATAGTATCGATGATGATAGTAAAATTTGTGATATTCTTAGGAGCAGAATAAAATACTCGAGGTTGTCTTATGTGTTGATGATTTTAAAAGTTTCTGCGGAATCAAAATAACTACATTTTCTGATTGATAGGCTTGATTAATTTCACAAAGAGAGAATATTTTTAAATTTTCCGCACAGCAAAGATATCTACTATTTTTTTTTTGTGTAGAGAAGCAAAGAGAAATGTGCTGATTTTCTCGAAGAAATATAGTTTACACTATGAAATAATATGAACGAGTTAGTTAATGATCAAATCTAACCTTTGACGTTGTTATCGATTGTTCATATTTTAATGATTGTATGTCTGTCTGTGCCATATTTAATTCAGACTTTTTCTGTTCTAATACAGACAAGGCATCTCGATTAGCATCCTTTAATGATATTATTAATGATTCACATTCATTGATCTAAAACAATACATTTTATTTTCTCTTGTTTAATTAGTGAAAATGAAAGTTTTACTTTTTCTTGATATGACAATTCGTTTTGTTGATATGTTCTTTGTAATGATTCAATATGTGCATGTGCATTTGCTAATTGTTTTTCTAGTTTTTGTGTTGCTTGATGTAATAAACGATTTTCATCCGTATATCCATCAATGTCATTGTCAAGTTTTTCAATCTAAAGTAACAAAACGAAGGTATGTGCATGCATGTGTAGACAAAAATAACTTTCATGATCAATTCAATAAATACTTTTTTATTAATATTCGCCACATTTTTAATCAATTCATCTCGTTCATTTGTTGTATCATTTAAGGAATGTTTTAAACGTTCAATAACTGCTTGAGATTCGGATAGATTTTGTACTTCATTACTAAAAGAAGAATACTCAATGAGAGATAAAATAAAACAGAGTAATAAGAAAATTTACTTGAGCTCTTTACGTAATTGTACTAAACTCATTTCTTGTTCATCAATTTTTGTATGCATTATACCTTCAGCTCGATGGAAATCATCAATTTTAGCTCGTAAACGTTTTGTTTCCATACGTAAGTGACGATTTTCATCACTTGTTTGTGACCATTTACGTTTATATTCTCGAACATATAAATGAGCTTTTTCTAGTGCTGGTTTAACAGTCATAAATTGTAAAATTAAATCTTCATGTTGACTTCGTAAAAGTGTTAACATTTTTGTTGATTGTTCAAAACGTTCGTCGAGTGAACGAAGTTTATTTGCATCTTCACTTAAATCAGTTACTTGTTCATGAAGTTTCGAAGTAATATTAGCCCATCGTTCACTGGTTTCAGATGCCTATCGAAATTGAAAGTTAGCAATGGCCAGCAATTTTCAATAAGATAATCTTCAATTGAATTTACCTTTCGAACAATTGTCTTGAAGCAATTCCCAAGTAAACCTAATTTATGTTTACAAATTTGTGCTTCATCTGTTGATTGTACTAACTAAATATATAAATATATTTTTAATATTCAATATGGAGATTTTACGTAATATTAAATCAGTCTCTTATTATTCATAGATCGAGAGATAGCAACGCAAGTTTAATCAATTTACAATTCAGAAAGTTCTGCCTAGCTTTATGAAGAATTAATAGAAAGTTTACATATAGTAAATATTGGAATTTTTACTGAATTCAATCACTCATCATTATATTTGTTTAAATTCTATTTACTCTTCAATTGTATCAAATAAGAATCGAATCACGACATTAATCTAAGAAATTAACTCAAGTATCATCGTTCAATCAAACATTGTTCGCCTAAAATCCGAGATTCAAAATTCACCTAAACAAATCCAAGGTGGTACATATAGTTCTCAAGTTGAACAACAATATATAAAGAATGTTATCTAAGTTATTATTCGAAACGAAACCTAAAAGTCTCTATTTCAGTGAAACTAAATGATGTGCCCTATTTAATGAAAATACTACAGATTGCAAGTTTCAAAACTATAAATTTTAGTTTTCAAGCGTAGAAAATAAGCTGTCGTTGCAGTTTTATAGAATCAGATTCAATATTGTCTTGCTGAATCATTTGAAGATTTTACCGTTTTAAATCTGGACTTTCTGCTATCTCCATGTCTATCCCTTAAATTAGAGTATTTATATTAGACCTATGGAAAATGTACAACTACCCGAGTGCTCTTTGCTGATCAAGAACTTTAATTGAAAGTCTTAAAGTAAAAATAGCACGATTTCTAGAGATTTTCCAAGTCATAAAAGTTGAGAAGAGTATCTCAGTGATGAAAGTTCAGATGAACGATAAAAGAAGAAATGAAACATTGTCACAGAACAACTTTTCTCTTATATTTTAAAATTTAAACAAAAAGAGAGATTGCTTTATGATTGAATATAAACGTCATACTTTTCGAAATTATTTACTAATAAAAATTTGCAAGTCTTCTATTGACAGAAAACACACCAATTAACTTGGTTTATCTACACTAAAGATGCCGAGTTTTATTTTTGATAGGTGAGTATCCAAAAATTTCGTGTGAATAGGCAATAATAAATCGTAATTTTATCTTACTTGTTCCTTATGTGAAATATCAGATTTTTGACTTTGTTCTAGATCAATGCGACATTTAGTTAAATCTTCATTTAATGCGGAATGTTCACGTTGAAGTTTTTCATAATTACTAGACTTCGTTAATAATTCATTTTCAATTGTTTTCATACGTTGTTCACGTTCAAAATATTCTTCATTTGAATATCGATGTTCTTTTTCATACGAATGAAAGTCTTGTTGAACTTGATGAAGTCGATTTGTAATTGCGGACAACTAAAATCAAGTAAATTAAAATAGAAAAATATAATAAAAAAAGGTGTATTCGTTACTTCAGTTGTTTTCTCTGTTAAATGTTGTTTGAATGTTTGATTTCCGATTTCAAGTTGAACCATATGATCATGTGCTATTGATAAATCATTTTTCGATTTTTCATAATCAAGTTGTAAACGGGATATGAGATGATTGAGTGTTTCAATTTCGCGTAGTCGATCATCAAGTGATTTATTTGTTTCTTCTAACATTGAATTTGTTCGATTTAAATTTTGTTTGAAATCTACTTCCTACAGAAACAAAAAAAAAAGTAAAAGATTGATTTTCTCATGAAAACAATGATTATTTACTTTAATAGCTTGTTCTTGTGCGTGTAAACGTGTTTGACTTAGTTCACTTTTCAGGGTATCAATAGTCATTAATGAACTTTTTAATTGCATACGTAAGTCATCTAATTGATGCACAGCGTCAGTAGCACGTTTTTGTTCTTCATCTAGTTGACGCGTTAACAAAACGATTTTTGTTGAAGATTTTGAAGCTGATTCAGTTTCATCATATAACATTTTTTGTATATTTTCGATTTCATTTTGATAAGTTTCATTTTGTTCTCGTAAATCATTGCGTTCACTTGTGATATTGAAAAGATTTTCTTTAAATTCATCGATATTTTTTAGGCAACCAGTTTCACTTAGTTTTAATGCAGATATTTCACTATTTAATTTTTCAATTTCATGACGATATTTACGACCTTCATCTTCACGAAGAATTCTTATATTATGCAAATCACCTTCGGAACGTTCATATTGAACATTGATAGATTCTTTCTGTAAAAATAAAGATGCTTTGTTTTAGACGAATTATAATTCAAAGAGCAAATAATATTTCTAAAATTTATCTTCATGAAAATATTACTATTATTTAATGAAGAATATAATTTACTAATTTTTAGAATAGGAAAAAATTCGACAGTAATGTTAGTAAAAATTCATCTGGTAGAAAATGAAGATTAATGATTTATTTCTGATTTTCTTAGAATTTTTTATCACAATCAATAGAAATTTAGGATAGACAATTGAGTTATGCTGACCAAAAGATTCTAGCAGGTAAGCATTCGATAACGAGATTATCTTCATCGATATTGATGCTTGTGCTCTGGGTTTTTTTTAAGAGCCATTCTGATCTGATCGGTTATTTATATAATGTTCCTTTCTTTATTTCTTTTCATCATTCAGCATTTCACTTGATGTATTGTTTTGTGTTTATTTGCAACTGTTCTTTTCTCGATTCTAGTTTAATTTGTGTCTTAAATACCTTAATTACCAGCGTCATGACATAATATAATATTGATTTTATTTTATTTTTCAATCGTTTCCTTTATTCAAGTTTAAACATTTCATGTTCAAGGCTCATGTGATATCATGCATCACGCAACTATTTATTCAGTGAGCAGATGCACTTCAGTAAAATTCATTAAGAATCGTCTGAGTATTTACTAAGCTTCAGTTAAAAATGTTATTTTGAAATGTCTATCATAGACGAGAGACATTCAGGGGAAGGAATCAAGAAGCGTTCTCCCTCTTCAATTTTCTTTCACTCAATATTTCTCTTCAGTACTTTTTTACTGCATTTAAAAATTTCATTTTTAAAAAATAATTATGCAGAAGAAACGTAATTACAACAGAGAACTTCCTTTTACAGTTATGTACATCCATCCAACAGCTCTTATCCAACTGTTAAGTACTTATTGAGACTTTCGTATTACAAACTATCTTAAAATTAAAGTATATGATCGACTACTAGACTTCTCTTACAAAGATGAAACCAAAAGAAGCTTATAATCAGCAAAGAACGTTCAATTATAAATACCTCTTGTTGGAGTTTTAATAAATCTTGTTGTAATAATCTCAGACGATTTTCTTGTTCTTCTTGAACATTGTTTAAACGAGTAATTTCTTTTTCTTGTATTAAACATTCTTCTTTAGCATATTTTGATTTTATTTCTACTTCATGAAGATTTTGATCATAACGTACAAGTTGTTCTTGTTTGCTTGCTAACTAGAACCGAAATGCAGAAGTCATTTTTCTGGTTACTATTACAAAACAAAACACAAATAATCACCTGTTTATTTAATGATTTTTGTATTTGCTGAAATTCATCTTGTTTTGCCTTCAATTCATTTGTTAATTGTTGAATTTGCTGATTAAGTGCACTATTGGCATGTTCACGTTGAACTAGTACTTCCGATACATGACGAAGCTATTTAGACGAGAGAAAAAAAGTAAGAAGTTGACTTATTAGAAAGAAATTTGTTTTGGTCTTCTGTGTGTTTACTTCACGCTGTAAAACTTTGATGTCATGTTGTGCTTTTGATGCGTTATCTTCGGCGTATTTTTCTCGATGATGACTTTTAATAAGACCAGTTTCAAGTGTTTCAGATAGTTGTGAGACTTCAGCGGATTTCTCAATAATGATTTCTTCTAATTTCTCAATATGAGCTTGTTTATCAAGAATTTCTTGATGCTTTTGTATTAGTTCCATTTTAATTTTATCCATTTGTTGTTCATAATCCATTAGTGTTTTATTACGTAAATCAATTAATGTCATGGTTTCAATTAGTTTTGTTTCAACTAGATTATTTCGAGAAGTTAACTCATTTATTGTATATTCGAGTTGTTGATTTTGCACTGAAGAGTCTTTTAGATGATGTTCAAGTTTTTCGATTTGTTCCTTTGTCGATTGAATTATATTAGATAATTTTTGATGTTCATGTTCATTTGTTGCATTTTTACTTGTTTCAACAGCTAAATGTTCTTGACACGCACGTAACTCTAGGGATTGTTTATGAAGCTAAAAAGTACCATTAAAATAAGAAAGTTTTCTAGGCAGCAAATATTCAAGAATCTCAATAAAAAAAACAACATTGAATAGTTACGAGACAGAAAATGAACAAACAAAAATTATCAAATTTGGGAAACTCGTAATCCTCTCATGAGATGCCTAGGTCGAATTCGAACATCCAACTGCATGGTATCAATCCGAAAATAAGTGATAGAAATTGATTTAGTTTAAGATGGTGTGGGTGTGGGTGTGGGCTGAGGGGGGGCTAAGGAGTAACTGTGGGCGGCGGTGCGAGTGAGGGGTGGGTAGGAGGGGTACCCGGAAGGGGTGGGGGTATACTCGGGGCACTTCAAATGTGGTTGATGGATACCATCGAGAGGTACTCAAATATGGGTGCGGATGGGGGGTATATATGTATTCATATGTCGCATATATCGGAAAGTTAAACTAAAACTAAATCTTTTCCTAGATTTAGTTTTAGCTTACCTTCTTTTTTTTCCATTTATATTCGAACTCGAATTAGACAGCTACTCATAAGAGTAGGTTTCTATCCAAAAGCATTTCATTATAAATTGACTATTTTGATTTGATATTCAGTTTTACGCAAAAATCTCTCGTGGGAAAGTAATTGGTTTTTTTTTAAGTATCGAAATAAATATAATAAGCACCAATATCTTGCTCTCTATTAAAAAGAAGTCATACTTGATCTTTTTTTTCTTCACATAGACGTTTTAATGCTCGAATTTCTTTATCTAATTGTTCAACATCATTTGTCGTTGTTTCAATATGTTGTTCTAATTGTTCATCATGAGATTTTTTCGACGCCCGAAGATCTTGTTCAAGTTTATTATTCAATGCATCTTTCGCCTTCAGCTAAAATATCAATTAAAATTCTATTACTTAACATAAGTCTATTCTTTTATATTAAAGGAATTACCGCCCTTGCTCTCCCTCTTTTATAATCTCTTTTATTCATTTCGATAAAAACAAGCTAAACAGTAGAAGAAACGTATATTTTTTACTTCTTTTTGAGTTTTTCCTCAAAATGAAATTCTGAACCTTAAAATTATTGCAGCTTTCTCCCTATGTGACAACTACGACTGAATAAATATGTGTTCATATAAATTTTCTTAAAATTTATATCTTGCCGATGTTTGATATATGTTACAAAGTATGTCGTTGAAAGAAAAGGAAATCTCTCAATAGGACTTTTAGTATAGTAATTCTCAAGAACGAAGTGTAAAATATATTTTAAAAGAAAGATTCACAAAAAACAATCGGTTTTTGGTGTCATTTAGTTTGAAAAAAAGAAGAAATCTATCTCTTTTTTTCTTGTGAACCGAATGAGATCTTCAAATCATTTTTAGTCTCTTGTATATTCCAAATCTTATAGAAAGAAGCATCCGATGTTTTACTCTATTAGTAAAAATCTAATTAGTCTAGGAGTACTAGAAATTTTGGTTCACCTATTCTCGGATAGCATGTAAAATGAGTTAGAATTATCCTCAACTATTTACTTCAGCTACGACACCATCCAGTCGTTTTTTTGTTGAATGTAATTCTTGATCGAGTTTTTCATATTCAATTTTCGGTACAGTCGATTCAATAGGTTGTACAGGAATCGTTGGATAACTGTTTGATGTTAATTCTCGTTGAAGATTGCGAATTTGTCCTTCTAAATCAGCTGTTATTGAATCTTTAACGCGACACTAGTTGGAAAAAATAAGACAAAACAAGATATACTTAGTTATTGTAGATAGATAAACAAACTTGTCGTTCTAAATCACTACGATCACTTTCAAGTTGAGCTTTTTCATGCAAAACTTGTTCTATTTGTTGTGTATACTGTTCGATTTGTTGTTTCTTTGTTTTAATATCATTATTGAGCAATGCTGTTGAGTCTCGATGACGATCTGTAATAGTTTTTAATTTAGTTGATAAATCATGTATATGTTCATCAGAACGTTGTTTATTTTGTTGAAATTCTTCTTGAAGATCTTTTAATTCATTAGCTTTAAGACGTAGCTAAAAGAGAAAGAATTTAAATGAAATTTTTTTATTATAAAGTTATTTTCCTACATCCATTTTGAATGTTTCAGTATTTTGACATTCTTCAATAAGTTTGGCACGAAGATCTTCGACTTTTTTCGCAAGAATATTATTCTATAAATTTGAAAAAAAATCATTTACGAATCTGTGAAGGCGAAAGAATGAATACAAACTTGTTCTTTGAATTCATCGTCAGCCATGAACGAAGAAAAAGTTGAAGGTTTATTTGGTGCCTTCAAAAGTAAAAGATAAAAATTCTTTTTCAAATAATAGTAGGTTTTCGTCTACTTGTCTAGCTAATTCATTTTTTGTTTTTCGAAGTTGTTCTACTTCAGCTTGTAAAACTTGAATACGTTCATCACGATATTGAATTTCTTTGTGTAGAGATGTTGCGGTATGCGTATCTTCATTTGTTACACCAATGATACGATCAAGTGGAATAGTTTTCAATTGAAGTCTTTTTGTATCCCATTTACCTGTTCGTTTAGCTGTATTAATAAACGATGTTAAGGAATCGAGATCATGTTTTAAATCAAGATTTTCATGACTTAATTTCCATTTTTCCGCTTCAATACTCTTCAAAAGAAAACCAATAGCAAATATTATTAATGTCAAAAAAAAGAACAATGTGTTTGACTTTTCTACATTTTCGAACATTTAAATTAAATACAAATTGTAATTTAGAATAGTCAATAAATCTGTAGGAAACCAAAACCAAGTGTTGCCAGGTTTAAGAGACTCTATCGAAATAGATTTTTGAGTATTTACTTAGATAGAATGAGTTTTCTTTAAATAAAATTAGAGATGACTTCATTTTCTAGAAATTCTGGCTATGAAGGTATGCACGTGGCTTGAGGTTTAGAAGAAGTAACACTAAAGAAAACTCATAATGACATGTTGTTGCTATCCTTTTAAAAATCAGATAGTAGAAAATGTTGCCACCAGTTATTTCTTTCTCAATTTCACGTTGCCTAAGATTGTATTAAAAATTACTGAATAACAAATAGTTTGCTAGAGCTTAAAAATCATCTTATTTTATTTTTAGATATTTTTTTGTTAGATTTTATCAACAAAATATCGGCAAAGAATGAATTTAATAAAGAAATTGATTGATTATTTAGATAACTATTTGAACATGAATTAAATACTGTGAAATAGGAAAAAATACCGAAACTTCAACGTTCTTCTAATTTTAATGATAGATTTTGTATGTACTTACGCTAACATTTTTTGTTACGTCGGATAATGAATGATGTTGCTAAATATTGAAAGAAAATTAGAAGAAAGTAGAAATGATTGAACATACTTGTAAAGAAGCATGCGCTTTTTTAAGCTTATTTTCAAGTAGAGCAACACGTTGATTAGCTTCTCTTTCGAGTTCATCAAGACTTTGTAAAAGTAAACGTGTTTGAATTGATAAATCTTTTACATAACTTTCATAAATAGCTAGTTTTTGCTAAAAATATAAAATACTAGACGTGTATTGAATTCTATAATAAACGAACATTTTTGTTTATTCTAAAAATGTATAAAATACTAAACAAGATTTATTTGGTACAATTTTATAGTTTAAGCGAGAACTTTGGCTAATTGTTTATTTTGTTTTAATAAATATTTTCATATATCTTTTGAAGGAATGTTGAAAAAGATAAATTGTCAATAGAATTAAAGTTTAAATAATTTCTCTTTTGACTATGTGTCGCAACTATAACATATAATAGTTGACAGATTTTAGTTAGAAGCTTCAACATTTATGTTTCGATAATTATTGAATTCTAGATAAGTATTAAAGATACATCGGCGAAGGTCGTTTATGACTTGAGTAGCAGAATGGAACGTGTATAAAGCAATAGCTCACGGACATAATAAAAATTCAAAAAACCTTGAATCAGTTGCACTGATTTATAACAAATAATATTCAATTAATGATGAGATGCTAATACTCTCACGCTTTTGTTTCTTTTGTGTTAAAAAAAAATAATGAATTTGTCATTACATAGATGAAGCTTTTTACAAGTTCAAATTCGTCCATGATTTCGAGAGGAAACCTTATAAAATTTTCTATTCTCAAAGTATTGGAAAAAATCCGATTTGTTCTATGTTCAAAGGTGTCATATGTAAAAACAAATGTATTCTAAACATATCCAAAGAGATTTCAACTACTAAAAGAAAACTCAATGATCAATCTGAACTTTTTTTCCATCTAAGAATGATAGACAAATGGGGAAAAGTTTACTAAAATATATTTCATAAGAAATAACCGACATACCTTATGACGTTCATCACCATTGATATGTTTCTCATCGATCGTTGTTAATTTTTTAATATAACGATTTTGAACTTCTTCGAATAGTGTTGCAACATGTTTAACATTGAGATTTTGATTTGAACAAGTTGTGTTACTCATTGAAAAAAGAAAATGACGCAAAGAACAAAACCAGACTGAATTAATGATAGAAGGACATTAGGATCGATATGGTTTCGACTTCTCTGATACCATTCATGTAATCATAACTGTGACGTAACCTCTATGCATATAAAATGCATTTCTGATTAAATGCATTGATGTGTTAAAAATAAGAAAGTAAATAATCTGAAGTGAAACAAAAAGGTGAACTTCATTTTACATCGTACAATAAAAAATTATTGAAAATAAAAATTATTTATTTTCTTTTTTTAAAAAATAATAAATTCATTTATCTCATGTCTCTTAGTACTAAGCATTGATAAATAAATATGCAGAATGAAGTAGGCTTTTTCTTTTTGCTTTTCCTCTTGCTATTTTGTACTAAATTTTAACTCACAAAGAAAGAAATGGGCTAATCATATTGAATCAATTTTTCAGATTATACTATCTATTTTTCTTTTGTTTCATGCTATTATCGTTTCAATCATTAGCATCATCCATTCATAAACAATAAACTATTTCAATAACTTGTCAATTCAATTTTTTTTATTTCGAATGGCTAAAAATAACTAAGAAAAAGCACATTCAATCGTAATAATTAAAATCAAAAAAGTTCAAAATTTTAACGATGACAACGAAAAATAAGAAAAAAGGCAAAACAATACCGTTGACTGATTTTCTAGCTGCGGAATCAAAATTGGTTACTATTCGGCCAACAAATTGGTCAGAAATTGTTGACAATGAAGAAGCTGAAGTCAAGCCAATGGGTAAAAAAAGAACAAAAATCAATATATGAAAAATTCAAAAGAAAATTTTTCGAATAATTATTTCCTTTCTAGTAATTGACATTGGCAATTTACCAACAGCTCCTCGTAGTGCTCTTGATGTTGATTATAGCACTGTACCAAACACTCCCCCTTTCATGGCACATGTTACTAATTTATCATTCGAAGTTGATGACCAAGGTCTAAGAAACATATTTGCTGATTTAACTGTGAGAAATTCTCGTTTGATTTTTCAATATATTCATTTCTGTTTTTGTTTAGCCAAAGTCAGCACGAGTAATTCGGGATGGTATGCGTAGTAAAGGTGTTGGTTTAGTTGAATTTGAAACACGTGAAAACTTAATTGAAGCATTGAAAAGAACCGATAAAGAATTCTATGGACGTAGAATACATATTAATGTTTCGGATAAAACCCACTCACATACAGATGGTGGGCGAGGAGGATTCGGTCATAATCGGTCAAATCGTACCGGAGGTGAAGAACGACCAGAAATGTCTGATAGGTGGAAAAGAGCTGAACGTAAGTATTTCATTTTTTTTTCTAAAATGAGGCGTAGTAAAAAAAAACTTTGGCATATAAGAATCAAAATTCGGGCTCACATATGCTAATTGAAAATTATTGTAGTTGATGAAAGATATTTTCAATATTAGAGTAAAAGCCTTACACCAATAATGTTTCTTGTCGTGATTTATTAACTATTTTGATATTGTATTTCTGAAGGATAGAATCAAATCATAGTGAAATAATATATCTCAAAATAGATTGCGTAAAACAGTCATCAAAACTCCGAAAATCACAGCTAAATTCTTCGCCATAGACAACTTTAATAAAAAAATGACATCAACAATTCATTTTTAGCTCGATCTGATGATATGTCTGATGATCGTCCAAGTGGTGGATTTAATCGTGATAATAGACAAAATCGTGGTGATCATGGACGATGTAAGTTATTACGAAATTTTATTATGAATAAAAATATTTTCCACTTGTTTTAAAGCTAATATGGGTGGTTCACGGGATAATCAGCATGGTAATGATTTTGGATTTGGCTATCCACGTACAAGAGATGACCGAGGACCAGGTGGTAGTGGTGGTGGTGGTGGTGGTGGTAGTCGTGATTACAATCGACAAGGACCACGTAATAATCGTTATCCAGACGATGGCAATCGACCAAGTAGTGGAACCGATAGACCTCGTTATGCAGGTCGATACAGTGACACACGGTAAACGATTGTGAAAACAATTTTTTCTTGTAAAGTTTAATTTGATTCAAAAATTTTATTTTAGTGATGCTCGTGATGGCAATCGACCAAGTGGTATTTTATTTTTTGTTTCCTTTTTATTTCTGTTTTCTAATGATCTTTTGTGTGAGCTTAGACGAACCACAAGTCGATCAACGGGAGCCACCACGCGAGCGTCAACGGCTTCTACTTCAACCACGTACAAAACCAGCTGAAGAAAATCAACCATTATCTGATGCATCACCATCTATGAATAATGCTGCTCAATCATCAGTATTTAATCCAGACGAACCCTCATCATCAATAACAAATAAAATTAATCAACAAGATTCATCGAGAGACGAGCATCCAGATGTAAATGAACATCAAGAACCACGATCCCCAAACGATAATCCAACTGATGAACAATCGACGTTTAAACCATCGCGTGGCGCTGGTGCTTCTATTTTTGGTGGAGCTAAACCGGTGGATACAACTGCGAGAGAACTTGAAATTGAAAGAAAAATCAAAGAACAACAAATGACTTCTGGTGAAACACCAGTTGATACTGAAGATAAAGGAGCTTCAACTAGGTAAAAGTATATAGTTGTCATTATAAAATAATTCTAATGGGTGCTTTTTTCTCGGTTTTACTTAGGCCATCATATAGTCGTGTCGGTGATCGAGATCTTTACCGTGCTAAACGTACATCACAAAATGACGATGGTAATCTAAATCTTTTTTTTCCTGGATATGATGAAAAACAATATTTCTCCATTGATACAGGTCGATCAGGTCATGGTGGAGATTATCATCATAAACGAGAATTTAGTGGTACATATATTGCACAAGGATTTCATTCATTTGATCATAATTTTTATTTACTTTTAGGTGGTCGGCAATACGAAGACGAAGGTCGAAGACGTAGTGATGATCATGCGCGTCGTGGAGGTGGTGGTGGTAGCAGCGGCGGCGGTCATGATCGAGAACGTTACGGTGGTCCATCTAGACGTGATCATGATTCTGGGCGTAAAGGTAAATATAATCATCACAATCATTCAGAACGAGGTATCGAACAAGTTGATTGATTTATTTTTCTTGATTTAAAGTTGATGTGAATTTAGATAATGATCGTGGTACTTATCGTAATCGTGACGATCGTACTCAGGAGTCAAATGAATTCAATAATCCTGGACGACCATCAAATAATAATTTTAATTCAGAAGCACAACCTCGAACTCAACAGCGGTAAAATTTTATTTTAGGATACCCTTTCCTGACTACTTTTGTTTTGCTAAAGTTGCTAATTCCTTTTTTTACTATCGTGCAATATGCTCTATCTTATCTGAATTTTGAGATCTAAAATTTAAGTTATAGAATTGAAGAAGAAATCAAATTTAAGTAATGGAATAAGCCCAGCCGGTTGATTGTTTTTCATTTTTCTCAAATCAACTTATTTTTCAGTCAAGCAAAACACTGTTTAGGATAGATATCGTTGTATTGTTTAAAATAAATATTCTTCTAGTTATTTTTGAGAGCTCGTTTGAGAAACATCCTTCAGAGTTTTTGTGATATTTTGACTTTTGTTCTCAAATAAAATAATGACTATTTAACATTATCCAAGAACCATTGAGTTCATGAAAATCTTTACAAATAATTATTCAAATCAACTTGTCTTGAAAATTTTCCTAATCGTCCATTCTCTAGAAACGCATGAAAAGGGAATGATTATCCTTAAATAAAATTTATTCATCTTGTTGTATTTTGTAGAGGAACAGCTACACGGCGGACAATTCAAACTAACGATGATTCGCATAGAGTAAATAATGAAAATAAAATGATTCTTAATTCATGTAATGTGATTATATATTGTAGCTTCAATTGTCGAATAAATTTGTTATGCTGGATGTTGAAGATCATGACGATAATAATGAAAATGATGATGTTCAAAGTCCAATTATTGATGAATAAAAATTAAACATTCTTGATTTCGTCCTTCCTCTTCTTTTTTGTTCGTTTACCTATTGTTGGCTTATTGAGACACAATCAGAAAAAAAGAATTAACATGCAAACAGAGAGAGAGAAACAAAACATTTACCTTCTTAATTCTGCAAGTTTGGTTTCTTTATTTTTCATTTTCTTTATTCATATGGGATTTTGGGTGGTTTGTTGAATCTTTTGCCTTTCGTATATACGTGGATGATGAATTTTTCTTCTTTCATTTGTTTTTTTTGTTTGTTTGTTATCGTTATACCCTCTCTTGTTTCTCTCTCTGCTTTGTTTTTTTTCTTTCACAAGGAATTTTTTTTTGCTGTTGTTGTTTATTGATGATCCATTCATCTTTTTTGTTTGTTTTTCTTTCGTTTTTTCACCATTATTCAAATAAACAAAGTAAAAGATGATTACACTCTGTCTTTGTTTTTAGATTATTACATCGATTCGTTTATTGATTTCGATATTATAAATTATGTAAGTAAAGAATAACGATTTTATTGCTAAAAATTCTAAAATGTGTCTTTTTTTCACTTGATTAAAGATTGTATTGGTCAAGTTTTGTGTTTATTTTTGTCAAAAAAAATATAATCTCAACGACAAAAGTTTTCTTCGTTATGTTCATATATTCTGTTTCGTTTTTGTTCGTTTTTTACGATATTATTAATAATTAATTAGCTACAAAAAGTTAAACTAGTAATATGATTTATTCAACTGGTCTTTATATATATTGTTGCTTGAAAGAATAATTTATCTCTTTTGTTATTTATATATAATCATAAGTCTTCTGTTGTTGTTCTTATATTGAATTGTCTATATATATATATATATATATATATATATGTATATTCTTTATTCTAATGATGAGAATTCAATATTTCCACATAAGAGGTAAAGTAGATAATTGAACACATCAAATTAAAAAAACGACACTGCGTGTGTGTGTGTGTGTGTGTGTGTTATTCTGTGTTGCTGCTTGATAAAAGACCAATATGATTATTTTTTGTTCTTGATAAACTGACGATTTCAAAACAAATGCTTTTCTTTTATTGCATACGTAATTTGTTTTTCTGTTTTCTATTTTCTAGAGTCTTCTCTGCTTTTCCATCAATACTTGATTGAAAACGGCTGATGGCAACAAGAACATCACGTGTACATTCATCTTCATCATCGTTGTCGCGGTCGCGTTCACCCATACCGAAAAGTGGCAAGCGAAATCTTTCAATTTCACCAAGGCGAGGACCATCAACACCAATTAAATCACCAATACAAAGAAATCATAGCGATGATGAACAAGATCCTGATGATCGTGAACTTTTACCATTAGATGATCAATCTAAAGCAATAGTTGATGACATATCATCACCAATTATGTCAGATATCGATGAAAGTCACCAGAAAAAACATTCACACCACCGACATCATCACCATCGTAAACATTCAAAATCAAACAAACGTTTAGCTACTCATCATCACACTTCTGTTAAACGAAGGTAATCATTGAAATTGAAACAATAATAATGAACAAGGTCATTCTTATACTTTGAAAAGGATTTCAGAATTTTCTCTAGTCAGAAATAGTTCCTGACGGTGATAGGAGAGTTTTTATTATTATAGTTTTCAATCGATTTCAAAACAACTCTACCAGTACTCTCTACAAGAATTTTATCAATTGCCAAATAGAAGTACGGGTGTAGATTGAAAACTGCCTGACTATAAGCAGGAGTCATCTCTATTTTTAATTCAACAGAAAAATATTGAAATCACTTGTCTAACTAGCAAGCAAGCTTAAACTCCTGATTTAAATATATACTTTTTCTTTAGCAAAAAAGAAACAGTATCAACGACACGCCGCAATAAATCGAATGATGAAAATGTCGATGTTTCACCAGAAATAAATACAGGTGAAAGCCAACAATCACAATCAGAACAAGATATGTCAACGTCAGAAAATGAATCAAATGAGGAAGGAATGGTTGAAGGTAAAATCGAATATTTTCTCTAATTCTGATTAGAACAGATATTTAACAATTGATTTTTATCTTATTGTAAATAAATCTATGCAAATTTTGAATGGACCATTTTTTTTCAAACACTCCTATAGAAGTCTTGTCAAGTTCCTTATTTTTGTTTTTGGCCCATTCAGACGATATCGAAAGAAACAAATAACATCTTGTGTTCTTAATTTTAATGTTTATCTGAAACTTTTCTTTGATTTTATTCATTATATATTTTTTGAAAAAATATATTTGATGATTATGAAACTTGTCTTGATCTCTACGATAGCAGAAATCGTCATAAGTACGGATTGATATTCAAAACATTTTCATTGTTAGAATTCTATTTATGAAAATAAAAACTAATAAAAGAGCTCGCACAAGTCGAAAAACTTGACTGAAAAAGAGTATAAATTCATCAAACTTAATTTTTTTCATTTGAATCATAAAAATGTAGACTGAGTATGTTAAAAAAAAACACAGTTTCATAGATAGCTCGATGAGTTCTATTCAAACAACGCTAAAAGATACAGCCAAAACATTTTGGTAAAATTTTACCTTGTGATTATCTTACAGTGATACTTAATATAATATCTGTGTATCTATTTTTATTTCATTTCAGGTGATAGTACACCGAACGAACGTCCTAGTCACCATCGTCGTAAAAAACATCGCTCACCATCGAATCAAGAAAAAAATAGTCAAAGTCCTCAGTCACCATCGTTTTCTATACCAAAAAATAATAAGGGTACTCAGCTAATAGTCAATTATTTGCCTGCGTCATTACGTGAATCTGATTTTTATCAATTATTTGCTCGCATTGCACCAATTAAATTATGTAAATTAATAACTGATCGTTATACAGGTCAATCTTATTGCTATGGGTTTATTGAATATCATTCGAAAGACGATACGATAAAAGCCATCGAAAAATTTAATGGATATAGAATTGAACATAAAAAATTAAAGGTATCTTATGCCCAGCCAAAATCAAACAATAATTATGAATCAGATAATGATAAGCCGATAAAGCCTTCGTCAACACAAAAAAATTCGAATATTTATATAACTGATTTACCTGATGATATCGATGAAAACATGTTAGAACGTCTTTTTTCTAAATATGGTGACATTGTTCAAACAAAAGTTTTACGCGATCCACGTACTAGAATATCACGTGGTGTTGCATTTGTTCTTATGAAATCAGCTCGTTATGCTGAAAGAGCTGTTAAAGCGCTTGACGGTTATGTACCATCAGGTGCACATACACCTATATCTGTTAAGTATGCTGATCTCAACAAAACGGCAGCTATAACAACAATATCATCAGGAAAAAATGGTAGCAATAGTTCATCATCTCGTTTATCAAGTTCATCGCCGATGACACCCCCAATTGGACCATATGGTTATCCAACTGCATTACCACCATTGAGTATGATGGATCCATATTACGCAGCAGCACTGCATCATCATCATCGAGCAACAATGAACATGTAAGTAACAGTTCTATTTTTCTTTTCTATGAAATTGAATGTAAAGCGAGTGTTGAAGTATATAAGTAATTAACAAGAATATTTATAAAATCTCTTAAAATTTTAATCTTTCAAAGATTGCATGGACAATTTTTTGTTAATCTTTTCATTTAAACCAAAATAACCATTGAACTTTCCCTTAGAAATAAATTCAAATTTTTCTTTTTAGGAGAGATTTAAGTCCATCACCGCCTCCTCTACAATCTTATTTCAGAAGTGATTCTAGTCGTTCTTCTCGAATGCGTGGTTCATCGCCAAGTTTACCTCGCTCGTATCCATCATCATCGTCGAAACATAATTCAAATATTCTAGCAACAAGTATGAGAGTAATTCATTTTCATATTGATTACATAGAAAGTTTTCTTTAGCGGGCAACCTTAATTCACCATCAGCACTTGCTGCTGCCTATGATCTAATAGCTAAAGGTTGCCAACAAGCAATCGATCCAAATGGTTTTGTAATATATGCATTTGGTTTACCACATGATTGTGATGAAAATGATTTAGAAGAATTATTCCGACGCTATGGTGATGTTTATCGTGTATATATTGTAAGAAATTATACAACAGGTGAATCAAAAGGTTATTCATTTGTAACAATGCGTAATTATGATGAAGCCTGTCACGCTGTTGATCGTCTCGACGGTACAACATTTAAAGGCCGAACAATTCAAGTGCGCTTCAAGCAATAAATACCAATTAATTTATATGAAATCAACAAAACGAATATTTTCTTTTGATTTTTCATTTGTTGTCTAATTAGAATCTATTCATGGAAAAGTCAAAATTCCATTATGAGGATGTTTTCTTTTCTTTTTTTTTGACACCGTTGATCTTTATTTGTTGTATTATTTGTATGTTTAAAAATAATAATGAGTTTAGACGAATTAAACAAATAATATTTCAATATTTTAGATAAGATTATCAAATATTCGATTATTTTTTCTTCTTTTCTTTTTTAAAACAAGCAATTAATATATGCTATTTTACCTTAAAGGTAAGTTATTATTTTATGATATATGAAAATCATGGATGTTAATTGAAGCTTTTTTTTGTTGTCTTTTTATTTTATCAAGATCTATGTAGCAAATATTTGTTTTTCTTTTTCAACTATTGATTACCGGTAATAATAATAGTAGTGCTACATTAGCGAATTAGCCAATCTAACTGATAATTTACAGTTTAACGAAAAATCAAGATTTACGATGACTAATGCCAATAATATTGCTGCCACAGCTAGTACTATAAGTCAATTATTGAATGGACTTGACCATGATGGCTCGACTAGTTCAGCTTCTGCTGGTCCTGCGGATGATGTTTCAAGTATAATGAGAAGCCCATGGGACCCATTCCATTGTGCTGATTGGGATATGCAACAGCCAAGTGCAACTTGTTTAGCAAGAATAAAACGGTGCATAGAATTATTATGTTAAGAATTCAATTTAACAAAACTATGCTTTTTTTTCTATTAGTGATATTTGGAGTGTATTTAAAGACCCTCCACCAGGTATGTTTATTGCACCCGATCCTGATAATATTACCAAAGTATGGCATCATAATTTCTTCTTTATTCATTTGCGTTAATAATAATAAAAACTACAATTCTTAGATTCATGCTCTTATTGTTGGCCCATTTGACACACCATATGAAGGTAGAGTATTAAAATAGTTTTATTATTTTTCATGGTTTTTCTTTTCTTCAGGCGGATTCTTTTATTTTCTTATTCGTTGTCCACCAGATTAGTAAGTATTATAAACTAACGACTATAAGAGAATTAATGTTGTTTTTTAAATATATTTCTCATCTTGATTTGAATTCTCATCACGGATACTTTATTCTCTGCTTTTAAAATAGTTCGAAGTCCATTGTCCATGTGAATGTATCCCAGGCGTTTCTACACAATGTTAAGAGAAAATGCTTGATAAATACTATTAGAAACATCTTAAATATCAAACACTTTTTATTTGTAATGCTTCATTACTGACAGAGAACTTGTGCTTCATGATCACTACTCGCGAAAAGTATTAGTTAATTTACACGATAAATACCAATAAGAAATACTTTATAGTCTGATGAAAACTTGGAGCTTTTCAAGCACTGCGCAATATCTATCTATAATTTGCTTAAAATTACTGCGTATAAGCCTGCACAGGCTGTTCGTTACTCATGAAATTTGTTCAGCTTCGTGTTGGGCAGTAATAGTTATCATATTATTTGGCTAAATATTTCAAAGCAGAACTTATAATAAATGTGTTTTAGAAAATCAAATCATAATTTTTAAAACGATTGACTTAGCCATACAAACGAATCTTTAGGACAATAATATTCAGAATATATGTAGATACATATTTACTATGGAGCATTTCTTATATAATTTGTTGTTCTTTTTAAATCAAGTCCTATTCGTGCTCCTCGTTGCCGTTTGATGACCACGGGAAACAATACAGTTCGTTTCAATCCAAATCTTTATCGTAATGGTAAAGTCTGTTTATCTATTCTCGGGTATGTTTTTTGTTGTTGTTTCAGAATAAAAAATATCAAGCATTCATTACGATTTTGCTTTTAGTACATGGAGTGGTCCATCGTGGTCCCCAGCACAGTGTATATCATCACTACTAATATCTATTCAATCATTGATGTCAGAAAAGCCATATCACAATGAACCCGGTTTTGAACATGTAAATAAATGATTCTATTTTGCAAAGTCTGTATTTTATACTTTTATTTTAATTTTGTACTTTAGGAACGTACATCAGGCGATTCAAAAACGTATAACGAAATCATAAAGCATGAAACATTGCGTGTTGCTGTATGCGAAATGCTTGAAAATGAAAATTCATGTCCGAAACAATTACGGTAAAGTTTTTATACAAGAAAAAAAATGAATAACTAAATCAACCTTTTTTCCAGAGAAGTAATGATCAAACAATTTTTCGACTTTTATGATTATTACATTGAAGTATGTACAGAGAATTCAAATAAAGATGGACAACCAATGACGGTAAAACTTATTGTGTACATATCATGATTATTCATTTTATTTATTTTCTTTTTTGTTATATTGTAGGATCCATTTGGTGATCGTCGCGGTGTATTTGAATACGAATTACTATTACAGCGTTTTAAAAAATTAAAAACTAAATTTGAATCATCACAAAACCTCAATAATAATGCTAGTTCATCACGTTCATCATCAACTTCGGGATCAAAACATCAACAAATGGATGCACGTACTAGAGAGATAATACATGATGCTGTTGCACTTGATTCAACTACAACAGCGAATGATGCTACTAATCTTGATGATATATTTGATGATGACAATAATGATGAGTCAAATTCATCAATGGACGATGATGATGACGAACAACAATTGAACGATTTGGAGCCAATACCTTCTGTACCAAATGCTGAACAGTCAAATGAGAAAAATTCAACATGATATAAATCGTTTTGATGTACATTTTTGATTTCTAATTAACTGGTGTTTATTTAATGGTATCATCGTTTATAGTTATTAGCATGAATGATGACTGATCATAATTTTAATATTCTTTTCTTGATCTTGTCTCATATCTATATATTTCTATCTTGTCGCTATTACTTCAAAAATATCAAAAGACAAAGAAAATAATTTTTTCTTCTTATGTGTATAATATTATATTTAAACAAGAAAAAGAAATCAGATGCAAATCTAAAACACCATTTTCTTTATTAAACAAAGGCATTATACGAATGACCTTTTCATGGTTCGGATACCAAAAGAACTTTATTAACAGGGATAAGGATTCTACTAACACTGCTATATGAAAAATATTTTCATGAAACTTTACATCGAATGAATATTAAAAGAAGTGTCTTAAAAATTTTAAAAACAATTCCTCATGCTGTCAGAATCAAATATTTTAACTCTTCATTGATTTCATATATATTTATAACTTCTGGTCATCTTCAAAGCAATTTTTATTCAATCATACAATACAAAATATGACAAATCAAAATTGTTATGAACTAAACGGAACTTGAAATTAATTTCGAATCAGGTTCAACGGGACCAAAAGGGAAAGAGTGAACTCATGATTGAAAAGGTTTTGACAGTTTCTCTTTGTCTACCTTGGAGAAACGTTCATCATAAGATTTTCCCCGCTATTGAAAAAGTTCCTGATGAATTTGATTTGATTTTAAGCAACTCAGGATAACATACTGCAAATGTTTCTTAGCTTTGTAACTAGTGTTTTTTTCTAATTTCAACAATTTTACACTATACGTTTCCGAAACTAAACTTTATCTTCAAGAGTAATACATGTTAATCTCTCTTGTTTTTCAAAAGCACAGTAATATGTCAACAGCTTCTACTGAAATTTGATATTCATCGTTTTAGCGTATGATTATCCCTACCAGGATCATGTTACTAAGAAAATCCATGTTTTCGTTGCAAAGAGCTTCCAGTTGAAATAAATTATTTTATAAGTCAACATTTTTTGTTTTTACTGCACAGCTTATGGTATGAGTTGAGCAGCAGTGTTCAGACTTCCAAAAAAGGAAATTTTGGAAGTTTTGGAAATTTCAAGTACTTGTGTTCTAAATTGTTTGGTACTTCCCAAAATTATACAATTTCCGAAATTTCTGAAATTTCCAAAATTCTGTACAAAGCGAAATTTCTAAACTTTCAAATATTTTCAAAAAATTTTCATTTGCTTTGCTATGTAGTAATCGAGTTGATGGAAGCTTCGGAAATTTCTGTAATTTCCTTTTTCGGAAATCTGAACATACCTCGAGTTGAGTTGTGTACAAAATGTATATATTTACTAGTTTGACATGCATGTAGTAGCTGGCCAGTTTTACAACATATTTTTCATTTTTACCTGAAAGAAAACATTTTCCTTATGTCAACTTAGTTGCAGTTGACTAGAGAAGTTTTTCCTTAAATAACACATCTTTCTCTTCGTAGGCAGTGTTCATTCTTGCGGTGAATTTTTCTCACTACCATTGTTGCTTGTAACAATTTATGACATAGTACTAAATTAAATCCACTATAACTTCAAAGTTATTTTCCTCAATCGTTAAATAGCTGTTCGAATATTGCTCGTTTGAAAAATTATTTTTGACGAATTTAACAGCCAACAGAAAAATCCTTTTTTTAGAATTTAATCATTCGTGACTCATAGAATGTTTTGTCAATTTTACACTTTTTCTTAAATGAAAAGTAGCATGACAAAGAAATGTCGGATGAACTATTGAGAAGCTTTACAGTACATGTATTTTATCAATCTTTCATCAGCATAATTCGTTTTATTTCTGTTAGAAAAGACTTGAATTTCACGAAATAAAATAGTTTCCAAGCAGCCAGATCGTTTATTTTCCAGTCTATGGAGTATTCTATTTCAAACTGCATTCAAAACAGAAAAAAGCAAGCAGAACTATCCTCAACCTTCATGAACACAATGTACCCTCAAATAAAACAACAAATCGATTCAACTCTGAAATCATACTTATGTGTGCCCCACTATGGGTATGTGTTTTTGTCGATACAGGGGTCTAGGAGGTCTAGCAGATCTTACGAGGGAGCATATCCAACTGATAAATCGCTTTTGGGATTAGTCCCCATGCATAGGGTAGAACTTAGTGAATTATGAAAAATTCCAAAAAAGCCAAATGTCCATAGACAGGTGTACTTATGAGTAGGATCTCCTGAAAATTTCAGCTCAAAAAAATGTATCCTTTCCGGGATATTAAACTCCCCAAAAACAAAGAAACTTTTAAAATCCTTCATGAGATATTAGTAATTTTTGAATGCTTAATACTTCGGGAAGGAAACATTGTTTTGAACTGAAAATTTTTCGGACACCCTACTCATAAATAGACGTGTCTATAGGCGAAATCTGAGGCCGAAGTAATATCATTCAATTTCTTTGGTATACACCGTGCTAGAGGCCGAAATTCTAGTAAAATAATGAGAATGAAAATATAATCATGGGCATTTCAAGATAGCTGAACTTTATTTTAGGTCATGTAGAATGTAGTATCTACGATTGAAACTCTTTGTTTCTGAGACAATAATTGCAAGCGTGCCCGTTTTCGACAGTAACCATTTTTTAGAAGTTTCTTAACTGATATTTATTGGGTGTCCAGTTTTCGAAGATGAGATTATATAACCAACTGAACTGAAATCTTGATCAGTTCACAGAATTATACTATCAAACATCTTGTCAATAGTACAAATTTGAATAGCTATTAGAGATTCAAACTTTAATTTTGAGGAAATTCTAATTCTTTTAAAATTTTTACAACGACTCTAAATTCGAATAATAGCCGCTATTGCAAGCATCTTCAATGGTCAGAATTGATAATTATTTTAGCTTGCATTGAAATATATTTTTCTTCGAACAAAAGACCGGTGATATTGAATTTTCTCGATTTAAGCTTAGTGTTAATTTCAGTATCAAACTATTACGTATAACTTGATAGTTTGGAAAAATATGATTCTTTTTTTATTTGTTACATTTGAAATTGTTAATGAAAGTTCTAAACACTGTTCTATGGAATTCATAGTTCATGAAATAAATAATAATCATATCCTCTTCGAAAGTTTTATAACCTTCACTATCCATAGTATAATCAGTACTAATTCATAGAATGTATTAAATTTTAAAAAAATAACAAGAATATAAATTTTTTGGTGCATAAGATTATTGTCAAACTAAAACATATACTTCTGATATTTTGCCTATAAAGCGTCATCATTGCCGTCTAAAGTTTATGTACACGACGATATTTTATAAATAAGTTCATTACGTATCACGGTGCCCTCTATCGTCATGTATAGTCCACAGAAAAATCTCACAATGCAAAGTAAAGGTTTCAAAAAAAATAAAATAATTGGTAGAAAATTTGGCAAACATAAAATTATTACTTGTCTTCGCTTTTCACAGTATTCGGTGTGATTTCTTTATGTTGTTTTGTTACTAACTATCACATTCATTGTATTGAATTATATCATAGTAATTTTAACTTAAAAATAATATTTTCCAGATGGGTGCCTATTTATCATCGCCTATTTGTGACAAAGATACAATTACAAGTTCAAATGATCGTTTAGCTTATGCTGCAAGTTCCATGCAAGGATGGCGAATGTCGCAAGAAGTATCGTTTGAATTTACTTAGCAAAATAATTTTATATTATATTTTTTGACTATTTTATTATTTAGGATGCACATAATGCCATACTTGATTTCGATGATAAAACATCATTCTTTGCTGTTTACGATGGTCATGGGGGAGCTGAAATAGCTCTATATTGTGCTCGGCATTTGCCTGATTTTCTAAAACAACTTGACTCGTACCAAGAAGGCCGATTGAAAGATGCATTAATTGAAGGCTTTCTTAAATTTGATTCTTTATTACTTGATCCAAACGTAAAAGAAATTTTACAAACTTTGGCCGATTTAAAGGATAAGAATGATAATGATGAGCAAATAGATGATGCATCCGACGGTGTTATTGTATCAACAAATGTAAGTGAAGAATTAAATGTTGAAGAAGCACAATTATTGAAAAAAGAAGCCGAATTGCCTATTGAAGAACTTCTTAAACGTTATGGTGATGACGGAAAAACTTTTCAATCACCGATGATTTCTAAGAATAAAGCACACAATCTATTGAAAGTGGACGATAAAACTACAAAAAATGTAGAAAATCAGAAAGAACTGTAAGATTTCTACTGTTTTGATTAAAATAAAATATGCTTTTAAATCATTTTTAGTCAAAATTCAGAAACAACAGATGATAATACTTTGACTTCATCGGTTACTTCAGATCAAAATAAATCTGATGTAATTACACATTCTGATGAAGAAAATATTCCAGTAGATGATGTTTCGGATCATAAAACGACTGAAACTGCATCGAATTGTGAAATTTCAGATTCAACTGTATGAAATTCTTTTTGCAAATATAAATTTTAATGAATGATTTTTTGTTTATTAGGAAGTCAAACCTTCATCTTCTGAACCTAAAACAGCAACTAAACGTCCTCGAAAACCAGTTTCAAATGAAACAACAATTCCTTCATCAACAACAGTCAAATCTAAATCATTAACACATCATTTACTTAGTGAAAATACTGATGATTTGGAAGATAACGACGACGAAGAAGATGAAGACGATTCTGAATATGAAGAGTAAGTATGATATATTTTAAAATTTAGACGTATTAATCTTTTTCTAGTTTGGTTAATCCTTCAATTGATTGTTGATTAGTGATTCAGAATTGTGTACATTCAAATAAACTTCAAATATTCTGACAAAAATACCCACTAGCAGATAATTTCCTCAGAGATATTGTCCTCTTAGTCCACCTATACAAGGAATGATATGGATTTTTATAAAAAAAAAAAGCTTCATTTTCGAATTTCTTTTTCAATGTTTCATACCTAATGCTTTGATCCTATCCTGACATAAAGGCACATAAGTGATCAGCTTATATAAGTGATGTAGAGAAAAAAACCATACTATCATTGTAAGTCGGTCCTAAAATAGATTAATTGATAAGGATTGAAACATTCATGAAAATATTATTATAGTTGAGCGATCAATCAGGATAGAATTTCAAGTAAAAATTTGAAAATCAGTTTTTCTGATGGATCATAGCATATACGAAAAATTCATGGAAATATGCAGTATAAGCAAGACCGAGCTTTGTTGTGAATATAATATCGAAAGTTAGAATTAGTATAGAAAATAATTGATCAAAGGCAAATCTTTTCGGACTGTTTTTTCATCGGTTCATGATTTACTACAACTTGTTTAGTTATCTATTCTTTCAAAATTTTCTTTTTTTAATTCTTCAAGGTTTAAGTATTTCAAAAAAAAAGACAGTGTTACTTTGTACAGGATTCTTCAAATTGCAAACTCTCTACATAAAGTTTTCTTTTTCAAAAAGAAAACACTACATTTTTTTTTGTTGATTTCGTCAATACTTATGTTTTTGACATAATTTTATTTATCATAGATCGGACGATGAGACAAGTGATGATGAAGTTGCACTTAATCAAGAAGATGACGAAAATGTCGCTGGCGATGAAGATCAAAAAGAAGAAGAAGAAGAAGACGACGATGAAGAAGAAGAAGGAACAGAAGAAGAAGAGGAGGAGGAAGACGATGAAAATGAAAATAAAAAATTGGCATCAAGTAAAGCAGCAGAAATAAAAAAACTGTAAGCAATTTGAGTCTCAAAATGTGTACGAAAACTATTTTTGTGTTATTGCCGCACACTTCTGTATAGTATGAAAAAGTCCATAATGGCTATTTTAAATCGGCATTCCAAAAAGAAAAAACATAATGATGATAGTGACGATGATGCTAAAGAAAACCAAGTAAGTCTTTGAATTAAAATCATTTTTCACGCCTACTATTTTAATTCATCATCAATAGAATGACGATGACGAAGAAGAAGATGGTGATGACAATGAAGAAGAAGAAGACGATGAAGGTGATGGAAAATCATTGAATTCTTTAAAATAATAATATTTTATTTTTGTATTTTCTAGACGACGATAACGATACAGAATTAGGTAAAATGCTTGATATGAGTAGTGATCCAGGTTCATCAAGTGGATGTACTGCTGTTGTTACACTTTTGCGTGATAAACAATTATTTGTTGCTAATGCCGGTGATTCTCGATGTGTCGTATGTCGCAATGGTCGAGCGATTGAAATGAGTGTTGGTTAGTATGATGATTACTTTTTTTTCAATCTTAATTAGTATAAATGTTTATTTAGATCATAAACCAGAAGATACTGAAGAGCGTACGCGAATAGAAAAAGCTGGTTACAAAGTAACATTAGATGGACGTGTTTCAGGTTTGTCTCTAATTTTAGTCTATTCTATTGATAATAAAAGAAAATGTTTCTAGGTGGTCTTAATTTATCTCGAGCTATTGGTGATCATGCATATAAGAAAACTGCTAAATTACCACCCGAGGAACAAGCTATAACTGCTTTACCCGATATTCGTATGTTAACACTTGAAGATCAAGATGAATTTATGGTTATTGCATGTGATGGCATTTGGAATTTTATGTCAAGTCAAGATGTTGTTGATTTCGTGCGTCCACGTCTTAAGAAGAAACAAATATCTGAAATATGTGAAGAATTATTTATGCATTGTCTTGCACCAAATACAAGTGGTGATGGTACTGGCTGTGATAATATGACAGCAATTATTGTTAAATTTAACTTTAACAAACAATCAACCACAGAGACATCTCAAGAATTAAATGTATCGAAATCAATGGAGCATAGTCCATGGCCAACAATGTTTACACCAGTTAATAATAAACGATCATTATCACCTGAACATGTAGCAACAGAAGAAATAGCTGATGATGATAATACTAGCAAAAAATTTAAAACTATTCCTGAGAATGGTACAGATGAAATAACATCGCCATCGAAAACAACAGGTGGTTTCTCTTTTAATTCGGCTAGTACAACGAATAACAATAATTCAAATGATGATCAACAACACTGATCATCTTCTAAATCAACAAAAAAAAGAAAACAAAAACTTTGCATGTAGATCTATTTTCTGTATTATACATGTTTTCCATTGCTATCTCTTTTTTTTTCTGTATTTGTTTCACTGTAAAGCATAGTGAATGAAAAAAAATGAAGATTGTTGATAGGCAATTTTTCTGTACGTCAAAAAAAGGAAAGATTATTATATGTATTCTTTTTGCTTGTATTTTTGTCAGTTCACTAAGTTCTTTGTACTTGTCTGTTGAAAATATGATGAGTCATAAACTTTCTTTCTAAAAGTATTATGATATAGATATTAGGATGTTGATTGGCTATCTACTAGTATTCTTCGATACATGGAAATCAAAATTATATTAAACAGAGAGTATCGATCATTCATAGAAAATCAGCTTAGTTTTGAATTTTTCTATTTCACAATAACAAGCATTTAACAGAAATTTGAAGGATGATTTAATTGGATAATTACACTGCCTATCACATATATTTCGTGCCAACATATTATTCAATAGATAGACTCTGATAGAGCGATCTTTTCAAATATCAAATTCAGTTCTTTTTTAAGTTTCAAAAAGTTGTGATCTCACAAAAAGAACGAAATATTGAACAGCATGATTAGTTGCCTTGTTCAGTGTGTATTGGTACACAACATTTGTAGATATTACAAAGAGTAAAACAATATTTTTAACAATTCTTTAATAAATTTTTCTCTATGATAGTTATGACTCTTTAATATAAGAACGTCTTGATTACCGTGTCCAACTTTTAGACAATGAAAATCTAATGTTTCATTTAATCTTCTTGGATCTTACAAATTTTGAGTATTTTATTTTTCATAAGCACTCTTGTGTAAAATTTCATTGGATATTGAGATTTCTATTCTACAGATAAATGTATTGCTCATACATTTACTTTATTAGAACAGTATCTCATAAAAATAAAACAGCATGAAAACAGAAACATGGATTGTGTTTTGGATGCTAATAATACCGAGCGCGTTTTTAATTATTTATTTTTTGTATTGAAAGTTAATTTAGGCGCTCTATTTACTAATTCGCCACAGTTACATCGCTACTTATTCAGTCACTCTATATCTCTCTGTCTCTCTCTATATATACACTAAACATTCATTCTCAGTTTCATCACAAATCCATCATCAAAGATCTTCCGTTTTTCTTCTAATCTATCAGAAACAAAAGTCATTGTCTTCCATTGTTGTATCCGACAAAATGGCTCGATCAACCAGTAGTAATCAAACCAGTGCACAACATGTTCGTGGTGGAATAACCAAAGCAAAGAATGTTGTTCGTGCAACGTAAATATATCTGTTTTTTTTTATAATCCTATTTTTACTATGAATAACTTGTAGAACTCAAAAACTTTCATCAACAACTCGAAATAATATCACGAACAACAAACAAAAAGGTGCACGTAGACAAACTCGTTCTTCTGTACATGTTATTTCAAAAACACGTGGTCGTTCGAGTACTAATACTCAGAAACGAAGTACACTAGGTAGTAATACCAAAAGTCGATCGGCAATTCGAACTGTTCATGCGCTCAATAACAGTGCCGTTCGACATGGACGTTCAACAAATGCATCCCGAGGAACAACTAGAGCAAAGAAGACCACCGATGGACGAAAGAAAAAAAAGAACTGCATTACAGGCCGTTTAAATAACAAGAAAAAAAATACAACACGTGGCAATAATAATAATAATAATAATAATCAACAGCGACGACCATTAGGGCGTGATCAACAAAGTAACAAAAACAAGTGTTGTTTTTTGTTTGGAAAAGCATAAAAACATCGTTGAATTAATTAATTAATAAATTAATTAATTTCTTTCTAGAAAAAAAGAAAAATGCAACGACGACTTCATCTTTAATAGCAGTAACACCATCGAGTATGATTCGACCTGATGATGATTTTCATCGAGAATCAAATTTTGGAACCAATGAATAAATCAATAAAATCTATCGCGATCTACAAATCGATTTTTGTCGAGGCCGATGTTAAGTTTTATGTTTTCTTTTTTCTTTTTTTTTATGATCGCCAGTTACTTGTATTCATTTGAAATAAATTTTAAAAATCGAATAAAAATCATTTCATAAATTAAAAATGTATCATTATTCTAAAGAATTTGCTTTTTGTTTCTTCGAGTCAATAAATAGTATTTTATACATCATTTGATCATACATCGTCTGAGCATGATTACATAAAATCGACTTTTTTCGACAATGGGTCAAGTGTTTTTTTTTCTGTTACAATACTCCAGTAGAAATTTGTTTTTAACATATAAATATAACTGCATGATCTTTCACTAATTGCCTTTTTACTGCTGAAAGAATATTGTTCGAGACACGTTTTTTTAAGTGACGTATCAAGTAGTATCGGTGACATATTTTAAACAAATGGCCAAGAAAAATGATAAATTCTAGAAGTTGAAGTTTCTCTGCTGAATTTTTCAATTTTGAAATAGATATATTTTCTAAAAGCTTGTTTAGTATGATTGAGAGAGATCATAAATAAGTTGAAATCATCATAGAAATTCATATAGACAAAATAAAATCTCCTAAATCTATCGATTGTTTGAAAAACAAGTTGGCCTTTTAACATGGATAATAATTCATAAATAAATCCTTCGTCTAGAAACTTAAGAACTCTCAAAAAAAGATTTAAATCTGTTCAACCGTGATTTATTAATTCGTGCTTGTCTTGTTTTTGATTATTTAATTTATACCAACATTTGTCGATTTTGATAAGTGTGTTTCTTTTCTTTTATTGTTCATAAAAAAAAAAGCTTTTTTATCAATGGCGTTAACAAAGGTAATTAGTTATGAGCACTAGCTTTTATTCTTTGATTAAAAAAGTAAGATTTCAGTCACTGACCATTGCCATTTCAAGTTTGATGAGAAAAAATTCACTTGTATTGCCTGAAGTTATTTGAGTATTTTTTTCTCGCTTATATTTGAATCCGAGAATAAGTAATGGCTGTCGCGTATAGATCATGTCAAAAAGACACACACACACTCCTTTTTTTACTCTTCAAGTCATTGTCAATGACCATCCGTGTGGAAATATAGAAACAATGTTTTTCACTTAGTATTGCCTTCCGGCTTTGCTTCTGGTTGAGTAACTAGACTGCCCAATTTTCTTCTTCTATTTTATCCTTTTTTCTTTTTTTCTCATTCCTCATTGGCTTGAGTCAAAAAGTGTCTTGCCTTTCTAACAAATCATGGAACGAGGAATGGCAATATGTGCGCATTATGTTAAAGATGACAAGTGAAAAAACGCGATAGAGAAGAAAAAAGTAACCAACTGAACATTTTTCTCATAATTTATTTATTAACGTCAATGCGTGTTCACCATGTAATAAGAGACGACTTCAAAAAGAAAAACCAAATATATGTCACAAGTTGAGCATTGTTTCAATAGATTTGCTCGAATGACTAAGTAGTTAAATGTATGTTCATGAGAGAAACAACTCATTGCAGCAAATGAATCTTCAATTATCGATCTTGTCTCGGGCTGTTCACATTTTTCTTTCGAGCTAGATGAATAATAAATAATTTACGTGAAATAACATTGCCGTGATGCTTTTTTAGAATGAAAAAAATTCTAGATCTGTTATTTTACTAATATGCCGGGCACGGCTACATCTATCAAAAAGATAACAAATCGTCGTAAAGTGTCTAATCTCTTTGATAATGTTCTATGAGTACAAAAGAAAACATGTTAGTGAATGGTCAATAACAAAAAAAAGAACTATTAAAAGAAAATGTATTTTCTCTAACTAGCACATTTGATAGTTAGAAATCTAAAAAGAAGAAAAAAAGCAAAACAAAAGATGCGAATAGGAGAGATAGTTTTTTTTCTCACGCTTACTAAAGTGTTACTGAAAAGACGAGGGGAGACAAAAGAGTAAAAAAAACAGAAGCGGAAAGAGTAAACGCATAAAAAACACAAGAAAAAGAAAGTAGTGATAAGAAGAAGAAGGAGAAGGAGAAGATCATTTGAAACGGAAAAGCTAGTGGGACACGCACACATCCATTCGATAGAGTCTCAATCTCTCTAGTCAAGTGTTTAAAAGTAATTTTTGCTTGAGGCTATCGACGTATATTCTTTTTGTTTGTAACTTCAAAAGACAAAATATATAGATACATATATATATTTCAACAGATTATGCCAGGTAAGATTTAACATAGAGACTTTTGAAAATTAACAAAAGTCAATGATTGATTTTGATTTTGCTATTGTAATCGATTGTATTGAAAATAATTCTATTACTAACTCTTTATTCTCATAGGTGAACGTTTATTGAATGTTTTGTGTGCTGTATGTGGTGATCGATCATCTGGGAAACATTACGGTATTTACAGTTGTGATGGTAATTTTTTAAAACACTTACTTTCAACAGATTTTTGTGTAACAATCGAAATATTATCTCATTATTAGTGAAAATTGATAATGTAGATGACTGAAGTAAAACAATTTTAGGAAATATTTATTTTCATAACGAGAGCTCTTTTTTATTAGCAAAAATGAATTATTAGTTCGAATTTTAAAAAGAAAAACACATCTCTAACAACAAAGAAAGATAACCAATCAGATTTTTTTTCATTGAAATCTGATATCACATTTCTAAATTTTGTATATTTACATGTGAAGAATATTTCTATCGGTTTTATTCGTCTAGGCTGTTCGGGTTTTTTTAAACGGAGCATTCATCGACATCGTCATTATGTATGTAAAGCGCAAGGTGAATTGAAAGATAAATGTCCTGTTGACAAAACTCATCGAAATCAATGTCGATCTTGTCGATTGGCTCGATGTTTCTTGGTCAATATGAATAAAGATGGTAATTACACATTCTTGACTTTTCGCCCAATAAATGCTTTTATTTCTAAATAGCTGTTCAACATGAACGTGGACCTCGTAAATCAAAACAGAAAATTCTCAGTGTTTCCAGTATGATATTGCCGAATTCAAATGGACAAACCCGACCACCTATTGCTTGTTCATCATCTCCAACAATAGTCAATGCGTCAACAACATCAATACAAAATCATTTTAATCGAAAACCTAAACTTGTTTCTACACAACAACATCAACTATCTTGTTTACCATCAATGGACAATTACAATTCATTTCCAACTATCATGAGTCAAGTAATTAAAGAAAAAAATATATATTTTTATTTATGTTTTTTATTTTTTTATTTTTATTTTTTTCATAGATAACATTATATGAAGCAGCAGCACGTCTTTTATTTACCATGACCAATTGGTTAGAAACAGTATCTTCATTTAAAAATCTTCCTAATGATGATCAAGTATTGTATCAAGTATAAAAATCAAACATGTCCTTATGTTTTTTTTTATGTTCTTTAGCGTTCACTTCTTGAAGTTAATTGGCATAATCTGCTTATAGTCAATTTAAGTCAATGGATGATACCCATAATGGCTATTCAATTAACAAACAGTACACTTACACAAACAGATCAAATAGAAATACAACGTCTATGTGATTGCATTTATAAATTACGATCACTTGCATTAGATGCCTATGAATATACTTATGTTAAAACTCTTTCACTTTATCAATGTTCAGGTAGATTTTGTGATAAAAATAAGAGAGAATAAATAAAATCTTCTTATTTTCATAGCTAAAGCATTAATCAATCAAACTCATATTGATGCTTGCCAAGAGCATGCTCTTTTCGTATTGCGTACAAGCTTAATGTCTCATTCGGCAGTAACATATTCCATGAAATTCAACCAACTTGTTGGAATAATTCAAATGATGAATCAGATATCAGCAAGCAGTGTACAACGTATTTTATTCCCAAGTATAACATCTGATGTGCCAGTTGGTAAAATTCTTTGGGAACTTTATCGATCAAAACCTAGTGAGCCAACAGCATAAAGACTCATTAATATTTAAACAAAACTTACATTTTCAATTCTAGTCATCGTTCATTTGTGTCATTTTTTTTTCAAATATAAATAAATATATTACACAACTTTTTTCTCATATTGCTTATTCTGAAATAGGTAAATACAAAAATTGGAATTATCTAGGGTTCGAAGAAAAGTTCTCATTTGTCATTGAATGCAATAATTTGAAGAAGAAAATGATGTTGATCAAAGTAATTCACAAAATAGAAGACTCAAAATTATAAAACTTCTTTTGAAGCCGAATCTTCAACTAGTGACACTATCAAAATTAAACAGCGAACAGTCTACATATGTATAGCTACATCCAATAAATCGATCATATCTTTTTCGTCGGATGTTCTGTAATAAGAAGTTTTGTTTTGGGGTGTGATGTAAAGATAGCTCATGATAAAACATATGTCTTATATCGAGAAACAAAGATTACTGAGTCCTTTATACTACGACATTATTCTAAATAAGGCTCATAATTTCTATGAGATGTCAAAGTATAGATTCGTAGGAATGATTTTCTACAAAATTTAATGCTCTCTTGTTCATTTTCTCATGTATCTTGAGTGAATTATTTTAATACTACATGAAAGTCTTCTTGACAATAAACAATCGTACATATAAATACGATATTCGAAAATCCTTTAAAGGGATAAAGAAAAAGTTTAAAGAAAAAAGATGTTCTGATGAAGAAATTCTCATTAGAGTTGCAGAGTCGTTTTTCATTGCTCTTTGTCCTTTCGTTTCTGTGTCCTCTGAGAGAGATTTTTCAATCAAATTCTGTTTTATATTTGATTACAAGACTCCTACTATTCTTCCTATTGAAAGCAGAGATGGAATTTTGATGAAATTCCATTGCGGTATTCTATGTAAAACACAATTGATGCATAAATTATGTTTTAGTCTTTACAATTCTGGTTACTATAAAACTATACATCACTAAGTTATTACCGTTGTTTAATTGTTGCGATAACATCTGCCTATCTGTGTCTTGTTAACGCTGATGTAAGTATTACTATATGCATATCAGGATGTTCTCTTTTGAAAAGAAATTTATCATACATCAACATAGTTTTTCTGTTTGAAAAATATAGAAAAAAACCATTGACTTTATTTTAGAGTTTCGTAAATGTACTCTATCTCAAGTATGAAGAAGGTATTACTTTTCAATAAACGAATTAGCGCGAATAGTACATCAACGCAAGTTAAAGTTGATATTGTTATCGACATAAACATGTGACTAATAATCGTTGGTAGCCGTATGAATCGTGTTTTGCTGATTGGAGATTTGTTTATGATTTTTAAGAACTACGAAATATATGAAATTACGTCGCGCATTTATTTCTATAGCGCCTCATTTATGTATGTTTCTTCAATATTGCAAAAGAGTTCGTTTTATTGTTTTTTTCTGAATAGATTCAATCAGATTTAAATCTGAAAAAATAATTTATTTCACGATTTTTGGCATTCTTAATACTGTACTTAAATTTTTTTATAAATAAATGTATATAAAAAATACCTTCTTCTTGCGTCATCTTACGCGGATACTATCTTCGATATATAAATAACGAATCCTATCGTTTCTAATGTTAACTCTCTATTGTCCATTCAGCAGTAAAATACAGTTTTTCTGATTTTATTACTATATTTCATTGTATTATTTAAAAAAAATTATTATTAGCTAGAGAAATTTTTAGATGGGCGATCTCGCTGATCTTGTTTTACAGCTCTATGACATTGAAGCATTTAAGTTTGGTTCATTCAAACTTAAAACTGGTCTACAATCACCGATCTATATTGATTTACGTGTAATCATTAGTTATCCAGATATTCTTGTAATTGTTAATTGCTGTCTGTTTACTCCTCTCATATTTTCTATTGTATATGTTTGTTTTCGTAGCGGTCAGTAGCTGTGCATATGAATGAAATATTGAAACGTTCAAATGTCAGTTTTGATTCCATATGCGGTGTTCCATACACAGCTTTACCAATAGCTTCAGTAAATAAAAATCTTGTTTTTTATTTTGACAAAATTACGCGAATTCTCAATTTTGTTTTCTCATATAAAAGATTATCTGTGCTGATTATAAAAGACCGATGTTAATTCGAAGAAAAGAAGCAAAAAATTATGGAACAAAAAAATTAATTGAAGGAAAATTTCAAATCAATGATCGATGTATCATTATTGAAGATATTGTTACTAGTGGTTCAAGTGTGATTGAAACTGCAGATGTAAATAGATAGAAGAATAATGAATATTTTTATTTAAAATCCATTTATATCTATAATAATAGAGTCTTCGTGCTGAAGGATTACAAATAACCGATGCAATTGTCTTTTTTGATCGAGAACAAAATGGTGAAAACAATCTACAAAAAAGAAATATTCGATTACACCGGTATTTCTCAAATATGGATGGAATTAAATCCATTAATAAAATTCTCGTTATCTTTATTTTTAGAGTTTTGAAAATTTCAGAAGTTTTAGGATATCTTGTGCAACATGGAAAAATTTCTGAAGAAATTTCGGAAAGTGTAAAAGAATTCATAAATCAAAATCAAACTCAATTACCAACATTAAACATTGAGATTGAAAATAAAACTATTAGTATTCCTATTCGTCAACGATTTCAAACAATTATGAAAGAAAAACGCAGTAATCTTTGTCTATCGGCAGATTTGACAAATCTTGATGAAATTATAAAAGTAAATTTAATTTTATAAGATAAAAAAAAACTATTGAATTCTTTCGTGTTTAGCTATCAAAACAAGTTGGATCAAATATTTGTATGTTAAAAATTCATTCTGATATTTTAACGGATTTTTCTATGGATAAAATTCAACAATTGAAAGATATTTCAAGAAAATTAAATTTTCTATTACTTGAAGATCGGTAATAATTTGAGAAGGTTTCTTTTTATAGTCTGTCTATTTGATTTGCTTTTATTTAATTTTGTTATTCGAAAGAGTAAAAAAGTCTTAACTAGAATAAGAATTTCGTTCTGTTTCGAAAGGTACAACGTTTCTCAAAATACAAGACTTGCAGTTCGAGATCGTGCCCAGCGTTGTTGAACTAGTCCTCATAGATAACCTTTTTGTTTTTGTTTTTGTGTCAATGTTTGATAAACTCCATAGCACTTGGTATTATGTATTGTCTTTACAAAATACTTATCGATGACACTCACTAAAGTAAAGTTAATACCATATTTTTAGTATCTCGACAGACATTTTACTGGTATTTTATATTTTAATGCTAAACTGATTACTTGTCTGCAGAAGTATGTTTGTTTTTTGATATATAAAAATGAATTGCATTAAAATGTCGAATTTACTCGTATGAAAAAAGTAAAGTGAATAAGAGGCATACCACTTCTTAATTCTATTGGGTACTCTGTTTTTTAAGTCGACACTTATTTCGTTCAAGTAATAAGTGTCTCAAACAAACACACGAATCCTAATAGTATCAAAAAAACCTGATGTATCTAGTAGATTGAATCTTCAGAAAAGCTCGTATAAAAAGAATCTCAGCTGTTGATAAAACTCATGCCACTGCTCAAATTTAATTGAATACCGAGTAGATGATGTCGTTTTACTAGAACTTCAAGATAGAATAGAAGTGTAAGAAAGAAAGTTTTTTGTGCAATGAAGCTGAAGTATAATAGTAGTAAATCACGCATCAACCTAGATAGAAAAACAGACTGAAACCAATATTGAATATCTAAACTCGACATTAATTGTACATCTTATTTAAAAAAATATGTGTCGATAATGCAATAAAGTCTACTAAACGCGAAAACGTAACATTTAAAATAGATTAAGATTATATCAGCGAGCAAGTTTTTTTCTTAATTTCAATTTAAAAATATATATTTAGTATTCCTAAGACGAAGCGTCTTTCTGTAAACAAATGTATAATAGACTATTCCTGTACAATGAATAGAAGTAATTCTCATCCAGATACTGATAATACACTACGTAAAAAATACTTTGCAAAAGTTGTTTACATACCCTTTATTAGATGTTACCTTTTAGCAAATGACATTTAAGCTATGAAAAAATTATAAAAACATTTATTTAGAAAGATCATGAAGCCCCAGCATAGTCGACTCTTTCCTATTGGTTTAATGACTTAGAAGTCCATAGAAATTAAGCAAATATTTTTAAACAGATTAAAATAACCGAAAATTGAATTTATTTCATTTTTTTTTATTGTATACAGAAAATTCGCTGATATTGGTAATACGGTAAAATTACAATATACAAAAGGTCTTTTTCGAATTGTTGAATGGGCAGATCTTGTTACAGTTCATGCTTTACCTGGTGAATGCATAGTGCAAGGATTAGAACAAGTAAGTTCTAAATTAGAAAACTTTCATTAATGAATTTATACGAAATATTAGTCAGCCCAATCAATCAATGAACCTCGTGGTTGTTTACTCATAGCACAGATGTCATCGAAGGGTGCTTTCACAGACAATGAAGACTATGTTAAAGGTCTCTAATTTTTTTTAAAGAATCATATACATTTCAAAGAAAGCTATTTTTTATCACTTTCAATCATATAGGTGTAGTAGAATGTGCTAAGAAATATTCTGCTTTTGTTATTGGATTCATTTCTCAATCACGTCTAACAACTACTGATGAATTTCTTCATTGTACTCCAGGTAAATTATTTTATAAGATTAACGAACAACAGAGAATACCATGTCAAATTAGGTGTTCATTTGAATAATACTGGTGATCAACTTGGCCAACAATATGTAACGCCACGACAAGCGATCGATGAACGTGGTGCTGATATTCTCATTGTTGGTCGTGCTATTCTTGATTCGATCAATCGAGCTAAAACTGCTGAAGAATACCAACAACAAGGTTATCAAGCATATGAAGAAATACGAAAAATTTAAACATACAGTTTTTTTTTGAATATTTTATTCTATATTGAATAAAATTGGTTAGTGAAAGAAATTTTCATTCAATCATATGTCAGATTCATTTTTGAAGTCGTATACATATTCAAATTGTTTTTTTTTGCAATTCAATGAGTTGTTTGTTCTTATGTAAAGAGAACAGTTAAAGCCATGATCTACTCTTTCTTAATCTCATCTTAAGCTTAATATCATTCATCATTTTCTGTCTAGTGTTCATATACAAATCACCAACGATGATGTTCTTCTGCATCAACTTTTTTTTCTTTTTACATTTAACGTATGGACAGCAAAATGGTTATAATTTTTTTATGCCAGATATACCTGCGAGTTCATCATTAGTATCAACGTCCGCATCATCAGTAGCAGCAATTCCAATTGTTCAAAAAACTCATTCATTGACAACAAGTACATTTACAAAAATCAATTTACTAGGTGGCCCATTTAATGTCAAACTTTGCCATAATACGAATCCAACTGATAGTTATAAATCAGTTGATATTGTAGCTGAAGAATCATTACATCAATTAATCTCGATTAATATTGAACAAAATGCTGCACTAACAATTCGTGTGACAGAAAATATTAATACAAGTAATAAAACAAATATAACAATATTTATTGTTTTTAAACAATTAAATGAACTTTATATTGATGGTATGATTAATGTTCAATGTGACAATCGAATAGAAACAAATAGATTACTTGTAAATCATCGTGGTACCGGCTCAATGAAATTAAAATTAAATGTGAATGCTCTTGAAGCTGATCTTTATTCAATTGGTCATGTGAAATTATGTGGACAAGTTTATGGTGAAGCTATAATAAAATCTTTAGGAGTTGGTGATGTTGACGGTAGAAATTTATTAACGAAAACAATTCAAGTTATATCAAGTGGTATTGGAAATCTTTATGTGATGGCTATTGATGAAATTAATATCACATTAAGTGGAATCGGTACTGTTTACTATGCAGGTCCAATAAAACGACAAGTTAAAACAGGTTTAGGAAATATTATTGCAGTGCCTCCTGTATCATTCTATGACGATGAATGATTAGCTAATGAAAACTTCAGTTAGAATAGATTTTTTTTATAATTATTTATTTCTCGCTAAGCACCTTTAATAAAAATATTATTATTCGTTTTTCTTATATTCTAATCAATTGTCCGATTCATGTTTTACGAGAGAAAAAAAATCATTTCTTTTACTTGCAAGCTGTTACTATATTTCTTAATGTGTGGAGCTGTGTTACTAATGTCGACTCAGATATCTCTGACTACATATAAGAAAATGTTCTAGCTCGTCAGGAAAAAAGAAAAAGAAAAGGCAGAAGAATCGAATCCATTGCGACGGAAAATGTCGCACAAATGCACACAATGGTACCAACATCTGGCTGCGTGCTTGGGACGACGACACTAATAGATGTGGCGATCGTAATGACGAGTGAGAAAAAGACAGAGAGAAGAAGAAGAAGAAGAAGAAGAAGAAGAAGAGGAAAGAGAGGAAAGAGAAGAAACTCCGGACTCTTCTTTGCCGTTGCCATCCCGCTGGGACCTGGGCTCGTATATTTGTTCTTCTCTTGCACACATACACACATACACACATAAGTACACAGAACCGACTCAACTATGTTACTGAGAATGCCGGCGGCAAATGCACATTCTAACTTATATGTGTCTCTTTATTCATCTCAAATGGCAATATATGATGATGATAATAATCACTCTCATCATAATAATGTTATTTTCCTTATATGACGAATGATTGTTTTGAAAACAGATACATTTCATTATCAAACTATTCAAAAATAAAAACAAAATACAAGCAAAACAAATACCATCATAATCATTGAATTTTAAAAAAATATTATTCTTATGCATCGAATACATTCACCCATACCTTATAACATTCTACATGGTATTGATCTCTCTGCTAATGTAACATCTATATTTGCTTATCTCAGTTATTTTCCACCGCCACCACCTGTTATACCATCTCCACCTCCTCAACGTTCTTGGACATGCTCAGCTCGTTCTCTATCATCATCATCATGTTTAGTTGCTGATGATCTTAATCCTTCGAGTCTACGAGCATACGTGCCGTTGATTAATAATAATCAATCATACTTATCAAGGAATGCATCTCACATTGATAAAAATGTACATCAAAATTTCAAATCTACATCTATATTAGACTTCTTTCAAAATCAATTACCGTTCATTCTTTTGATAATTATTTTTTTAACTATATTTATTTTCGTTATATTCTTATTGGTAGTTTTTTTGTGTAAGCAATGTAAACGACAAAGCCAATCAACATCAAATAGTCGCATGGAAGCACACAATAATAACAATAACAATAACAATAACAATAATAATAATAATAATACATTTTATCTGCGTCTAATACCGCATGGAAAAAAATATCAAAAACAGACCATGCCACTAAGAAATACGAATGATGAAAATAATTCATTAAACTTATTAAATCATGATTCAGCTACCTTGGAAGTTGTGGATTTACCCAAAACAAGTGGAGCACATATAAATGATAATGAAGAACAAGAAGAAACTGTTTAATATATATTTTTCTCTTTTTTTCTTTCTCTATGTAAATCTTCATTACTTTTTTCTTTTGTACTCAGGAAAGAAAAAAATACAAATAAGCGTTAAACAAAAATTTGTTTTTTCTTCTAAACATATATAAATTTAAAACAAAACAAAGCAGTAAGCTACAAAAATTATTTTCGAATACAAATCATCAGAACAGTCGTTTGATCACAATCATAAGATTTTAATGTTCGATTATCTTCGAGTTGGTCAAAATAATTACCAGTCTTTGTTAACGTTATATTATTCGGATCAAGATTTTGTTGTTTACCAAATATTTGTTTTAACTCGTATATTGTATTATCTAATGATATTCGACATTTATATTCTTGATTTAGAAATGTTCTTAAAGTTAAGTTGATTTCTCTTTCAAATAGAAAACAAATATTGATCATAAGATTGTTTTAATTAGTAAAATAGAAATACATACTCAGATGAAAAAGATAATTTAGTTTGTTGATTAGATTTGTCATCATTTGTATGTGTAATATTTAATTGAATATTATGACACATTTGATTAATTTGATCAAGTCGGTCTGGATCATATTGTAAAGATATTTCGATAGACTAAAATTAGAAGAAAATAATAGGAAACGTTCTGCGTTCGTTTTTTGTTATTATCACAGTGATCCGGTACAATTTTTTTGAGAGTTGATCCTTGTTTTTGTTTACTTGGAAAAACTATAATATCGAGTGCATAAATTTATTAAACTGTTTTTTATTGAGCTATGCTTTTCAAAGATTTTTGAATATAAAGAATCATAACACACTTAAAGAACTCTTATTTTGCAAATGAATCGACTTTTTATATTTTTTAAACATACGTGTATATATATGGGCGTGCTCCGCCATAGGCGGCCCCAACTTCTTTTTTGCTCATATAGCTTCATTCCAATATTATAAAAAGGTAATTTTTTTATAGAGTCCAAACGACAATAGTTTTTTAGCATAACGTATATACTATAAATGGTAAAAAATTACCTTTTTTATAATATTGGAATGAAGCTGTATGAGCGAAAAAGAAGTTGGGGCCTCCTATGGAGAGAGAGAGAGAGAAAGACGCAAAGCTATTCATCGGAATAATTGATATTACTTTTACAAAACAAAACAAAAGATAATGTTAAAATCTAGAGCGTATACTGTTAGAGAAAAAAAGCTTTGTTTTTGATCAACCCTTATAAAAGATCAGTGATATTCCTAGCATGCTGCTCTAAGCTCTACCGTTGGTCGTTCAGAAATAATAGAGAATATTTTTTGGCAAATTAATAGGCTTCTTTTCGTTATATTATAAAACTGGAATAGAGACTTACAGTCAGTCATCGGCACAAGATACATTGCAGTCTTAATGACATTGCCATTGGTATTCACTGAAACCTTACAATACGAATCCTATCAAAAATATACTTTTCATATTAGTAGTATATTTTCAATGGACACTACAGTCAATATCTCGATATAAAATTCCTACAGCGATTCAATGATATCGTTAATCAATACATCGAGACTAGATATCCTTTAACATCTACAAAAGTGATACGAATAAAATGAGTTTTTCTATCTTAAGTCGACAGCGTTTCGAAAAGACTCAATGAAAATTTTTTTTTTTTAAATAATTCTATGGCTTTCTGAAAGCATTTTCCATTAAAATCGTTGATAATTGCTTTGCACTAGAGATTGCATTGTTTTCTAACAAAGAATAAACTCTCAACAGTATGTCATTGTTAGGTGACGTTAGATACAAAATTAATGGAGAACTTTTGCTCCATCCGGTAGTTTTGTTTTAAATTTTTAATATTAATATATACATTTATATATGCTTGATGTTCAGTAAGTTTGTCGACTAGCCGAGAATCAACATCCGATAATTTCGCTAATAAATTCAATAATTCCGGTTCACTTTTACTAAAAGAATTTTTCTGATGAAACAAAAATTATTGTGAAAAGAAAAGTGATATTTAACCTTTCGAGATGGTAATTGATTCCAATTAATTCAAGTTTGGATTGTACGATAGATTGAAGATCATTTTCAACATGTCTAAATAAAATAAACATACATAATTTGATCGTCAATCGACCTTGAGATAGATCTATGCATAAGGAAAGTTAAAACTCTTGATTTGCTCTTCGATAATCAATAGCAAACAATGAATGGTTTGTTAAGTACATCGATTTTTCATCAGGTATTTCTGCAGCCTATCTAAACAACCACTTAGTATTATTTATTTGCATGAATTAACTTGGTAAATATTAATCAGAACTGTTGCCTTTGACTTAAACAATGACATGTGTACACGATTTTTCTCTCAGTCATTCGATATTTAAAAGAAATATTACTAAAATCCTACAGTTTTATTATCAAACGAATCTTGTTCAATGCTTTCATTTGAAATATCAAACTTAGTTTTGTTCAAATCAAGTCAAATAGAAAATTTATTTTCATGCGTAGTACAATTATTCAATATTACTTCATGGAGATGACTTCTAAGATGTATTAGAAGACAGGAGAACAAACATGAATATTGTTTTTCTGTAGAATATAATTGATCTTAAAGACTTAGTATTATCATAAGCATTGCGAGGGGAACTCAGCTATATGGATTCCATCTTCTATTTTTGGACCATTATTTTGATTAAAAGCGATATTTCTTAAGGTTAATTTTAGTCTTTTCTTCATCTTTCATTTTTTTTAATACTAGAATAAACAGCTTGGTACTTTTCACAGACGTGTACTCGAAGGTTTTCCCTACACAATGCGATTTATGTTGGTGTCTGATGAAATATTTTCTGTTTACCATGATGTTTTTAATTGCATTTCATTTTTCAGAACTGCTATGCTCTTAAAAATCACAATAAAATTTATGGGAGCACTTTGTTTTAGATAGTTACACTAGCCGATGATTGCAAGTCAGCCTACGAAAATGTTCCTTCATTTTCTACTCTTTTAAACAACGTATTTGTTTTGTTTTCTCTCAAATTACAGATTTAAACTTTTCTCTAGGAGTTCTCATTTTAGAGCCTATGGGCTGACTTGTTAGAGATTCGCGAATTAAGTGTGCGAACTCTAGAATGTCAGAAACAAAACAAAAAAACTATGTGCACGTCATTTGTTAACAGTAATTGTATTGGTAAAGGATATCATGTCTCATTTTTCGATTTCTAATGAAAAAATACTAGTATAGTGGTGGCTTAACCATTCCTAAATGATTCTTTTGAAACTCATCATTCTAATTATTCGTTACCAGATCAGACTCTTTTGTTTAGTTCCACCTATATGAAATTCGAATTTAAGTTTGATGATAATCATAGTTTTCTTCAATTTAAATCATTTTTTTTGGATTCTTTTTTTACTCTAAACATATTTGTCTTTTATCATTGTAGATCTATATTTTCAAAATAATTTTATCAAATTAAATAAACTTACGCCAATAAAGTTTGTTCATGAGCATCAAGTTGTTTCAAGATATCCATTTGTTTAGTTAGCAGAATGGAATCATGTTGTTGTCGAATACGTTGTAATTCATTGCATATTTGAGTTTTGACATTTTTAAAAGAATTATTAATCGATACTTAAAACGAAAAATGAAATTCAGAAAATAGTTTAGAAATGAATTTCTTTTTCTAGCAAACCTTTTAAATCATTTTGATTTGTATTTTTTAACTCATCAAGCTTGGCTTTAGTCGATTGTCGTATATCGTTTATATGTTTTTCATTACAATCAGTGCATTTTGTACAATTACAATGTTCACAAACAGTTAGTTTTTCCACTTTCTGGCAAGACGGACATTTTGCTTTTACAGGTTGTACATCCATTAAATTGATTAGTAATAAATTATTAGCCAATTCGTCGGGTCCTTGCTTTAAAAGCGTCACTTTGCGACATGTTGGACTGCAATGAGATGAAAAGAAATCGGTAATATTTTTTATTTTGAAAAATAATGAAGTAATCTAACCATGTCAACGTCCGAGTTTGTGTATTAAATGTTCCTAATAATCAAAAAAATAATAAATTTTGATAACATGAAAAATTTAAGATTGCATAAAATTACTTTGTAAACATATTAAACAAAATGTATGCTGACAAGAAAGTACTTTTGGTGTTTGAAATCGGTCGAGACAGATTGAACATTGTAAAAGATTTTCAATTTGATAGACATTTGCCATAATTTCGAATAATATATATTATTTACTTACGCTATTCATTTGTTGAATATTTTTCTGACAAAATCGGGTGAGTCATCAATGAGTTTTTATTGGTTAAAAAGATGCAAAAAACTTTCCACTGTTTATTTATTATTACAACTTGCAATATACATTTGCCTATCGAAGAAGAACAAAAGAATGGCTAGCCAAGCAAAAAATACATTTGAAATTCCAAAATGGTTTGTAAATTTTAGCATCGTTGTCTCGTACTTTATTTAAGATTTCATTTTTTATTTTCTAGGGCTGGAAAACCAGTCGCTGGTCTACATTTAGATGTTGTCAAAGAAGGAAAATTGATACAAGTTGGTTGAGATTATTAATATTTTTATTTTCGTTATGATTTTTTTATTTTCATTAAAGAAATTGATGATCGATGAAAAAAAATGTTATTTTTTTGGACGAAATAAAGAACTATGTGATTTTACTAGTAAGATCTAAATACTTTGTTTTATTTTCACTTTGTACACAGTCTTTATACTTATCTGTGTAATTTTTCCAGTACTGTTTGATGACTGTGTTTAAAGTAAAATAGTTATTCTATGAAACTAAATTTATTTATATTAATCTTAGTCGATCATGCATCATGTTCGCGTGTTCATGCAGCACTTCTTTGGCATAAAGATCTGAATCGACCATTTTTAATTGATCTTGGTTCAAGTAAAATAATCATTTCGTCTTTTTTTTTTAACTTTTGCTATTAAAATTTTCCGATATTTCAGCACATGGAACATTTATAGGTCATATTCGACTTGAAAATCACAAAGCACAACAAGTGCATATTGATAGTGAAATACATTTCGGTGAATCAAGCCGTCTATACATTATTCGTGAACGTCCACAAGTACATGGAAATAAACTTCATCATATATTTGGTAGTAATGCTAATACAAATAACTTAAATAGTGATACTAATGGCGATCATAATGATGATAATAAAGATGGTAATAATTCATTTTCAATACCAGAATCTGAAATTGAACTTGAAGTAAACAGTTGAATTAATCAAGGATATTAAATTTAAAACAAAATATTTTTTTCTTCTTTTAAGAATTTAACTGAATTTAATACTGCACATAATCGACGTATTGCACAAATTGTTCAAATAGCTGATTTACCAAATGCACCAACAGTTAAAAGAAAAGGAAGAAATGTAACGTTCAATGAAGAAGATGATGTAATTAATCCAGGTGAGTTCATATGAAGAGAAAAATAAAAACATTCTGGTTTTAAATGCATATATTTTTCTGATATGTTTAGAGGATGTCGATCCAAACGTTGGCCGATTTCGGAATCTTGTTCAAACAACAGTTATTGTGCCAAAAGTAAGTAATCATAATAACTCAACAACTAATTTCATAGAAAAGTTGCATTAATTAATAAATCCGACTAGAAGAAAACAATGATTTCGATAGCATTTTGTATACTTTGAATTTTGCTTTGATAGAAACGTAAACTTGATAGTCCAGGTATTAGTCATCTTGGCCTTGATACAGTTCAAAAGCATGCACAAGCATTTCATTATTCTCAACTTTATGATGCAAGTCATCCAATACACGCTGCAGCATCAACAGAACCACCCAATGCATTACAAGCACAACATTTAAGTGTAGCAGCCAAACTTGGTAAAATTATACATATTTCATGTTTTTCTTTAAATTTTCTATTGATTTTTTTAAAATACTATTCTTTTCAGGAATATCACTTCCAAACTTAGCACCTGATGTACGTGATTATGATACAAATGAATCAATATCAACATTATTTCCAAAGTTGACATCTGCATCATTACAAACATCAATGTCAGAAGGAAATAATCAAAGTTCAGAGCCGAAGAAAAAGAAATATGCTAAAGAAGCTTGGCCAGGAAAACGGCCCTCAGGATCCATGTTGATTGTCAAATAAAAGTTCTGTTTTGTAGTTTCGTTTTTGTACAGTGGACTTATTTTGTTCTATTTCTACTCTAAATCGATTGTTACAATCTGTGCTTAAATCTTGCTTTCAGATGAATTTATATGCTTCCTATGATGATAAAGATACTATTATTCATCGGTAAATGAATAAAATTATGAAATATAATTAATTGTTTGAATTTTCAACTGTTTAGACTTCAAACACATATAAGCATTCTTGAACAGCAGCAGCAGCAACATTCGAATGGATATTTTTCGTATGAAGAAACTCCATCAATAAATGAACATGTATGAAAATTACTAGATGCTTTATGATTAAAAGCTTTGTTTTTCCTTATCATAGTATTCCATTGATAAAAATCCCAATGAAGATTTTGTCGCGCTGGAAAAGCTTCTTCAGTAAGATTTTATTTTACTGAGTATACTAAAAGAACACCTGTTTTTGTTTTTTAATTTATTTATTTCAGAAAGCGTGAATATGAATTAGACCAATTACGTGAACAATTAAAAGAATTTCAACAAGAAGCAGATGAAAAACTTCATCGAACCATCGAACAAGTAATAATACATCAAATTTGATATGTTTTCACCCGTAATATTGTGAAATACAAAAAACAACACTGTTGAGATAGAAGGATTGCTATTCGAACGTATTTGAGTCATGTACAGATCATGAAAGAAGACACAATAGCACTTTGCAATGGTGAGCTAATAGAGAATGTACTGTAAAAATAATTAAATACAGTAAGAAACCATTGTATTTTCATCGGATAATAACGAATCATTTTCAATTAGTTGAATTTCATCCGTGTTTGCATAACTGCTACACACAAGATGATAGATATCAACTAGAAATCTTATATTGATAGTATATTTTTTTAATCTGTGAATTATTTTCGTATGGTATACGTGTAAGATAATATTTGATTTTAGTCTAATGATGCCGAAAAACAACTATCTATTGTTGAATGTGAACGAAACGATCTTCGCCAACAACTTCAACATTTACAAGATGAAAATGATTTGATTAAATCTTATATGAATCGTTTACCATCTGAAATTGAATATCAAAAACTTAAACAATCACATCAAATACTTGAAGATCAATTAAAACAATCAAGTCAAACAGTGATCGAATCTCGAAAAGAAAAAAATCATTTGAAAAAACAACTTATTACCTATGAACGTACTATTAATGAGCAGCAACAAAAAATTCAATTGCATGAATCTTCATCAGATAAAACTTTATTAAATGCTAAATGTTTAACGATGGATGAGAGAGTTGAAACAGAAAAAAAATTCAAACAATTTAATCAAACAATTCAACAATTAAATGAAAAATTAAATGAAGAAAAACTACTTAGAAAACATGATCAATATCTTAATGAAACTAATACACGTACTCTTCAATCGTTATCCAATGAAATTGCAAAGAAAGAGCAAACTATTAAAGAAACAACACATCTTTTGCGACAGGTAAACATAGGAGTTTTAAAGGTTTACATATAACATAAAGTCAGCAATAGACAAAAAATCGATCGGTGAGATAAATTTTCATTTCAAGCGGAAAAAATGCCGTTCAGGTCAAAAATGAATTCTTTTCCCGTTCTGTCCATAACAGAAGACAAACTATATAAGTACAAGTCAGCGTGTGTATACTAAATTCATATCGAGTACTTTTGTCGCCACTGTTCAGAAAAGATATCCGTGCATATACAACATATTCCATGATATACAGAACTTTACAAACACCAAGTATGAGTAGTTTTCATTTTCATTTTCATTCTTCACATTCCTTCTTTCCCAACGATTCATTCAAACCAAATTTCTTATCAGCTCTTTGAAATTCGTCACACATCACAACAAAACTATGAAAGCTTTCGCTTATATCGTAAATGATTTTCGGCATCCCATATTCATGCAAATTTCCCGATCATTGTTTTAACCAAAATCTAACCGACTGTAAATTTCCCCAACATCCTTAGTACCGTGCAAACTCCTTTTTCTCTTATCGCGAATACCTGTACGTTCATTTCGATTACATACGAACGCATTTTTCTCTATAGGAAGAATGATGTTTCATTTATCTAAACTATTTTTCCCATTGAGTTTTTCATTTTTCCGCTGCAAATTCATTTTTACAGTGGTTTGACGTTATTGGGGGAACGGGATATTTTCGTTACTGTTTTTTTGTTTAGTGTGTGTATCGTAAGTTTAGGTTTTAAGCATTTTTGACCTGAACGTCATTTTTCCGCTTGAAACGAGCATTTATGTCACCGATCAAATATTTGTCTAATCCTCAAAGAATCGTAATAATCAATTTTATTGTCTAAATCTATTTTTTCGTTTGTTTTAACTTACAGAATCGACAAGAATTAGATGAACTTCGAATACGTTTTCTTGTCGGTGAACAAGAACAAATATGTTTAAATGAACGTTTACTAGCCAATGATCAATTCAACATGGCTTTGCAACGAGTTCATGCAACTGTGGAGAAATTATTTCTTGTACTTGACTTTTCATTTGAAATGCTCAATAATGAATCGGTATCAAGTCCGGATGTACTAATGCTTCAATTATCTACTCATAAGCCTAAGTCAGGTAAATTTTTGTTTGTTGCTGAAAAAAAAGAAGTATTATATTACATGATTTATTTTTATCCGTAGATTCCATCAATTCCTCTATCAACAATATCAAAAAGATCGAATTATGTGATGTAGAAAACTTAGAATCAAAATTAGATCATATTATCGATCGTCTTTTATCAATTCGTAGTGAATTAATTGCTCGACAATTTGAGAATGATCTCGAATCAAATGTTCCCTGTCGTTTACAGTGAATTTCTTTTTTAATAATCAGATATTTTCTTTTTCTTTTCTATTATTAAATAAATAGATTTGTATTGATAATATATTGACAATTGACTTTTTTTTGCTCTCTTTTTTTTCTAGAAAGAAATTATGTTAGTCAATAATGATCATCTAGGTGTAAACACATTTGTAGCCAGTAGTCATGCTAATGATCAATGTGGCGCAAATGGTTTACCATTAACACCGAATTCAATTATTATTATTGGACGTTTCCAATATTTAAAAACTATAGAACATCCAAATCTCTGTCGATATATTGATATTCGTAAAGGAACACACGGTAAACAAAGCTCAATATATATATATATATATATCGTAGATGTCTGAACTAAAGAATATTTTTCTCTCAGTCAGATGAAAAAACCGAGATAAATTTAAGTTGTACATATGCGAAAAGAATAAAAGGAAAACAATTTTCTTTTTAAATATTATACCTTTTTTAGAACGGTTACTTGTTATTAGTGAACATTATGAAAGAAGTTTTGAATCGTTAATAAATGAAAATCAGTTGTTAAGCGTTGAACAAATGCAACAATGGTCACATCAAATTCTTTATTCATTAATTTATTTACAAGAAAAACAACTACATGCAAGAAATCTATCTTTAAAAAATATTCGCTTAACACAATCAGTAATATTTTTACAATATATATATATTTGAGAATGTCTCATTTGTCATATCTGTTCTTTAATTTAGGATCAAATAGTTAAAATACAAAATTATGGCTTATGGCATATGACACAATATGCTACATGTGTTTCATTTCCTGTTGGGTATATTTGATGATTGAATATTTTATCATTCATAGGAGCGAGGGTTTTTGTTTTAGTGATCCATTTTATTTAGCACCCGAATGTTTTGCGCTTGATTTTACATTTAAAAATTTGGTTACAGCTGGCAATGGTCATCATGAAATTGAAATCAATGATCCAGCTAATGCTAAAAGTTGTGTTTGGTCATTTGGTATTATTCTTCTTGAATTATGTTTGGTAAAATTTCCATAATAAATAGATGAGAAGAGAACTAACGTTTTTGTTTTTGTTTTTATGGTTTATTTTAGGGCCAGCGTTTATATGGAAAGCAGTCAGTTGCTGTACCGATGTCAACAAGTGTTCGATGTTTAAAATTAAATGTCCGAAGCGCATTAGATATTTTATTACGTCAAAATACACTGGATCAAGACGAACGCTTAAAAAGAACTACGACGCAATTCTTTTTACCTATTATTAGAAAATGTTTGAATGTTCAAGTTCAAGATAGGCTAGTTTATTTTTCAATTTTGGAGAAAAAAAAACTGAAAGATATATTGATGAGTGATAAACAGTAAACAAGTAAATTGATTTGTAGATTTATGAAATAGATAGATCAATGTAGTGTTGATGTTATTACTGAATCCGATTAAAGAAAATTCTTATGGCAAATATCTCTATTATAAAGAATTTTCTATTAGAGAGAGAGAGAGAGAGAGAGATATTCAGTTCAGAAAGATAAAAAGAGAGTTTGATAAATAGCGACGAGACTATTAAAATTTATTTGTTTTTATAGCTAAGTTTCATTTTCTAGGGTATTGATTAATTCAATTTTCTCTTGCGAAATAAGTTCATATTAACAGATCATTATTTTCTATGTTGCCATCAAATCTGATATTAGCATAGAATGTGATAATCAAATAAACCTTTTGAAAACCTATCGACTATTGATAGTGCATAGCATTAAATAAAACTACACAATTAGAATACTTACACTTGTACAGAAATCGTTTAGCTTCGAGTTTTCAATATTACTTTTGTATAAAATAAAAAATTAGACGGCACGACACATTCTAATTTCTTTAAAGCGTTGAGTGATAAAAAAAAGGAGACATATTTCAAATTATTATTTACTAGTAACAAAGAAACGTAATGTATATTCTTGATTAGATACGTTCAACGTAAGCTATAATCGCACCCTAAAACCCTCTAACATTCTGTACAGGACATTATAATCCTGCGAATTCGTATTTTTGACAAAAGAAATCCTATTTTCCTTCCGATTCTTCTAATAAATAAATAAATAAATATATATGTGGTTACCTCTATATGTTTACAGTAAAATAAAAAATGATTTAAATAAGTTAATTTTCATGAATTTTTATTTATTCTAATAGACCCACTTTTGTGGAACTTTTGGCAGAACTTGGTGGTAAACCATATATTTCACCTATTCCACGTTCATTTCAATTGACATTGTTTGATGGTGTTATTCCTGTGCTTGATCATAATTTAGATTTAATTGATTTTAAAAATCTTGATAGTTAGTATTTATTTTCTTTTTGTTTAACCAAGAAACGGGTGTATCTGTTTCTTATTAATCAGCTAGTCCGTTTCGATGCCGAACAATCGATCAAATTTATTATTTATGGAAATTAGCAGGTGGTGATCTCATAGCTGTATTAAAAAATGCTGGTCTTATTAAAATTTCACCATCAATTAGTAAAATATCAAAGTAGGAGAAAAATGTTTTTTCAAAACAAAAATTTCATTCTTTTAAAATTTACTTACGATTAGATTTGTAACTGATCGTGGCGACGTATATGGACTTCAACGGGATGTAAATACTTTATTTGATGACACATCATTTCAACTTTCATTACAAGAACTTGAAAATCGTTTTAATGAAATGCCTATTGAGATACTTCATCCACTACTAGAAGGAGGGTAATTTAAAAAAACGAAAACAAGAAATTTCAAAGAAATATTGTTTCTCGTTATTTTTATTAGTGATTCAGAATTTGAAAAACGTCAAGAAGAACTTGATAAAATTATTGAACGACAACCATTAGCTGTTCGTGAAAATGATTTTGAATATCAAGTAAGAATGAATGAAAAAGAAATTAGCATTGAAACCTTTTGAATTCTCGTTTAATTATTTAGTGTCATCGTTTAATTTTATTTGAACGTCTTCTCGCATCATATCCGTATCAAAAACAACGATTATATACGGAAGCACGAAAAGATATTCCGCCCATGTATCGTGCATTTGTTTGGGCAGCATTGCTGGAAATTTCTGTAAGAATTTAATGTAAAAGCGAACGAAATCTTTAAATTTTACTGTTTTCTAGGGCAATGTCAATGATGTCTATAATCGAATTAATAAAGATAATATTGCACCAACAGTCATACGTCAAATAGAAGTTGATATTCCACGTTGTCATCAGTATGATGAGCGTTTATCATCACCTGAAGGTCATAGAAAGATGAAAAATGTTTTAAAAGTAATTTTCATATCGAAATTTGATATTAACTAAGTATAATTAAACATCTTTGTTGTTGTTATTTTCTTCTAGGGTTGGATAGCTAGCCATCCAAATTTAGTTTATTGGCAAGGTCTTGATTCATTATGTGCACCATTTGTTTACTTAAATTTTAATAACGAAGCACTTGCTTACGCTTCACTAACAGCTTTTATTCCAAAATATTTAAATAACTTTTTTTTAAAAGATAATTCTTTAATAATTAATGGTAGGAAAATTTAAAAAAAAAAGAAGAAGACAACAACTATTTTTTATACTATAGAATATCTGGTTGTTTTCTCTCATTTAATTGCATTCCACCATCCGGATTTATCAAATCGATTGGAAACAATTGGATTTATTCCAGATCTTTATGCTATTCCTTGGTTTCTAACTGTTTTTGCACGTAAGTTTAATTAGCCTAGAATAATTAATGCGATGCGAAGCAGAAGCAGAAGCATTTCTGTAGTTCGTCGCGAGTTTTTCTTTTCTTTTACTTTCTCGACGTACGCATCACATCTCGTCGTTTTGTTGTGCAATAATCTCGAGAACCGAAAATCATAGAAAAGTCATTGAAACGGGAGATGAAAGTATCAAGATGGAACTTTTAACATCTGTTTTCGAAACGTCAATCTGAAGTTCCATTCAGTCACAAATGTCGTTCCAAAATGACGAAAATGAAAGAAATTTGTGCTTTCTAAGTTTACGATAATTAAAATGACGCCATTAACATATGTTAACAACTATGGTCTATTCATCCACAGCTGATCTAAGATAATGAATCATAGAGATAATTAATTGTTCAATCGAAATCGATCTTTGAGAATGTATCGCTAAGTAAGAATGGAGTTTTCTCAGTGATGAATTTCATTATGTCGACATAAAAAGTATTCAAGATTTATCTGAATCGTAGATTTTTCATGAAGATCCGATTCAAGCTTCGCATCGCATTTCGTATTCGAGTAAAACTTGAATACCATCTAGTTAATTCATGAAATTTTCTCATGAAAACAAATAGAAATATTTTCTTGGTACATATTGACGAATGATTTCTATTGAAATTAATAGTAAAACTAGAATAAAATAGTCATTCATCAATACTAAAGATTAAGTTTTTTTTTGTATGACGAGCTCTCTATACCTACCTTCATAATATAATCTCGGGCAGCGTACATCAAAATTTTAGTATATGTATATGAGAGTTTCAATTAATCATTTCGGATTAAGGTTTCGATCGAATAAATATCTCAATGTTTATAGTAAAACTCTACAGAATCTATAAATAAGTTTTGACAAAAACAAATGAGATTTTCATTAAAATGCCATGTCGTCTAGGAGAGATAAGAAATCGATTCATCTTTCTTTACATTGACTTCATTTCACTTGTTTGCCTTGACAGGATGAAATTGACTTTAGTAGAACGGAAAAAAAATCGAAAATATTGTTACAATTTGATAGTAGAGAAAGAGTCAGTTCAGTTTCCTAACAACATGAATCGATTCTATGTAATTTGATCCTTGAATGCATGTGTTTACTTGCTTATCAATCTCGATTTGATTTGGTTCAAAGGCAAAAAAAAAGAAGGTATCGACCTTATATCTTGTTGATAAATAATTGTTGTTTAATTACAGGTGTTGTCAATAAAAATTTTATTTATTCTCGAGCATATTAAATTACTGAATCGTCTCGTTTTTATATGTTAAAAGTATTCTAATTACTATAGTTGATTTAATTTAGATGTATTTCCATTAAATAAAATCTTTCATCTATGGGATATGCTTTTACTTGGTGGTTCACCATTTCCACTTTGTATTGGCGTGGCTATATTATCGCAACTTAGACCATTTTTATTAAAAGCTGATTTTAATGAATGTATTTTACTATTTTCTGAATTACCTGGTATGATTTTATTACGTTCATGATAAACAAGAATAATTCTTTTTTTTCTTCTAGAAATCGATATTGAACGTTGTATACGTGATTCAATTGATATATTTGCTACAACTCCACGTTCATGCACTTATCGAGAGCACGCAAGTGATATTACAAGTTATCAAATAAATAATGATCTTGTATGATTATTTTTGTTCTTGTTAAATATTTGCTTCTTTATCTTAATTTTAGGACATGGATCCATTTCCATTATCTGATCTGAAATCAGAACGTTGTCCACGAATATCAGCCAATGAAATAGTTGAATTAAATGATCTTCGAGTTCAAACAACAAGTTTAAAAACATCAAAACTTCTTCTTATAGATATTCGTTCAGCAGATGAATATATGAAAGCAGCATTACCATCAAGTGTTAATGTATCGTATGATAAAGCATTCGATAATCAAATTCGTATAGTTGATAATCGTTTACAACAATTACTTGAGAAACATCGTTCATTAGTCAAAGTTGTTATTGGCAATAAAAATCATAAGCAAACAGTTGATTTTACAAATAATTTAATTGCAAATAATCATTCGCGCGTATGTCTGTTACATAAAGGCATCGATGTTTTTAAAACAACCGGAATACTGTATGTACCAACGCCATCTGATTTACCATAGAAACGATTGAAAAAACTTATTTATTTATTTGTTTGTTTGTTGGTTTTTATTTACATCTATTTTTCACACTTTGTTTGTTTTATTCAGTTGAATGACTTTCAGCCGGTGCAATATCAGCACATAATCATGAAAATAATCAATTTTTTTTGTAGAATATTTTGTAATTGAACAAATCAATTTGTTAGAGAAAATTTGGCATTGCTTAAGAATTAAATTAGGCTTTTTATTAATCTATGGAATTTTGATCAGAAAAATACTTGTTATGTATGTATAGAAAAGAAAAAGAAAAATAAGCACTGATTTTATTATGCACACTTTATGCATGACCAGTAGCAATTGAATAGGTTACAGGTATAGCTTTGCCAACCTGTGTTAAGTAATTAAAATAAAATAAAATAATTCTAATAAACTAATAACGTTATTTAATTTATATTTTTATTTTCAGATTTATTATTTATTGATTAATAAAATAAAAATATGCTCAACAATTTTCGTCAAGTAAAATTTTATGCTAATCATTTTAAGTAACCCTGAAATTTTTCTTTTGCCCTATAGATTTTTCCTCGTGTAATTCGTCCAACGATGATGTTGGCTAATGTTCGTTCAAAATCAACAGATGCTGATAACTCATCTGTAACTAAACAAGAGTATTGATTTTGAAACATATACTATTTTAATTATTTACTATAGCTTTCAGCAAATGTACCAAAAGGTTTATGGAAACTTGGGAGATTGAATCATTTGGCTGTTGCTGTTCCAAATTTAGGTAAGATTGATAGTGTTAGGATTTTTATCAATCCTTTATGAAGAAACCAATAGAGATTCAATTTACCACTTCAATATAATGTCACAATAAATTTAGATGAAGCAAGTAGTTTTTTTAAAAATGTTCTTCGAGCACAATCCGTTAGTGGAGCTGTAGCACAAAAAGAGCATGGTGTTTATACAGTTTTTGTTGAATTTGGCAATACTAAAATAGAAGTAAGTTATTTTTAGTAACGTCTGAATATTTTTCATGCAGAAACTAATTTTCTCTAGCTTCTACATCCACTTGGTGACAATAGTCCAATTGCAAATTTCTTAAAAAAAAACAAGAACGGTGGAATTCATCATGTTTGCATTGAAGTACATTTTAATGCTAATTTTTCTATTTGTATGTTATTATTCACGTGACTTTTTACTTTCAGGTTGATAGTATTGAAGCTGCAATAAAAGATATTCGAAATCAAAAGATTCGAACACTCAGTGAGAAAACTCAAATTGGGGCTCACGGTAAACCAGTTATATTTCTTCATCCAAAAGACTGTGGTGGAGTACTAATCGAACTTGAACAATCTTAATCATTATATTAGTCATCATTCTCTTTAACTTTTGCCCATTTATATCATTATTTAGACAAGCTTTCTGATTGAAAATTTCTTTTTTTCTTCAAGTTCTTAACATTTGTAATGTCAACTTCTTGTCAATCTATCTATATATTAAGAATCCCAGTCTTCATTTTGCTTAGTATAGTTTAACTAGGCATCTCAACGGCGAAATTTTCACTTGAAACATTTTTGCTAGTATTTTATTTTATTTATTTCCTTGTCATAGTTTATTTTCTTTATATGTGGAACACTTATTTTTGTCTCATTGATTGTACTTCGCAGTAGTATCGATGACAAAAATCTTAATGAAATCTCTTTCTATTTAGATAATAAAAAACTATTACATCGATTTGAATAACAAGGGCGTAGTCTAGTTTTATTTTCTCAAAATTATAAAATATAGAAACGTTTCAATGAGATACAGTGAGCAAAGGCAATGTGAAGAGTGAATATCTTCATATCGTAGAATCATGAATTGATGTTATTAATTTCAGCAAACCATTTTTTAATACAGCATATATCATTCATTCATGGGCATCTTAACTGATATAAACGAGAATAGATTTATTGTTATTTTAGCAATAATCAATCCTGATCTTTCATTTAACACAGAAATGAATAGCGAACAATTTGAACATTCTTTCATCAATGGTTATTTCAATAGAACTAGTCTATTTTCAGTTTTACATTTTTTGTACTCAATCAATGCATTGTTCAGCTATTTGATGATTGCATGTAGTATCTTGTTCTATTAAGTTTACCATTGGTTGAATACATTTTGACAGGTCTATATCTATATTTCTCGGCCAACATAATAGTTGGTGATCGATCAAAGCTTTGTCATCATGATAGAAATTAATTAGATTAATTAAAAGCTGGAACTGCAAAAACTAACGGATACTATAGCATAAATGAAATTATCAAAATTCTCACAACACTGTTTTTGATTTTTCAATGTATTAGATTGATATTTTTCTTTTATGAAAAGTTCACTGCTCGAAATTCTGCAAAATTATTTCTTTTTTAATAGCGCTAATAGATTTATCTACGTTATGTGAAACACGATACAATCGAATAGTCTAACAAGCACAGCTGGTAATAAACAGCTGATTCGTAAATTTTTCAATCGAAGGATTTTACCTTGTTCTAACAGATAGCGTTGACAAGTCAGCCTCAAATTGAATGATTCACAGGATTCAAACTAAGAAAGTTCGAAAACAAGATTTGTTCAAAAAAAGGAAAGCTCACTCATCCATCTATCACTATTCTAATATCAAAGAATGCAAGTGTTGCCAAGCATTATTGTGATGTTTCTCGAAAATCCTTTTGTTTTTTCTCTCTACCGCACCCATTCCGATTGACCTAAGTTCGAATGACTGTCTATACACGATTATGTACACATCTCTATCAACACGAATTGTGTCAAAGAAATTTTTATAGGAAATGAAAGTCTTTGAAAAGTCTATTCAAATTCAGCGTGAAAAATATTTTTATTGAATCTGATGATCATCTGGAAATAATGGCCCTATCATCTATGCATATAACTATAGCCATAGATCCTTCTCTTTGCATCTACATCGCTGATTTCATCACGATATATATAGTAAGAAGATTTATCTTGAGATTAAATCATAGTTGCTAGTCCTAAATAGTGATTCTTGCCGATATGAACAAAAACAAAACTATAACTATGCTAACAACGATCGGATCTGACCATCGTATTTGAGACCTACACGACTATGATTGCACTTTGGTTTATATGCCATCGTTGTCGATCATCACGCGTGTTTCTAGTAAATAAGAAGAGACGAAACCTTTTTCATCATTGGCAATATATAATACATAAAAATAACTTGTTTTTTTTAGTAAACTAATCTTTGTTAAAAAGAAATTATTTTTATACAATGACATTTATTTTTGCAATCTTTTTCTTTGCAAAATTCAAGATCATTCACCAAGAGTGACACAATTTCGATGACATCCGAAGTTTTAATTTTTGGCAAAAACTTGTCAGAAATATCGAACTTCATCGACAGCTTTCGAGCTCATATCGTCTTTATTCAAGCACAAGGGATTTATTACTTTTTGAATCGGTTTCATTTTAACGTTGATTCTATTTGGACATTCAGATGAAACTAAAATGTGAGATAATTTTGCGTCCTGTTTTCATTGTTGCCCAATTCATAGCACCATTTAAATCCCAGGATATTTCTATTGAAATGTCACCATTTCAATACTTGACAAGTATACCGTTTCGAAGATTTCTAGAGTGGTGTCACATATCCAAAATTTTGGAGATGCCACCACATCTCCCACAGGAGATGCCGCGTCTCCCGCTGGAGGCGTGACACCCACAGTCGGGAGATCCGGTCATTCACCACTGGAGATGTAAGATCTCCTTTAGAGATGCGCATCCCCCACACCCACACTCACATCTCTCGCGCGAGATACGGCGTCTCCCGCGGGAGATGTGGTGGCATCTCCAAAATTTTGGATATGTGACACTGCTGGTTCATATGATTATGATCTATAAAATGAAAGTTAGTGTGTCAAGATTTGTCTAGAGCAACTTTTGAAATTTCATTAGTATGGAAATACACCATTGTTCTCGGACGCTGCCATCTTTTCTATGGTCGTATGATATTGCCAGAAGCTTGTGATTTCATTCAATTTTGGATATATTATCATTTAAAATGGTATCTGACTTTGTGTACTTTCAAAAATTAAATATCAGCTATCTGAAATCGTATACAACATTGCTAATAGAATTTTGATTGTGTTGAAACTAGAGCATAGATAGCATCATGAAATAAGATTTTAAAGGCTGACATTCGCAACTTCATTATATTGAAAGCATAAGAGCATTGTTTGAGAGAGACAGAGAGCACCAATGTTGACAAGAAGTTTTGAATCCATGATCAGATACTTAACTAAAGAGCTGGTGAAACATGTCTTTGCAACATTCTGTACAGTATTTCGTTTTTACCATTGTCTATTTTCTATTAGTCCTCTTAATTTTTATTCCCATATGGTTATTATCTTATGAAGTAGATGAGCATACTGATAGAGAACACTCAATAAGAGAGTAAATCTGCTATCATTAGTTATAAAAAAAAAAGATTTGTTCATCTGAAATGGCAAACAGATGTGTTATATCGAAAGGGAAAAAAGATAATTTTCTGTCGAATATCTTGCCGTAAGATGATAGAACTAGTAGATTATCCACAGGCGGTAATATATCCGGTCGAGCATCGTTTGTACATACTCTACGTCGAGTAATGAAGCGATAGTGCAAAAATCAACATTAACATTCCCGTTTGATATTTGTTTGGGACAGAAGAAGACAAATGACGATCAAATATGTATATAAAAATAAAGAAGTCGACAAAAAATCCTTCAATCAACTTATTGAAATGTCATACTCAAAATATTGAACTAGTATTTGATTATTATGGAAATCCGTAATTCAACATAAATAGAATGTGATTTTTTTTTGATTTTTAATTAATTGTATATATATATATATATACTTATTTATATATGAATATACATTTAGACAAGAGTACTATGATGACCACTAGTTGGCGATGGTGAATCATCGTTCGAACTCGATCCACATAAATCACGTGCTTCTCGACGTTTGACACTTAAGAAATGTTGTGAACCGGACGAGGTTGAAAGTGGAGCTGTTTTTGAACGTGAATATGGTTTTATTTCTCGTAAAAGCGAAGTGTCTGATGTTGCAGCAGCAGTTCGTAGAATTGGTGATGGTGGTGGTGATGGAGGCGATTCTTTAATATCGAGTGAATTCGGTCGTATAATAGATGAAGATATAACTTCATCGAAAGAACTTATATTTATAATAGGCTCAGTTGGATGTCTTAATGATCGTTGTCCTCGTTCTTGATCTTGTTCTTGATTAGATACAGATGACATTGGTTCAATTACACGAAAAATGATTTGATCCATACTTGCTTCTCGTATATCACGTACTCGTGGTAATTTCGATAATAATTGTTGACTATGATTTGTAAGACGTTGTTGTGATGCTGACATTGGTACTTGAAGAAATTCTGATGAACGTGACGCATGTGTTGATGAACATGGAAAATCTGAATTACGTCGATGATTGTATCGGCGAAGTGCTGGCTGTTGTTGATTAGATCGATTTGTTTGAGGAATGATTGACGACAAAATACTACTTGTTGCATTTGGTGTTTCACATAGGAGTGGCGTTAAATCAAGTGACATTAATAGATGCTCATTTGATTCATCTAACTGCATAGAAGTTATACTAAAGCGAGATATGAAACAATTACATACATAAATACATACATATATATATATATATGTTCACTATACTAATTATCAGTATTAGTTTTACTTACCCACAGCCTTTCTGTAATTTAAATGCTAATGCTCTCATCAATTGAGTGCTATCTGATTCATTTAATGCAAGACATACTTGATTATGTAAATCTTTCGATACCTGAACACAATACATAGTATATAGATGATTTAATTTTTGAAATATAAAATTACCACAAAAAGTTCTTTATACTGTTCAATCATCATTTTCAAAACAGTTTTTCCTTGTTCCATTTGATCAGCACTCATGGCTACACTCATATCTTTACTTGATATCACCGGTGCTTTTCCGTCCATGAGTATTGTTGGTGCAAAAACAATTGCTAAATTTGCTGTATCCATCTTATTACCAGCTACAAGAATTTTCCCATCAGCTGAATAACGATCTTGAGAATTTAATGAAACATGATAAAGAAATTTTAGCAATGTATATAATGTATCTCGATTTGATGATGGTAATAAACCAATAAGATATGAAAGAGCACGTGATTGATCTTTTGGATTAAGCTCTAGGCAAGACAAATTTTAGAAAAAATACATACATATATATATATATTAAAACTTCTATATTTATATTTAGCTTTCATATAAATACTAACTTGATGGAATATTAAGAAATGGTGAACATAAATCACGTGTTAATAATGGTTCAGGTAGTTCACGTAGAAATTCTTTAATTAAACCTGCTATATCATGTGCATTGGTGGATACGTCAAATGTTAAACTACGGTTTAAGTTAACTTGATCTTTAAGCTAAAATAAAAAATAAAATTTTTCCTCATTTTGATCTTTGTTCTCTCTCAATATTGACTGTTAATAAATAACTAAGTTAATATTATAGTGACATTTGCTTCTAGCTATTCTGAGTAATTTGACATTTGAAACTTACTTCCTTCAAACGTTTTTTTGATACACCAACTCGAAAGAGACCAACTGTTTGTAATGCTAAAATATAATATACAAAAACTTGTTTCTTCTTTGTTATTCTAATGAAAACAAAAATCAATAATATTTACCATTTTTTTCTAAATAATCACAACAATTTTGTATTAATTCAGGTACTTTAGCTGGATAACATCTTAATGTATTGCATCTGCTTATGCTCGCACCTGGTTCATTTTCACCTAATTGTTCAAGAGATATTGACCGAAGTTTTAATTGCTCATAATCACAATCTGATATCTAAATTGATTTTAAAATAAATATTTTCATTTTAATTATTTTCTCTTTTTCTTTAGCATTTTCTTTATTCTTTTTTTTACATGTAAACTACTTGGACTTGCAGGAGAAATTGAATATCCACTATCGTTGGTTGATGAAACACTTCCCGATGGACTTGTTCGTCTTTCACTGGTTGTTATTATAACCATATCAGTACTATCTTTTCGGTTAGCTCCACTAGCTGAATTTATAGCAGGAGGTGATGTTGGATTGGTATCATCTTGAAAACGAGAATCATCATCGATTACACATTGAGAAAGAGCAACACCAAAGACGTTTCCATTTGCTTTAGCTTCTATAGTATTTCAAAATGAAACAAACAAAAACAGGAAATAGTTGAAAATAGCTTTTTGAATGAAGAAAAAAGGAGTTATACCTCTTGCTTCTTTTGATTTGTCACTTGATTTACTACGAAACATAAAATGATGTTTACGTTTTCGTACTGGTTCTTCTAAAGTGAAACAAAATTTTTTGACACCAATGAAGTTTCTAATTCTCTAATAGAATTTTCTTTGATCCTAATGAAGTTTAACATATATGCATGTCTATATATAGATCTATATACAGATATGGCTAGTTCACTTCAGTTTTCTTTTTATTTTATTTAACTAAGGAAATCTTATTTTCTGACTGAATAATTATATTAAATCTAAATGGAATGTCAATTTGTGTTTATCTTCACTGAACCATTCCTATTTTATTTTCGATTATTATGCAGTTTTTTCCTTTTTTTTTAATTTGAGAAGCATATTGTTACAAAATAAATAAAAGATGTTCTTTATAATAAGTCTCAAATTTCAGTGTCAAATAAAAATTACTATTTTAAGAGGAAGCAATCATCATTATCATTTATCTTATTTTTGTTTCTTATATCATATTGTTTTGTTATTCTACACTTTTTTCTCATATTTTTTGCATATTCTCAAATTGACTGATTGACTCCTATAGAGATTAATGTATGTAAGACGAACTATTCAGTAAATGTCATGTAATTTATTTCTATCTCCGATCGATCCTATTTTGTGTTTTTCTTTCTCGTTTTCTTGACTATTTCGATCAATGGACTTCTACAGCAAGAAGAAGAAGAAGAAGAAGGATGTCCCGGAATTAGACACTTCGTCCCGCTTTGGGAAATGCGAACACAAATCAAGGCGATGCACGTACGACAGAATTCGATCAACGAGAGGTTGATTTGATTAGAAGCGGGAGGCTCTTTTTTTCCTAATAGAATTTTCTTGATTCGTACGTGCAAGTAAGCTAAGCGTAGGATTATTGAATGTTTGTTGCATGCAAACGTCAAAAAAGAAGAAGCTGTTATCTTTATAATAAGTTACCTTTTGGCACATGTATTGGCACGCTAAGATCATATTGTGATGATTGTAAACGTTGAAGTATAAGACGTTTCAATTGTTTATGTTCAGCATATGTTAAATTATGTAGTTCAATGGAACTAAGAATAATTATACTTGTTTTATCAGAGGAACACCATTGTGATTTATCAGTCTAGACATATACAACAAAGAAAAGTATCTAATCAGAAGAATAAGGAGTTGATAAAAGAAAATTTGGTGCAACAATCCTTTATATGTACATATATCGATCAGTGACAGATGTTCGCTAGTACATATATATTTATATTTATATATGTATAGATATAGATGATTATGGAAGAAAAAAAACTGCGTATGACCAAATGGGAAACGAACATATGTTAAACATCATCAAGTGAACGTAAAAAAAGTATAAATAATCGCGAAATAAATATATATAACTAATTCGATATCGGTTGCTTTTTGTCATTTAGATTTGTCTTTGTAAGATATGTGTTTATTTTTGTTTTTCTAATAAATAAAGACCATGTTGACCGACGAAAATATAGATTTTTTTTAATCTATTATTTTCTTTCCATAAATAAATGTCCTCATTCGATTATTGCAATAATAAGCTTGCTTACTAGTGAGATGAGACATATAGTCAAGCAAAACTCATACGCCTGTTGTTAGTATTATTATTGAAGCCAGTTTTTTTCTGTCTCTTTCTTTTTTTTCTTACTCTTGCAACTATTCGAGTACAATATCTGTTTGTCTATGGTACTGCTGTGTTTTTTTGTCTCTATGCATGTCGTGCAAATAGGATGTTCTACTATTCTAGTAGTGTTGGAGGATGTGACAGCAGCTGTTTCTCTAATTATCAACCTAAAGTGTATGGCTATGCTTACCTCAAAGTGCCATTGGTATTGAGTATCAATAATAGTTGTTGGACGTTTTTTCGATGAAATAAATGATGATGTTTGATCAAGTGTTGTTGTTGATCCACCAGTAACACTAGTTAATGTTGTTAAACTAGAATGATGTGGTGTTGCTGATGTTGGTGATGTTGTTGAATTGATTGATTTTGTTGATGACGATGATGATGGTAGTTTAACTAGAGAAAGAAAATTACGGAATGTTGATAACGGTGAAGAAGAATGTGTTAATATAGACGACGAAGATGATGTTGATGAACATAATGAATGGGATGAATTAGATGGCAAACAAAGTCGATGATGATGATAATAATTTGTCGATTTATTACGTTTAAGAAAATTACGTAATCCTAATCCAGACGGTGATGTATCAGGCAATGAATAACGAAAACTATTCGCTGATGGTGTTTCAAAAGATTGTCCATCTTCACCGTCGTCTTGTTCATCGTCGTCATTGTCATCATCATCATCATCACTCACTATAAATGAATTTCCTGTTAAAACTAATGGGGGTGATGGTGCGGATGTTTCTGTAGAATTAGCTAATGATCCATATAGTGATTGACATCTTTGTCGACATAGTTTTGCGTAGTCACATTCAGCAGGTTCCTGATCATAGGAAGATTTTGTTGTAGCATCAATTGTTTCTTGCGATGGTCGGCCAACAAATAGACTGGCTCGACGACGATTTCCATTGTATATACGTTCTTCTGGTATCGTAGTACTCTGTAAATTAGAACAAGCTGATCGACGGATACGACCTTGAGATCGTTGTAATTGTGATTGTTGTTGTTGGCGCAATTGAGACATATTTGGTGATGCTGAAGTAATACGTAAACTATTAACACTTTGTTCAGTAATAGGGTCTGTATCTAGTTGAAAACGAGGTAAAGGCGTATGACGGGCCATGGTTAATGTATTCGTATATTTGTAGTCCGTTGTGTGCTATTTAATCAGTTTGAGCCAATCAAGGGTGTTGTCAATGTGGACAACGATTCATCAACATTCTTTATGATCAACCAGTGTTTGTACACGAACTCGATTTTTTTCTCTCTTCTCTTCTTTCTTTCAATAGTAAACATACATGCGCATGTGTGCACAGAACTCTCTAATTACCAACGGCCGTGATGTTAGTGATGGTGGTACTTTCTCTCTTCTTCTTTCTTCTTCTTCTTCTTCTTCTTCTTCTTTGTTCGTCTACTTTTTGCTTTCTATCTTTTTCGCTAATGATGGTCAAGTTGATCATTCGTCATTAGGTGGACTCAAGATAGACAACGACGGAAGTGGATAAAAGATGTATTCGTATTTGAGATACAACGATTGTGATGTTCGAGTTAAAAGGAATTTTTTGTGTAGATGCGTGTGTATGTGTAAGCGTCGGTTTTTCAAGAGTCGTCGCTTCTAATCATATGCGCGAGAATGGTTGAAGACTGCGACGACAAGAGAATGACAACAACTATAGTAGCAGAAACATCTTCTTCTTCTTCTTCTTCTTCTTCCTTTTTACGTCGCCTGTCTATTTTGCTGCTGCTGATGCTGTGTCATCCGCGATTTGATCAGCGTACTTATATGTGGAGGAGAAAGGAAAGAATATAAAAAGAAGAACCTAGTTATCTATTTTCCCAAAAACATATACTACACGCACACGCTTATGTATTTACAAACGACGTTGTTCTATCCATATTGCTTGATTTTTATGGATGTTCCACCGTTTCTACCATTTGGCCAGACTTGTATAAACATAACGAACGGAAGGCCACATTCCGTCTGGTGGACGAATAAAATATGAGTTCATCACGGAATGGGACGTGTAGGATAGTTCCTGAGTATTGTAAAATTGAACAAAGCATTAAATATTGTATTTTCAATTGTCATTATGAGAAGTTTCTTTTCTCTATATTTTTAGGAGAATGCTTTTTTGCTGTCGGATGTATGTTTGAAAAAACAATTTCTTCTATTTTTCGAATAGAACATGCTTGGGTATAGTAATAAAGCTGCGGGCGGAAAAAATGATTTGGAGACGAACGGAATGGAAAATAAATTCTATTTGTGGCGATGATGATCATGATGAAGATAATAATAGCAACTCTGTTTGGGTGCAAATGAAAAACATGTCAAGTAGTAATAAACTATAAAAAGGAAGCCAGGCGTGTTTCTATGCAAGTTTTCAGGCTTCCGAGATGTATAAAAAAAAAACAGATGGCATGGAGTGGTCTGCCTGTAGTAGAATATAAGCAAGTTTTAGTGACTAATGATACAGTACGAACAATGTTTAGTAATAAAAATGACGTCGATTTTTCTATTTTCCCTGTTTCTCTTATCAGATACTACAAAGAAAATTGCTTTTTATTTGTAAAGTTTATCAACGGAGTGACAACACTTTACTATTAATATATGCTAATGGTTTTACCCACGCATATATATATATATATATATGAAAGAGATTAAAAGAAAGAGAAAAAAGTGTAAATCCATGAGGAATAGTGCACAAGTTGAGAAGGATTCATCATATTTACTATAATCTTATCTAAATTGATTGAACTTTGACAATATTGTTGCGCATATTAAATGAAAAATGGAATATGAGCATACACGGGTATAATAGGAACGCAAAAATTAAAACGCTAATAAAAATTTCAGAAAAATTATTTGTACTATAATAAAAACTTCAAAAATCAATATGGTGTGCGACATCTTATAGTATATTTTTTTGATAGATGGCAATACTATCCGTTGGCGTGGATAAGAAATTGATACCATATTAAGATTATATGTTTCAAAAATTTAAAAGAATTTAAGGCATGGATATCAAAATTTTAGCAAGGCTTACTTGTAAATGTAAATGTGTTCGTTGATGAATCTATCGAAGTCATTTAAAAGTGATAGCCGTGATTGAATATATTAAGCTAAAATAAAATAACAATTATAAACATATTTCAAGACTATGTATAAACATAGGCAAATTTGTTTTAAACATTAAATTCTTCGTACAATATTAGCATAGGACATTATTATTTTGCAAAAATAAATTTAGAAAAGTCTTATGTCTCTTAATTCCTACATCCTAATCATGCACACGGCTAAACTTCTTAACATAGACACTTACTCGAATATATTGTTATGAAGTTGTATACTTGAATATATTTATATATATATATGTCCGTGTATATATGAGTGATTTCTGTCTTGAAGAAACAGACTTTAACTTTGTGAAAAGATGATTTCTCGTTCTATTTTTTTCGTCAGGCGAACAATTAACAACTCTCTATGCGATGTGCTCGGCTTGATAAGCAGAAAGCATATACACAACACAATCCAAAACGTCAAACGATACAGATAGAAGGAAAAAAGAATGTTCTATGTCTCTGAACTCACGCAGCCCAGATGGAAGGATGTGTTGTGCGCAACGTTAAATTCTCTCTATCTTTCTCTCTTTATATCTCGCGTGCATATCTCTGCTATGCTCTTCTAGTGTGTCAATTTTGTTTCTTTCATCATCAGCGTTGGCATCCGTAGAGAAGACGACGACAAAAGAGAAGAGACGAAGAGTAAAGATGTGCTCTTCCATGCGCGAGAGGCAATATATGTGTAAGTAGAGAGAAAACAATCATTGGATTGCACACTAAAGCTGCCTTTTTTGCTGGTATTGATGTTATTCTTTAGTAAGAATGCGAGATGTAACATTCAGATAATCATGTGAATGAACATATACGCTCAACAATATACCGTATATATATATATATATATGGTTGGATCATCGATGCTAAACATATTCCGAGATAGACTAGATTCAATAACTATTATTACTTGACTTTTTCACGTAGACTATTTCTCAGTGGTTTTCTGACTGCTGATTGTAATAACAGTTGATGAATATATACATACGAGCGCATTGCAACACGTTAGAAAATATGTGAATAAATCTGAAAATATTGATTTCTATTGACGAATTTCTAATCAATTCATATTTGTATTAGATCAGAGAAAGATAGACAAGAACAAGTGTCAATAACTATCCGTTAGTGTTGATGATTGAATACCTAGGCTAATCAAAGAATACTTGGTCTGCCTGATTATCAATCTTGAAAATGAGACTAATAAAATGACATGATAATCCTTCATTTATCGATATTGACAATGAATGATGAACTGAGAGAAAGTTTCTTTTAGACGTCAAATATATTGTCATAGGAAACGGGACATAATTATTCATAAGTTATCATACTAGTTTTCTTTATTTATTTGAAATCAAATTTGAATCTAGAAAAGGAAATCTTCATGTATTATTTTAATCGAATACAAGGTTGTTTTAATCACGCTGTTAAGAAAAATAAATTGATTTTTGTGCAAGGAGGCCTCAAAGAAGAACTACCTGATAAACATCCAACGGAAGATTATTTTTATGCAACAGCGTATGCTACATTATCATATACGTAGTTGAATAACAAGAGAAAAAAACATCTTTTATTCTACATGAAAAATGATAACATTTAGAATAGGAAATGAATTAATCACTTTTTTTAAATGATTTTTTCATAGATAAAATAGTTTTACAAGTAATAACCTAAGTTCTAGATATAACACGGTCATTGGGCCGTAAATTAAAAGAGCATAGAGAAAATATTATTACATCATGGGCAAAACAGAGAATATCGATAATTTTCGAAAAATAGTCAAAAACAAACTAGAAAGCGAACATAATTGTTGTAAACATAAGGGATTTTAAATCGAATTATTATTCTTAGAGAATTTTTCTTACAGTTGTAAAACAAATGAATAAGGGCATTGCATGATGACTAATAATATTCTTTTCTATTCGTGTGTATAAATCTGACTATGCTGTTCTAAATGGAATATGCCTGATTTACTATCTTAAATAAACTGTGTGTTTCCGATTTAGTTTATTTAACAAATGAGCCTTGCTATAAAAAAAACTGCTCGAAAATTAGAAAACGAATAGCTTTCTCATCCATCCTTATATTTTAAAACAAACATACACATGTATAATGTATACAAAACATTCCTGAATGCCATCCGTATTAGATTGTTTCTGGTAAAAACGACATTGACCAAATAATTGTTATTCATATTTTTTCTTCTTCTTCTTCTTCCTCCTCCTCCTCCTCCTCTTTCTCCTCTTCTTCTTGTTTGCTTTTCAACGCTAACATGCTGCATGCCATAAATAGCAGTCCTTGACATAGACAATGTTCACTATAAATACATTTTTCTTACTTTTTTTCTTTCGCTTTCTGATATGATTCTGGAGTTTCTTCTTCCTGTTTTCAATTAAATTTTTTGATTTGCTGTGATTTTAATTGGAAAACTCACATGAAAATATAAAGCAGACATTCAACACCAGTGATACAATCTAACTATGTTTCTTTAAGGATTGATCGTTCATTTTGATAAGTTCTGACACACGCAATGAACTTGTATGAAATATAGAAAAGACACAAGAAACATATTTACGAGCTCAGTAACCGTATGCCAGTTGGGATCATTTTAAGCATGATCTAACAGATAATCATGTATTGTTATATACGCATGTAACAACTGATGAAAACTCCATAATTATCGGCATGATTTAGAATTAATAAAGAAAACAAATAGTTATTGTTTATTTATGTGATGAAAAAAATCGTTTTTGTTGATTAGTTATTCGAGTTTTTAATTAGATATAGAAGTTGAATAATATGATCTTTACATTTATTGCCTGATTGTACATGCGCAAGCATGTATAAATTATAAAGCAAACATCGAAATAAGTATTATCGATGATAAATTAACTATAGAAAAATAGATCCAAAGATCATTGAGATTATACTAATATTGTTTGTTCATTATTAAAAAGTCTTATAAATCAATGCTACTTTGAAACGTATTAGTAACAAATACAGCCAGCTTTGTCGAATAAATGTAACTTGATAACAACTGTAGAATGCATTACCGATGATATTTGACGCATGAACTTTGCGACTATTTGTGTACTCAGTTCTTCTCTATATAAAATACGTATATTTCATCATCCAAATCATGGCAATTTGGTTTACAAGTAATGTTTGTCATCTCTAATCCAAGATCGACTGCTATTTGCCCTTGATACGGAAGATGAGAATCAATCAGAAACTATATTATATTTACTTATTAGACGTCAGAAGTTTATATTTAACTATAAATGTTTATAGAGAACTTATGAATTATTAATATAGTATAGTTATAACTGAAATTATTCGATGAAATAACTAATGAAAGAATCGTTAACATTATAAGAGCTTTTGAGATGACATCTTTTTCATTAGATAAATCTATTGGGACTAGACAAAGTCTAAATATGAATATATTCCATTGAATTTTTTCATCACGACATATGTACTCTACTCACTCCATATTTAACTTATAGTCAAAGTATATATGATAACAAAAAGAAAACCGCCAACAATCCAGTGTTGGAATTTTCATATGAAAAATTTTCAATGAAACATGTTCACTGTTACACTATGTAAAGCGAAGATAACTTTTTTAGTTAACATCTCAATAAATCATATGTAAAATATGATAAAAGATTTCAAAGAAAAAAATTCATTTGACACCTAATCTATTTTTAATAGGCTTTATCTAATCAAGAAAATCTCAATAGAAAAGCTTTTTTTAAGTATATTCAATGAATTCTACGCATGGCTCTGTACCGTGATCAGAACAAGATGCATAATTAGAACATTAGTTGAAATTTTATTTTCATAATAGTATTGACTATTGAAATAATCAATTGGTCGATTTTTTAACATACAAAGTGAAACAATGAATTCAAACCATTATCGTCCGTGAAGCATTCTACTATGGATAAGAAATAAAATCTTTCATAGAGTAAATAATTGCATCAATCAAATATGTATCGATGAACAAAAAAAAAATTCAAGTTTAACTACAATCAATTAATATTATATATAATATTAATTGTTTGATTAGATGTGAATTATTGAATAAATTTCGTGTCATATATATATATATATATATATATATATTGCTGTAGATTATTACATACTGTTTCACAAAATTCTTGCAATAGTAAAATTTTACTATTCTTCTACTAAATAACGATTAGCTAGTATGTTATTATATATGCCAATACCAATGTGACTGTGAGTGAATGATACACATCAAAGTAATCTAATAGCTAAACGATGCATGCAATTGCATGCCAATCTGCGGCATTTCACATTTTGCAATGTAATTGCGTACATGATTTGCACAAGAATTTATTCTAAATGCAATATTACTACAGAGAGAATGATTCCAAGAGGATCAGTATAGAAAAAACATGAGAATATCACACATATTACTTTTTTACTTTTTGAACGAATACATATCATATAGTTGAAGATTACTGTTCTTTTGACATGTTTTAATGATGGATGCCCCTGAATCATCATTTCGATAAATTAAACTACCAAACAATTTAATTTTGTATATAAAAATAATAATTATATTTTAAAATTGTTTCACTGTTTTTTCCTCTCAAAGAACAACTGCTAGTGTACTATCGCTTGTTATTTATCAATGGTACTTAGTTTTGATTAGAGTTAAGTAAAAAAAAAAAATTCATTTATTGTATTTTAGATACTTTGTATTCAATTTTAAAAAACTTGGAATAATATTAAAAATGATATCTCATCTAATACATTAGAATGCTTTTATTTATATTCTGATTCGATCGCTTTAGTCACGCGAGCTTTATTTTAGCTTAATATGATTATAACTAGAAGAATGAATGCAAGTCAAAACATCAGTATTAACACGATATATATAACACCAGTATCAAGCATTCCTCACAGCTGGACAGGATCGCCAACTATATCAAGATTACTGAAATATTTCCGCATTGATTATGTGAAGACCATCAAATATGAAATATAAAAGCTTCTTTTTAAATGAATTGATTTTCTTTGTTTTGATTGCTGTGACTAGACTGAGTGAACACAACATTTGTGACATGCTGAATTTCTTGTACGTAGTTGAAACATAACTTCGCGTAAAAATAGAGCTAATATAATTTAATATTGGATAGCGCTCTCGCCTGTATAAAATGAAGAATATAATTGAGTCCAATTAAGAGTGAGAGGATTTTAATGTCTTCATATAATTCACTTTGACAAATCAGAATTGTCATCTTCAATCTTTGATCAAAAGTTCATATTTTTAAATGACATTCAATTGTCTACATACTTCGAGTCACTCTATTTAGTTGTTAGCTAGGGTGTGCAATAAAATATTTTATATTGATGCTTTCGAATTTTTTTCCCCAAGGAAGAACGCTGTAGAATTGATTGATTTTATTTGCTTTTTTCACTAGAACTTAACTCAAAAATTTCATATTCCTATGGCTATTTTCTATTGAATTTTGAGTTATATCAAAAAGATCTTTACAAGAATAACTATATTTCAACCAGCTAGTTATCTGAGAAATATTGACATTCATAATCTCACGACAGACAGTACTCTAGATCTAGTTGTTGTTAGCTTTCTTCAAAACGATGTCGATGTGTTTCTTGAAAATTGTTTATCAGTATTTTCTTTTTGAAATAAAACAAAACGAATACCACTAATTATCGTTCATAATAAGTGTTTATGTCTGACGCCAATAACAGTAAGCAGCTCGATCTGTTTCGTGTCTTATCTTGATCAAACGCTCTGAATATGTCACTGAGACACGTCAGTAAAAGTTGTGCATTCTATATATCACACAATACATATACAGATAGGCAATCATTGAAGATTTCAAATGTGATAGTGAAGATGGATACTTTTGTTGCTAGTAATAATATCATCAGTAATGATAGTCTAGATATTGCCATCGTCAATGTTGATGCGATAAGGATAGCTATTTATCGTTGCAACGGAGATAGAATACGAAGAACACAACCAAACTAAAGCATTAGGAATCATTCAATATTAACTAATAGTAAATAGTAAAAAACTAATCATTTTATTTATATACGACCTCAAATTTTTAAATAGGAAAAATAATGAGAATACAAGGTCATTGATTTACTAATGTAGACATGTTTGGCTTTTAGATTTAACGCAACTATTAACGTTTAATATGACATAATCTCTAGACAATACGATGAATTAATTTTTTTCCATTGAAATCAAATCAATTTTATTCACAGATAATATATACATATTGTAAGTTGCAAATATATTGTCACAGACATTTTGATAATAGTACAAGTCTAGTTGTATTTGAAACAGAATTTAATCAAAACAAAAAATAACGTCAGAATAATATTGATTTAAAATTAGCATATTTAGTCAAGAAAGATAAATAGGAATAATCATTTTATCATTTCCATTATTGTTTTCCGCATCTGATGATGATTAACATCGAAACTTTTTACGTTAACTTTATCTGACTATTATGTCAATTCTAAATGATAAAAATAAAATAAAAAAGATCGTTCATATCAATTGAAATTTGTCTAAGCATGCAAGCAAAGAAGAGTTACGTAAAGAAAGCAGTATTTAATGATTAATAATGAATTAGCAAAATAAAATCTATTTGAATCAATGTTTATTACGATTATATAGATCAACATGAGAAGAAGTAGATGTTGATGAAATAGGTCGATCAATAGCAGGCGCCAATACTAATGAATCAGTTTGTTGTAGTTGAAAAGAATCAATATCATCTTCCTCCTCCCCTTCTTCACAACCTAATTTACGCATGATTATACCTTCTTGTTGAGCTTCATGAATTAATAATTGAATAATATCATCTGTAATCAATGGCCCTTGATTATTTTCTACATAATGTGTTAATGCATAATCTGATAAACCATTAAAATCAATCTCTTGACTATCTTGTTTATCTTGATTAAGAAATGAATAACGCTGCTTTATTTCATCGACTGCACATTGGCCTAAAATTTAAAAAAATAAAAGAATATTTAAGAAAAAAAATACTTTGCTGATATTTACCAAGTAATTCATTTAATTGTTCATCCGATAAATTTGCTTCAATTTTTTCTTCTATTTTTGGTCGATGTATATATTGTAGTTGTTCATCAATTTTTTTTAATCTATGCATATGTTCACGTTGTAAACGTGTATCTTTTAATATTTGTTCACCAAAATGATTTTCCATTTGATCATTTTCTTCACTTGTTATTTGTTGAACACTACTATAATCAATATAATTGTCATTGTTTCGTCGTAGTTGGTGATTCAGTAATGGATTATAATATTCTTTTTCAAGTAAATCATCGATTTCTTTTAAACGTTGAGAATCATCCATAGATGGTGCATAACCATTGTAGTGATGATTTGTTAGCGCAACAGCATTTTCTTGATCATCTTCATTAAGTAATTCATTTAAACGTTGTTTTTCATCGTCAGTTAATGCCCACGTACCACCTAATTCTTTTGCTAATTGTATATTACGTTTAATAAAATCTTTTTCTGGTACTTTATTCTTTTTAGATTGATCTTTAGTATTATTTGTTGAATTTGATGATCGACTGGATTTTTTCTTTTTACTAAATGAATTCGTTCTTGTACTTCCATGTGGAGATTCTTTATTAAATTTATTTGTATTATTAGAATCTCCGAGTGGATCACTGATTTGAGTTTTAAATATTGATTCAGTGGGATTATACTCTTCGTCGTCAATAACAGAACCATCAAGTTTTAAAATCTCATCATCAAGTGCTAAAAATCGTTTAAGATTTATTTGTGTATGTGATGAATCATTGGAATCAACATCGAGAGCTACAGTCATTGATTGCATTTCACTACGTAATCTAAAGAGACAAAATTTCAATTCGTATTTGTTCAGTAATCCGTTAGGAGTTTCACTTTTAGATTTAATTCTTATGCATGCCATTTATTTATATAACGCTTATTTAATTTCATAGAATGAAATAATGTAGAAATGAATAAGGAGCTACCCTCGTTTTTAAGCATGTTTCAAGATACTAATTAAAATTCTGATATTTCTTTCAGTGTCTAACACAAGAAATTTATTGACTCATACATCATTTATGAAAATAGACTACAACATTAGATCATTTTTTCTTTGAATACTGACTTGAAAATTCATCTATAGACAGACCTTATCAAGATTAAATTTTTTGTGACTGCCGTAGATCTAATTCCTATTCTTTTCTAAAAAAATACCACCTTAGTAATAATATTGTTGTATATTTCATATCTAAAGTAACAAATTTTGTACTTGTTATTTAAGAATACAATGAAATCAAGAGAAAAATGATTGAAACTTTCACGACAGATTACTGTTATAAAGGTCTATTTCAGTGCTAAGTTTTATATTGAACTTTTAAATTCAGTGTTTCTGATGGAATCGATAAGGATTATCGAATTTATTGATCAGATCTTTCCCTTCTCAGTATAATTTGTAATATTGAAAATTTATTGTCAGTCTTATTGCATAAGCAATGCTTAACAGTAATTGTGTGTTGAAGTCTTATTTCAAAAATAGAACATTTCACTGAATGTAATATAGCCTAAATCGAATAATAATGAACCAAAAATAAATATTAGCACAATCTAATTGTAATACGTGTTTGTTCACATGAAAATTAAAATTTAAGTAATTGAAGCGAAAAAATAACTATAACTACATACATATTCCAAACAGACTTGATGAAGCATAGAGTGGGTTTAACATGCAATCGAAAGCTTGAAGTATATATTTTTGTGTTTGTTCTATTCCTATCTCGAGTACTTGGAAATTATACCCTATCAGATACTCATTTTCGGTTCTGTAAATACATTTTGACTCTCCGATACTCTTCGGAGATAAATCAATCGAAAAACGACTTGCCGTCGTCTCATGTGTATATCAGCAACATGAAACACATCAAAGTTTTGCTTACTAAAGAAACTAAAACAATTGCCAATGTTTTCCGTAACGCAAGTGTAATAAAATAACAGTAGCTAATGATGAGTTTCATTTCAGTTGTATGAAAATTCTCTCCAGCAACGATTTAGAAATCCCTCTTCTTATTCAATTACATTAGTTTTTCGTTAGTGTAATAATTCTATTAAGGAAATGGAAATTACTATATGTCTGTAAAAACCCACACTTATAGTCAATTTTTATGTTTTCGATTTTTGACATATTCACTTCATATTTCATCAAAGATATGAGCTATTTATCGAATGTCTTATCTATCAAATATATCTCGTTAGATGTAATTTTTGATGTCTAGATTAAAAAAAAAACTTTCATCCAGTTAGAGACGTACTAGAGATGTGTGAATTCAAGTGAAAAGGAAAATGTTTTAGTTAATTTAATGTACTCATGTTCAAACATTCTCATCTGTAAGTGTTCGATAGGCTTCAGCGATTCAAAAATGAAATATATATAGGGCAAAACATTTTTAATTTTGACTATATTTTGATCTTTTCTGAATGGGAAATAGAGATCGTTATTGGATTGTTTGGTTCAATTCACGAGTTTTTAAATCGAAAAAATGATCTAGAATCCTTTCAATGCTATCCTGTGTGAAAACAGTTGTACTTCTTGATATTCTTAAACTTTCAAGTCTTTGTTTGCAAAAAGTTTTGAATAGGTCTAATTTTGTTTTAGTTTTCGTTGGTACTAAAAATTCTCTAATAAAAACATACTTTTTCATTAAAGACATCGTTTCAATTTTGACTTGTTTCTCTTTTTCAAATGCTTCTTCAAGTGCTTTATCAAGTCGTTTCATTTTTAAGTAAGCATCATCCAATTTAGCGTCATTTCCCAAGTCTGATATACCTAGATTATTAAAAAAAGATCACAAAAAAAACATAAGAAATCTCTAGAATCAGTGTTACTATTAGGTTGTTGATATTTTTCTTGTAAATTTTTAATAAAATATTGCTGTTCTAAATTATTGTCTTTTGTTGTCGGTTTAATGGGTGGTAAAATAATATAATTATTAAGACTACTAGGAGTTCTACGAAGATTTTCTTCGTCGTCTTGAACGACTGATGTATTAGACATTGGTAATTTGAAGGTGTTTTCATCTGAAAACTCGTCACTTTGATCTAAGTGAAAAATAGCTTGGAGTTTCAATGAAAAGAAAAGAGCAAATTAATAACTTACAATATTTATCATCGTTATCATCATTTTTTATATCAGTCATTTTTTGCTTCTGGTCGATATAAATATCTCTGAGCTGAACACATCTATTTTTTGTTGACTAGGCAACATATAGAGGCATCAGATGTCACTAGTCTCTTTTAATAAAAATGTGTCATTAAAAATAGAATATTTTTGATTTTATGAGTCGATAATTTTATTTTTGTTCTAGATTTTTAAGGAAAAAAAATCTATTAAGTTGCATGAAATTCTAATTTATTCTCTAATCATTTATATATGCATTTTATTTATTTATTTATTTATTTATTTATTTATTTATTTATTTGTATCAGTGATTCTATTCTGAGTCATAAGGCGTTTTTTTGTCGTGTTCTTAACGTTTTTTATTTTTATTTTTCAGTTTACTTCGTTGTAAAAAAAGAAATATTCCTTTTCGTATCTGGTCGAGACCTAAAAATATTTCAATGGCCTCGTCAGATGACGATTTCAATAAACTTGATACGCTATCTGATGATCTTTATTTGCAATTAGTTGAGCAATTTTATGAAAAAGTAAGTGAAAGAAACAAAAATGTTCCAGTGCTTATTGCTTTTCATGTTAATTTATATTTTCGCTTATTTTTTTGTAGAATGCAAATAGTTTTACATTTCCGGAACTTGATTTGGATAAAAAACATCGGCTAGTTATGGAGTTATTTACACGTGTACGTTCATTCAATACAAATTCAATTAATTTATGTTTAAAAACATTACGTTTATTAACCCGAGAACGTGAAGGACTTGATGTAATTGATTTAGAATTTTAATTTTGTTCTTTTCTTACTAGTCAATTATTTAATAAATTTAGGCACTTACGGGATCATCAGTGCTTGAACCTCTTCAAAAGTTAGCTGGTTTAGAATGTAGCAAAGTTGATGTTAATCCAAAAGATGTACAAAGTAAAAATAAAATATGATCTATTTAAAAAATTATTTTTCTTTTCAATTAAAAAAAAAAACTTAGATGTCATTGAAGCCGAAAAATGCATGTCAAATTTAATTTATATGAGTCCCGCAGTACAAAAATTTTACAGTGTTAGTGGAGTTGCTGATGCTATCACTCAACGTATTAAAGAAACAACAGCAACAAAATTAGATAAAGGCATCAGATTTTTCGATATGAGAATGCTTTTTCTTTTAACTGCGTTAAATGCCGATATACGGTAAGTTTTTCTATGTTTTCAATTATGAAATTTCTATACTTTTTGTTTTTAGACAACGTGTTCGAGAAAAATTTCATGGTCTTTCTTATTTATTTGAAATCATCAATCAAATTATGTTGTCTAGAAGTGAACCTGTTGCTGCTGCAGCAGATTCAGGTTGTGTTTTTTTTTGCGAAGGCATTACGTATTCTTCATAAGAGAGATTCTTTACAGCTTATATGAATCTTTTTCAATCATGTGAATTCATTTGACATTACTTATAGATCAATGGAAGATAGAAAAATGAAATTGCCTTTTTTTGATGTTTATAGAGTTAATTCAGATAGTTAATAGAATATTAATATTTTATCAAGATTTTTCTTTTCTAAACGAGCGATTCAAAATCTCGAGGAGGGCAAACAACTATGTTTGAGAGCACAAAAACACAGTACATGTTGCAATTGTGAATAACTCCAGAAGGGAAAATCTGCCATTCGGAGGGACATGGTGTTCATACAGGATAAAGCACTGTTGGGCATGTGTTCTATATATCGTTGTATCTGATGGGTCTTGCTGTCATACTATTGTAAAATAGTACTGATTCGATTAATGATTAACTAGCATTACATATATTTAACACCCAAATTTAGAATTTTATCAGAACTAAAAGACAAATGTGGTCCGAATTGAAACTTAAGATTTCAGTTGAGTTATTTATATGATTTTTAAGTTAATTACTTTATAAATCATCTAGTAGAAGATAAGCTATGAAAGATTGACAACTACCGAGATCAATAAAACTTGGTTTCATACGTCTGTAACTAGATTATATATTTCAAACAGATTAATTTGTTTTGCTTCGATTTTGTGTTTATGCTTATCAAAGTATTATCTGTAATACGTTGCTAAACTACTCAATAATCTACTTATGAAATCTATTCGAAAGATAGAGTCAGATGAAACTAATCTATTTAAATATTAAATAAAAAATAAGTACTTTTATTGTTTTTTCAAGGTGTAACTTTATCAAATGATGATATTGATTATTTAATTGAAATTTTAAAAACACTCTATAATTTAACTGTGGATTTACCAAATTTAACACATTCGTACGCTATTCAAGAAGAAGAAGAAGAAGCTCATTTGATGAGATTAGTTAGCATTCTTCGCGAATTACTTTTATGCTACGGCCCGAATGATGAAAAACAAATGGAACTACAAAAGTAAGATATCGAATGTTACTGACTCGATATTTATTTCAATCATTTTAATATTTAGCCATATTGTTAATCTTTTAACAAATATGCCAAAAACTTGTTTCGAAGAGTTACTTTCACCGGCTGTATTAGAAGATGATAATGGTAATGGTGAGCATAACGGAAAAAATATGGAAGCTATTAATATCATTCTACGTTTTCTTGATCATCGCATCACTAAAAGCGAAGTAAACATGGCAAAGAAAAATAATGACTCGAAATAACAAAGATTTTGTTCGTTTAGGGAACAAAAAATGCAAAAGAAGCTTTGTTACCAGTTCTTCAACTTTTTCTCATTATGTGTCAATCAAATCGAACGATTAGAAAATTTTGTCGACAATTTATCTTACCTCCGTTGAGTGATGAAGTTGTACATTTACCAACTGAAGGACAAAAATTACGGAATAAGTAAATTATGATTGAAAACAGAAAAGCATCATTCGAATTGACGTTCTTTTTCTCAATGTAAACTTTTTAGATTAACACGTATGATGACAAATCCAAGTCCTGAATTAAAAACTCTTTCAGCAAAGTTACTATTCGTCCTTTGTAAAGAAAGTGGTATGTAGAAAAAATACAGAAAAATACTTTAATTGTCAATTATTTGTTTTAGTCGATCGTTTAATTAAATATACAGGTTACGGAAATGCAGCTGGCCTTTTATATGACTTTGGTTTACTTGGTCCACAGTATAATGCAAATAAAGAGCAATATTCCAGTGATTCAGATGAATCTGACACGGAAAGTTATAAAAAAATACGTGATCAATATGGGTATAGAAAATTTCTTTTCATGAAAGAACATCAGGGGGGAAAGGCGGATTTGGGATTTTGGGATTTTGGGATTTTTTTTGGGATTTTGGGATTTTTTTTGGGATTTTGAAAATCCCAAAATCCAAAACGTGAATGATGGAATTTCCATCTGAATTTTTTTCCATATATAAGTCTCATGATTCTTAGAATGTACTAGAATTTTCAGCGCAAACAGACGTTTCCTTCTCAAGATAATGAATGCGCAAGAAATACTCATTTCACGGCACGGTCAGAAAGTCCAGTTTTTTTGAAAATTCAATATTTTACAAAGGAAACATTTATTCGAGTTGAAACTTTTAGGATCTTTTATGGACCATGAAACCTATATATGGGAAAAATTTCAGGTCGAAACTACGTCATTCACAGAGGGGGAAATGCTTTTCAATTTATGGGATTTTGGGATTTTGAACATCCCAAAAATCCGCTTTTGCCCCTTGAACAACTTTGTTTAAAATTAATATGTCTTCCTTTCTTTTAGTATTGATCCAGTTACAGGCCGGGCCAATTTAATGAGACATGAAGATCCTATGAAAGATTGGTCTGAAGAACGAAAAATAGTTGAAGTTGAAAAACTTGTCAATAATTTAGATAAAGCTATAAAGTAAACACTGTTTGTTTTGAGTTTTTTGGTATTTTAATTTTGATTTATTTTAATAGTCATGGTATTATAAAACCAATGATTGTGGATTCCAATGGAAATCCTGTACCAGCTGAAAGTGTTCTTCAACTTCGTGAAGCCAATTTAAAAAGTATTCATCATCATGATAATCTTCGTGCTTCAGAATCAAGTGATGATGAAGGTGACGGTGGTCAAACAATGGCGAATAAATAAAAATAATAATTTAATTTAACTTAACTTCAAAAAACTCTCGTTTTAATTTACAAAAAATACTTTTGATCTGAATGTTGTCTCGTGAAACAAAAAATAAAATAATTAAACAGTGTGCATGTGTGTATGTAGTCAGTTTTCACAAAGAGAAATGTAAATATTTTACATGTTCTGATCGTGTACTAGTCATTTAACTCTTATTGTTGTGTGTTTTTTTTGCATATTATATTTACATCAGCTCGAATTCTTTTTTGTGTCTTTGGATAAAAATATACAAAACTAAATAAATGAAAATTTTGATTGCAGATGAAATGGTGCGTACTGCTTTTTTTATTGGTTATTCGAATCGATTTTATAAGTGCCTGGGAAAATTATGAACTTGATTTATTTGATTTGGTTGAAGAACTTGGAGTGAATACAAATTTTTATGATTTTATTGGCGTAGACAAAACAGCTGAATTGAGTGAAATTAAAAAAGCATACAGGTAAAATAAGCTATTTGATGCATGTCTTTTTTAATTTCGTTTCTGGTTGTTTTATATTATAGAAAACTTTCACTTCTTTGGCATCCAGATAAATCTGATGAGGCAGATGCTGAACAAAAATTTCGTCATCTTGTTGCTGTTTATGAAATCTTGAAAGATGAACAACGTCGTACTCGATATGACCGTATACTAGTAGAAGGATTGCCAAAATGGAATCAACCAATATTTTACTATCGACGAGCTAAAAAATTGCGTGCTTGGGAAATATTAACAATTTTAACGTTAATTTTTACTATTGGCCACTATTTAGTTCTTTGGGCTGTATATTTTGAGTCCAGTTTAACTATGGTGAAGTAAGACCAATTTATTCACACGTAAAAATTCTTATGGTTTTTCTTTTTTTTTTATATATATTTCAGAATGAAAAGTCGGTAGATGCTCGCAAAAGATTAGAAAAAAAAATGAAAAAATCGAATAAAATTAGAGATATCGATCAAAACATGATTGACGAAGAATTAGCTCGAATCATACCAGGTAATCAAAGGGGAGAAAATCATCTCGTCTAAGGAATTATCGACCATTTTAAAGATTAATCTCAGTCAAATTACAGTAGAATTATTGATAAATTTCTATTTGAAGAATGAAAGATGCAAGCTTAGTTTTAATTAAAAACTTCATTCTTATTATGTAGAAATCACTACGATTGAGTGTAATTAACAAATATACGAAAAGAATTATTTTCAAACATTTTTTGCGGCTAGCCATGAAATGAACTCGAACAAATTATGAGTAGCTATTTGTCTTGAAACAACTATCCTATAGCTTACCGACTAGATCATTGATAGGGACATATATTTGCTCCACTGGTTAAACAGGGTTTTTCAAGAACTCAAGCAATGATCTAAGAGAACTCAATGTCACATTGACGTTCGATTCAGACCTATTCATAGCTAGTATTAATTATTGGATTATTGAATTTGTCATGAAGTGTTCTAAAGACAAAGATACTCTTCTTGATCTATTCATGAAAAGTTCGATATGAACTATTTTATGTTTCATCGATTTACTGAGGTTTTTATCAAAATTTAGAGTTTTAATTACAAGCAATATTTAAGTGCCAGAATTCTGACAGAAACTCATTAAGAAAACATAAATGTTGAAACTAAGTTGTTGAATAATGGTGGAATTTTATTTGATCGAAAAAAATATTACATGGGAAGTTAAAGAAAACATTTAGTTATTTCATTATATAAAAGTACTCCTAAGGTCATATCTAGAGGTGTCAACTTACAGTTTATTTTATTTTAATTTAATTTAGCGAAAAGTTAATTTAATTTATATATTAAATTTAATTCTCTCAAGTTAAATTTAAACTTTTAATAAATTGTTTGGATGAATGCTCATCATTACTATGAGGGAAATACATGACTTTAATAATAGTAAATATTAAATGAGAGGAAAACCTAGTACTTTAGGTTAATATTTGTTCAAAACTGTCAAAATTTCTCTACAGATTATGCAGAATCCGTCATCTTTCTTCTTCAAAATACTGGGATACTAATAAAAATATATTTAATAGCACAATTCATAGAAGAATGACTAGTTTTAACTTTAGAAAACACAAAACATACTCAAATTTGACTTGAAATAATAGCAATCAAGTCAAAAAGTATATTTATCTATTAGTTTTCAAAATTTAGCTAATTTGAATGGCAAACAATTAAATTTAAATTTATTTAAAATTTAACTTTTCATTTAAAAATATTTTATTTATTTAAAATTTAAATTTTTGAAAATTTATTTCTCGATTTAATAATTTTTTTTAAATTAAAATGTGACATCTCTAGTCATATTATATCAAATCATGTCACAAGAAAATAATTATTCGCCATAAAAGTTTTTCAAGAGTTCGTATTCTCATAGAATGTGTGAAATTCTAAAAATGTAAATAAACTTTAACTAGGAAATTTCTTTTTTTTTCTTCTTCATATAGCTGTTCCATCACCTCAATTGACTGATATTTTACCAATCAAATTTGCATTTTTTCTTGTCAATCATCAATTTTTAATACCATTTTTAAAAGAACTTCTCTATACAATTATAAGCTATCGTCGACAATCTCCATCAATCGAGTGTGTTTCTGCAGATGACGAAGATCCTGATTGTCGAACAACGAAAAAATCTCCTGTCGTTCGGATAAATGATATTATACCAGAAATGGCTGCTAGTAGAAATGTGCCAGTTGTGTCCTATCTAACAGCAACTTCACCATTATCATCCGAACATAATCAATCATCAGAATCTCGAAATTCTAATCGTTCATGGTCAGACGAAGAAAAACAATTACTATGTAAAACTATTGTTCGATTTCCACCTGGAACGCCTAGACGATGGGAAAAAATTGCAGATGTTATTGATCGTCCCGTACCACAAGTCATAGATATGGCTAAACAAATACAAAATACAGTTGGTTCAAATAATAATAATAATAGTAATCTTGTTCAAGACAGTCATTCATCATTTTCATCAACAGTAACGATCGATCAAAATTTAATTACTGAACGATCACAATTCGAATCTATTTCTGATTGGTCACAGGCTGAGCAACAACTACTTGAATGTGCATTAAAAAATATACCAAAAAATACACCAGGTACTGATCGATGGGAACAAATAGCTGCTTGTATACCGGGAAGAACGCGTGAAGAATGTTTAGCACGTTATCGTTATATAGTACAAATTGTTAAAGCTAAAAAAACGGCTTAAATCTTACAATGAAATGAACAGAAAAAAATAATTTTTTTGTTTCTTTTTTTCGCCATTACCATTTTATGGATGAACATTCTAGTTTTTAAATGAAAAGAAAACGTTAATAATAAATGCATCATCATCATGTCTATTAAATGAAGAGTTGCCATTAAAATTAAAAGCATTCTTTTGCTTCTCTCACGATTAGTTTAGTTTATCGTGTATGTTGCGTTATGAAAGAACGAGGATATATGAATAGATGGATTCAATTAGCCACTACAAGAAAGTTCTTTTTTTTTCTCTTCTATTCTTTATTTCTCATGTGCGTACACACGTACACTCATGTCCTCGGGATTCGATTAGCCAGCGACGAGGATGATAATGTTGTCTGTTGTTGTTGTTGTTGCTGCTGCTGCTGCTGCTGCTGCTGCTGCTGTTGAGTATGAGAAAAGGAAGACGATGGCGAAAATGACTTGAAGAAAAACGAGCGTAGACGTGTCAATTTATTGTTCTGTTTAGTAGGACGTTTTACTGATAGTTTTGTCTTCGATGAAGGCATAGTCGATAATGGTAATGCATCAGTAGTTGTTGGATTGATCATCGTATTACTGCGTGTAGATGATACAGCTATTGTACGTGACATTGATGATGATGATGGTACCATAGAACTAGATTTAATAATAGAAAAAGAAAAGAGATTGAATACTTCAATTTCTGCTCGATGATAATATGAATGTTTCGCTCTTGTGAAACCTTATTAAACTAATATTCAAAGATTTCTCAATATTAATTTATTCTATTTTTATATACTTGCTCTAATCATTCATTTTAGCATAAAAAATGCATTCATATGAATCTCATACAATGATTGAAGTAGATATAATGCATTCTATATAAATTGTCGACGATACAGCTTCACCAGATTCTATTTCTTTTCTTGCCGTACGGAGAGATAACTATATAATATAGTATGTATTGAGAAAATATTTATTTTTCATTGTATTATCGATTCTGATGTCAACAATAAAGTATGTGTCAATTAGATAGAAAAAAAGTAGTTTGTCTCGTTTTCTATTTAAATATTGGCAAACTTACCCATGTTTGATAAGTGGGGCCGAATGATTTTCATCATCGACACCTTCATCATCTTCTTCTTCAACAACATCACTTGTACGATGTTTTACTAAATTATTTGTAGAAAACGGTGATATTGATGAAGTGAATGAACTAAATGGTAACGATGGCAATGACAAATTCGTTGTTGCCGTTTTGTCTTGTGTCGATGATAGACGTTTGAAAAATCTTGATTTTAAAGTTTTTCTAGTCGGCAATTCATCACGTGTAAATCCATGATTTGTTACACAACTAGCTGATGATGATCGATTCGTTGTTAATGGTAGAGACATTTTTGATGTTGAATAGAATAAATGATCGCGAAGTGATCTTGAATAAATCCAAGAATTTTCGTGATCATTTTGAGATAGAATAGCTGTGGTACTAAGACTATGAGCAGCCGATTTACGATCAATATAAACCGGTACAAATACATAACGATAGTCCGCATAACGTTCTTCAAAGCGTTTCCTTAAATCTTCTGTATAAATCCATGAATTTGATGATGATAGTGAGGATGAAGGGATTTTTCCAATTGAATTTGATAAATATTTCTGTTTCCGTGATAGATTTGTTCGATCATATGCTATTTCAGGCATTGTTTTTGTTGTTGTTTTTGCAGCAGCGGCTGTAGCGACCGTGTTGTTGGCTGTCTCAAGAGCCAACAGGCCATAATAAAGAACCATCAAGGGAACTGAATAGTAAATAAATTCAATGCGTCTATTACCACCGTCTCACAATTTTTTCTTATTATCGCCGAGAAAAAAAATGGGAAAATAATGTTGATAAATATATTGTAATCGAACTATTTGGAAAAAAAAACAAATGAATTGAATATCTACGATAGAACAGGAAAATGCAATATAATGATCTTCTCTTTTTCACTGTCGTCTGGTATGTCATTATTGCAGGAAAGAGATCGCCTGTTTCTCTTTGCTTTCTTTTTCTGCTTCTATACTACTCATAGAATATATATATATATATATTTATCATGCTATCGATGGTGATGATAGTGATTATGATGAGAAAGAGAAAACGTAAGTAAGTATCGTAATAACAGAAGACGGCAATAGAGAGCTCATGTCGGGTTGTTTGTTATGAGAAATATGAAAAACAAATAGCAAAGAAGTGAAAGAACGGGAGAGCTCAGTGTTTTTCCGTTCACACACTCAGTGTCTCGGAGAAATACTAAATAAATGATAGAAAGTGAAAGAAAGAGACATACCCGGAAAATGGAGGAAGTATTTTTTTTATCCGAAAAAAATGAATGAAAAAGAACAGGAAAGAAAGGTAAAATGAAGGTATTACATGTAAATATCAAACGGCTGTAAGTAATCAACTAATTAATCACATTAGTCATATTTACATACACCTCTCTTTCTCTCTCCGTGTATATGTATATTGTTTTTTTGTTGTGAAGGTCTTTTTATTTTGAATTCAGTTGATACTTAACATATGCTTGGAAATAATATGGAAATACAAATAAATGCGTACCATACTCATCTGTTTCGCTATCCCATTATTTTTCGTTTACAAGATCTTACTCATATTAAAGTAATAAGATATGTATGCTTCGAACTCTTAGTATTAAATGTATATATATACATTATAATGTGTATTGTAACATGAAACTATGTTCGCTGAACCTAGATCGATAATATAAACGTGTTAAGGATAGTGATCAATGTTTAAGAGTGTTAAAGAAAAGGTTAATAGTTTGTCAGTTATACTATTGTCCTCAGAAAATCATCCAAAATCGTATGGAAATAATGCGTCTGTCTATACTGCTCATCATTACTATGAATAATAGTAATAATAATACTACTAGCAACGATGACGACAATAACAACAGCAACAACAACAGCAGCAGTAGCAGCAACCAACGTAGAAACAGAAAGAGACAGAAGAAAAAGAAGGTCTTGATTCGAGCTATGACAAGCTGCTCGGAATGAATGGAATCGTTTATTGATGAGAAATAAGATAAGGCCGAGTGTACATCATTAGATGAAGACGGCAAGTTTTGTTGATCCATGATAAAAAAAAAATATGGATGTTTCCTAGCAAAAATATACTTAGAATTGTGGCTATTTGTTTTTGTTGACGTTCTCTTTCTTGTTATTATAATTATCACTATAAGGGCAAAGTTTTTAAGATAAAACACAAGAAAAACAAGTGATAATATAATCAGTGAAAAAGGGCATATAGAAACACAAAAACAACTAAATCTCATTGAACGAATATATCTTATCTTATCTTATATTACAACTTACTACTAATAAATAAAAAGACAGTATTCAATGCAATATAGAACATCAAAATAATATTACTGACACAATCCAGCTAACAAAAGGAAAGAGCGGCGAGAAATGAAAAAACAAATGCTGAATGATTCTTTACATTGCTTGAAAAAAATCTTTATCCTATTTATCATGAAAATAAGGGTGCATGATTACTCATTCTATTCAATGATTTAGTTTTATATGGTTTCGACGAACTGACTGATCTAATAGACATAGCAAGTGTTCTTCTATTATCTTCGATTCTATGGAAAAAAAAGAAAAACTATACTAGCTGTTGACTATTTTATCTTTTACCCAATCTATCTTAATAATATATGTAAATACGTATATACCTTTCTAAAAGAAAAGAAGAATTATAGCTTAAAAGTAGATCAACCTCTTAAAATAGATTGCTATCATAACATTCTGAATAGTATTCGCTGTTTTTATCTACTATTGTTGTAAATATATTTACATTTAATTGTTGGAAATCTCTTTCAGAGGATTTCTAATTTATTTCAGTCAGGAAAATATTTTCTCTTAAACCTGATAATCTACTCATTTCCTTCACAACAAGCTTTGAGAACAGGAAATCGGTGGTAAGCTTGTAGAACACAATAATTGTTTTCGTCTCTCTAATAAAAAGTAAGAATAGCAGAAGAATGTAACTGTGCACGAATAAGTATATATATATATATATATATCATTATTGACTCAATAAACCATTCTTAAGTGAAGCGTTAAAAAATATGTAAGAAACAACTTTATCTAATTTCCATTTCAAGATATTAATATGTTTTCAGGCCTTATAGAGAAAATGCGAAAAGAAATACAGAGAATTTAAGGGAAAAATATTTATTTGACATTAAAAATATCGCTTTTATTTTTTAAATGCCTAGTACAAACAAAAAACTTCTTTGTTTATAATACGTGAACCATGTTAACAATATTTTTAGACTAAATTTTAGATTTCAATGGCATTAATTAAATTTCAAACGTTTTCTTTCCACATACATATTTTAATACACTATTATATTATATATCAGTGTGTTCTATTTTTGCCGTATGCCATTGAATTGGAAATGTATGCCATCTATCTAGACAATATTTTTCTGTTGGCTACAAAATAAAGCTGATGATCAGTCAACCTCATGATTATCGTTTATCCTAGTCACGATACACGAGAACCTTTGAATCTAGATCATTTGAGTCATTAGCTAATTTGAACTGCTTTTTTTTTGCTATTATATATTTTCAATTATTGATTATATACATACAGAAAAATAGAATTAACTACTTGTTTATTTGTCAAGTGTTGTTTTTCTGTTTTTGTTATTTCAATTTTACATACGTTTTTATAATTTTATGAAGCAAATGGATGCTATAATACCTGTCGATACACCAGAAATCAATGGTACTGCTTTAAATCAACCGTTTCGTTTACGTACTGATAGTATAACAAGAAGTTCATCAATAGGCGAAAGGGAACCTCAATCAGTTGATATCATTGAACCTGTTGTCAGGACAACTTATTCATCATCCGGTGGATTTGATGTACAAAGTGTTTATCAGTCATTTATTACTGCATTAAAGGAATCTCAAAATCCAAAATCACCCATTGGTACACAAGAATATATAAATGGCTATCGAGAATTGTCAAAGTAAGTTTCTTTTCATGACGAATTCATATATTTCACATTGACAATAAAAGTACAAATAAATAAAACATTAGGAAGAAGAACTAATATAATTTATTACTGTTAATTTGTACCGTTAAGAAAATATGACTCTCTTGTTTTTTCCTAATAGATTCTTTGATCAACTGGGCATAGTATTCAAATTTGTTAAAGATGATGTTGTACAAAAATTAACTATTTTACAAGATTTTGTCGATAAAGATAAAGGTGATATAAAACATTTTGATACAATACAGAAAGCTATTGATTATGAAACGGCCAACAATTTAATCAAAACCAATTCAAATAATTTTGCTCGAACCTTATTAAGACTTCATCGTGCTTTAATTTTTATTGAAGAATTTCTTCGAGGTCTAAGTGATCGGCCAGCATCCGATGGTACGGCAGCAATTGCAGCAAGTGCTTATGATTCAACACTATATCATCATCGTAAGTTTAACTCAAAAATATATAGTAAATAAATGCGAAAACCTCGGATTTAAATCAGAGTGTTATGTGTACCTCAAACAGTGAAAAGGTATATTCACTTTGTTTTTCATTTTTTTAGATAGTTTGATCAAAATCAATCTGTCATCAATTAGTTTTACTTTTTGAAGTATACATAACACTCGGATTCAAATCCGATGTTTCCACATTTATTCACAAATGTGATATTGAAGAAATACTAGGCGCAGCATATCTACCCTTATTACGTTGCATCATTTTATAGCTCTTGACGAGTTCTATTTACTCTAAAAAGATTGGTATTGCTCATATGAAAAACAAACAAATATCACACCGACAAATTATCAAGATATATGAGTTTTTCGACACTGTGATACAGAGGAAATCTTGTGAGTAACCTGTTTACCCTAATAATTTAGCATCACCTTGCAGCCCATAAAATTCCCTATCTAATGGTACATGACAGTTGAAGAATTATTTTGATTATGATAAATCTTTTCGTTTGAGAAAAAAATTATAATAAAATCGAATAGGTCACTATTCACATAGAAAATAAGGATATTTTTTGTGTAATTGTTTTCATCTTCGAACTCGACTGAGATATTGATGAGATCATTCTGTGTACAAAATTTCATGACAATTGCATGAGGCTTTCAAGAGTTATCGTGTTAACGGCCGGACGGACACACTGATCGAATCTAGAGTGTACTCACTTTTTAAGTACATAAAAAAGAAAGATTAACTATTTCATCGTTTGACTTTAGTAGAGATCTTTTATTTTTCAGTAGCCAACTCGAGTGGCAGAATTGAGAATTATATTGAAACCAAATCTAACTAGATCACTAACATCAAATAAAAATATATGAATAGAATTCCTTTTTTTTCTCATAGCATAATTTTAGATATTGATGTTCAAACTTTGAATATATTCGAAAATTTTATATAGTAATACAAATTTCTTTATATTTTTAAGTTGAAATTTAATTTTGTAGATAAATCATAGAGATACAATAAATTTTATGAAAATTCTAGTTGTAATCGGGCCTGTTTAGTGAAGCAAAACTCATCAAAAAAATCACTCATTATTTTTGGTGAAATTTTCTTGTTGTCCGAAAAGACAAACTATTTAGAGAAGAATAATCAAACGATTCAGATTCACGTAGTCAGCTTTAAAAACATTTATAGCGTACATATTCAGTTTGAATGTATTTCTATTAGATACTAGTAATTTAAATCCAATTCAACGGATAATTTGTATGATTAGGCTTCATAAAAAAGTATTGATTTTCTTTAGATGGATTTCTTATTCGTACAACAGTCAAAGTTGGATTTCATGCATTGCCATCGCGTAAACAATTGGAAGAGGTAATCTTTCATGGACATAAATCGGAGATGATAGAACAATATAAGATATTTATAAAAACAATCAAACAAATTTACGATAGTATTGAAATCTATTACGCAGAAAAAAATTATTTGCAATTACCTTGAACTCCCTCAAAAGAAAACAAATATATTCGTTTATTATTGACACACATATATATATATATATAGATACATACAAAATATATCAAATATTATTTTATTTATTTTTATCTGTGGCCGTCCAAAAATAATTTTCAACGTTTTTATGTGTATCACCATTTCATTGCTGTAGTTAACATAAATATCAAAAAAAGAAATAACGAAAAGAAATCAAAGATGTATGTTGTAACAGAATAAATTAAATATTGATGTTTTTATTTAAAAATTTATTTGTCTTGTGTTTTCATGTGAATGTTTGTTGAATATCTATGTTGTGTTTTACATGTCGTGCATGGTATTAATTGAGTGTTATTTTTTATTTTTCTGTATATCAAACTCATTATGTGCATGTGTATCGTCATTCCTTTCTAACTTAACAATATCAAGTAATCGGTTATACTTAAAAAAACATAAAATTCAAAGACTTCCTCCTGATCAAATAATTATGAATTTTGTCTTTATAAGTCATTACTTCAGCACATATTATTGTTAGAACAAATCTAAAAACAAATTTTTATGATTTCGAATTTTTCATTCTTTGATCAACGAATACTTGTGGCATTCTATTTGTCTGATTACATCAATATTGACGTCAAATGAAACCTTATCTAGCATTTTGTCATAGACTAATTTCTCAGCGTAATTTAAGGAAAGATTATAATTTGTTTTTTTGTGTTGTCGCTTTTGTAACAATTTTCAATTCATCAAGATAAAAAAAATGATGTTTGTGTGTGCATGTGAATTGAATTAAACAGCAAAAAAAGAGAGAAGCGACAAACGTAAAACTTGCTAGAAAAATACCAAACCACTTGAAAATTAAAACGCAGGAATAAACGAAGAAAAAAGGGGAAATGAAACAATGCAAAAAAAGCAAATTATAGGAAGTGAACGCCTTTGCACACATCATATACGAGTACATTGATAATATGTTTTTATCCTTTTTTTCTTGATCATATAGTTATTATTGTTGATAAGAAAAGGAAAAATAAAAGGGATTTAAAAGAAGCAATAACGACGACAACAAAATACTTGATGTATGTGAATGATCAAAATTGAGAAATAAGTTTGTGTTTTAACTAACGCAAAGCGAGAGCATAGGAAACATGAAATATAAACACGAAAAAAGCACAAAAAATTCATCACTTAAAATAATTAAAGAAATATTAGCAGGAAAACTTGAATCTTTGAATAAGAATAAACATGATGGGTTAAAAACAAGAGAAATAAAAAGAGCACACGCGCATAACAAAATCACTTAATCATTGTTTCTTTTTTTGTTTTGTTTTAATATACTAAACTAAGAGGGAAAAGGATCGTTTTCATATAGTACTCAAATTTTTATATGGATAATTATAATATGAATAAGAATTAGTAAGAATAGTAATACTTGCTCTTGCTTAGAGTGCGGAGAAACACCGACGAGAAAAAGAGATAAAGCAAAACGACGTACAAAACAAAACGACAATTATTCTTTTTTGACCAACGAAACTAAAACACTTTTATGCTTTGGCTGTTGTACCTCCGGCATGCTCTGAAGTAGGTGTTGGGTTATATCCTGCACCGCTACGTCGTTTTCGTATAATTAAGATAATCAAACCGATGAGAAGAAGTGCAACGATTGCTGCGACGATGATTATTATCGGTAACCAACTAAATCCTTTCTTAGTGGGTTGAGTATTAGTATCATCAGCAGTGGCAGCTGCATCTGCGGATTGATCTGAATCTGAGTGTGAACCATGTTCTTGACCTCCTTCTCCATCTTTAGAAGCTTCATTTCCATCACCTTCTTTATGAGTTCCATCACCTTCTCTATGGGTTCCATCACCTTCTCTATGAGTTCCATCACCTTCTTTATGAGGTCCATGTCCACCATGTTGATTATCACCACCTGTGACGCCTTTTTCTGATTCACCATCTTCTTCTTGGTTTGTTTCTCCGGTTTGTGAAGCCGAATCTAGAATATTACAATATATATATATATATATATAATTATACTTAAATATTGATATCTATATAATTTCATAAATATCTTTGTGTTTATGTAATAAACATGAAAAATCCAAATATTATTGATAATTCTCGAACATTAATGAATCTTTTTTTTATTTTATTAGAAGTTTCTTTCAAAATAAATCTTATGACTATCAACTATAACGTAAATGTAAGCATTATAATTGCTGTAAATGCTGTCTTTCATTCTATTAAGTACTAATCAGTGTTTATCTATAAGTGTATCATCATGAAACAACAATTCTACGTACATATCTATGAAGAATCTATGTTCTGTTATTTCTTTTAGTAAAAAGCCATAGCTTACGATTCAGTTCTACAGAAACTGTCATTGTTTATCTTACCTGGATGATGAGGATTTTGGTCTTTTTGAAAATTATCGTCTTCATCACCATCTTGACCTTGATCGGTACCTGCCGTAACTGTTGGATGAGCAGGTGGCATTCCGTCTTGAGACTTATCAGCTGATTCTTGTGCTGTTTCACTTTCTTGGTCAGATGATGGCTGTGCGTGTTGTGGTGAACCTTGTCGAAATTTTTCTTGATCTTGACTTGCTACTTGAAATGGTGCAGTGTATACCTTTGGTTCACGTGGCCGTAAAGCATCGCTACCATCTAAACGTTTTATGGGCGATGGCGTTTTAAATGTACGTGTTGCTGCATCAAAATTATCTCTAATTGCTGCACATGAAGATTGTTCGCAATTCTGTGCATCACATGGATATCGACCAGATGCAGTATCCAAATAAGCTGATACACATGTACATGTATATCCATTAGGAATAGCTAGAAAAAGGAAAAGGAAATATTTGTTTGTTTGTTTTGTTAGATTGAGTTTTACCTTGTACAGCTACTTGTCCATTTGCTAATTTGCCAACTAAGTCACATTGTTCTCCTTCGTTAAGTTTGTCTACGTTTGTTTCAAATTCTTTAACATTAGGTAGATTATTTAAAAGTTCTAATGATGGCTTTGCATCTTTAATTGTTAATTTTTCTAAATTATGTAAACCGTCTAAAGCATGCGGATCAATTTCTTGATCAGTTGTAATTGATAAAGTATGTAAATTTGGATAGTTTCGGAAAGCATTGGCTGGTATACGTTCTTGACTGTAGATGCGTACTTCACCCAAATTCGAATAATTTGGTGGATGTTCACTAGTAAAATCGGTGACATAAAACGCATTGATAATTAATTCATGCGCTGGATAAGCAGGAAAATTTTGAACTGATAATTGTGAAGCTTGTTTAGCTAATTCTAAACGTCCAATATTTCCTGTGAATGGTTGCGATACATCTGAACGTATGTCGCCTCCACTTAAACGTAAAAATTTAATGTCGGCACCATTAAACAACTGTTGAAATGTTCCACGAAACGGATATAAAACATATAATTCTAATGAATCAACATTTAAATTAGCAAATAAATGTGCATTATCATTTGGTTGAACAAGTGGATTATAGACTTCTAATGCCTAGTTAGATGAAGAAGAAAAACAAATATGTGTTATTTTTGTTGTAAAAACAATATTCTTCTATTTTCATTTTATTTACCATTATTTTTCGAACTGTTGATGGTAGATTATCTGGAAATACTTTATTGAATATACTTGGTGATGACAAATGAAGTTCGGAAAATTTTTCAAATTTAATACGAAATTCTAAATTATCCGCGGCAGGTTTATATAATTGTTTGACCGGTTCAAATGTATAGTCATGAACAGTTTGCGCACGTTCACCGTTAATAACTAATTCGACAGATTGATATTTTTGTTGTTCATCTTGTAACACTTTAATTGACGATGGTAAATCACGATCACTTGTACATGTTACACGGTAATATGTACATTTACAATCGAAACCTTCTATAGCGTGACAAGTTTCGGGTTCATTTTGTCGACGTACAATTGATTTTCGAAGTAATGATGTTGATGATAATGACACAAATAATATTAAAGATAAAAAGACTGTACGCAGCATTGTATTGCTAGTTCTATTTTTGAATAAAAAGAAAATAAAAGAGCCTTTTGTTGGTCTATTCAAATTTGAAGCGAAAAAAACTCATTACCTGGGAACGTGTTGACTACGAACGAGGTGGATAGAGGAAGTAATCAAATATATATCTGCACAAATATGCAATTGAACTAATAGAATAAATGAGAATGTCGATCTTTAGACCGACTAATAAACCAAATCTATGGTAATAAAAAGATAAGATCAATCATTTATTAATCTAAAATAAAACATACTATCTTTGTCTAATAGAACAGTTGATGCATTGAAACAAAAAAATGCTAGAGAAGTAATCTGAAAGAGGAAAAAAGTGTATAATTATTAATATAAGTTTATCTGCATCTTATTATGCATTGATCGTAAAATCTATGAGCCTGGAAAATATAAGAAGAAATATATGGACGTATATTTATAAAAGAAGTCTGTCTGCCATTCTCTTCTCTCTTCTTTTTTTTTTCTTCGTCTAAATTACTTTGGTAATCATCTATCAATGAATCCATCTCTCTCTTTCGATGTTGCTCATTTCTTGGTACGCCGATATTAGTCATATTTGAGCGGATAAATGGCGAGTCGATTATTATTCTTAGTTGGCAGGATATCAGCGTCGGCATACTCAGACAGATCACACACCTAGAACATACTGTGAGAGTAACATTTGACGTACACCATACAGACACACAATAAAATACAGAGAATATATGAAGCAATCGTTGATCATAGTGAATGAATAAAGAGAGAAAGAACGCGAGCAGTTCAAAATGTGGGAGCGACAGGGCTGCACTTGTCCTTCCTGCATACGTTCAATTAGTTTGCTTGCCCATCGGCAGAGATGATGTTGACGAATGGAATAGTTAAAAGGAAAAAAAAAGAAAATCGAAAATTCAAACGTAAAGTGTTGTAAAAGTACAGAAGGGTAAAGGTAACGAAAGAGAAACAGAACATTTGTTTCTTGTCAACTCAATCTTGTCTTTGTCTTTGTCTTTGTCTTCATCGACTATTGTAAACAAAGTCGCAGTGTTTAAAATAGATAGATACTTTCTTCTTATGTCTCGTATTCTCTGCTGTTTGCTCTACTATCATTATAAATGTGTGTATTTTACATAATGGACATCTAGTTGAGAAGGAAAAGAGAAGAAGAAATAGAGATGAAGAAAAATGAAAGGTGCTGCGGTCGTTACTGCCGCCGCCGCATCAACTTCTTCGTTGATGATGGTTACGATCGTTGTGGTATTAATGGTAGTGTCGGTGTTCTACAGTGATTACAAGCTAACATATAGACTAAGAAAAAAATTGTAGAAAGAGAACGGCTCTGTTCTTTTTCTTTCTCTCGACTCGCAATTCTTTTTTTATTAGCCTATTATTCAGTTTGACGTCCAAACAGAGACGAATGTCGATTAGGCATTTTATGTGTTAATATTGATGCCATTGCGCGGGTTGTCTGTGATATTCTCTCGTCTAGCTCTCATCTAGACTCATCATCACCACGATTTAAGAGAGAGAGAGAGAGAGAGAGAGAAAGAGAGAGAAAGAGAGAGACAACGAAGGACAAAATAAATCAAAAAAACAAACGAAGAACGTGCTAGTATCATATTAAACCGCAAGAGAATATCAATCTTTTGTAGGTTAAACAAGACATCGCAATACTACAAAGATAGATTGTTTTTTTCTTCTACATCATCAATTTACATGAATATGAGTTGACGGTTAGTTTAAGTTATTTTGTAGTCTATCTATCAACAATGAATTATTAACTTGGATTTTCTAATTGTCAAATAAAAGCTAGAACAAAAAAAAACTTGTATTCGCGTCTTCTCGAGGTTAAATTAGTCGTAAAATATTTTATTAATACCGCTTTGTTTCTCTAGGCTTATCTCTCTATATATAAATATATTTTTTTTGTAGATTCCTTGAATGATCAATCTACCAAGAAAGTAAAGCTGTTATTTCGATAAAGACACCGGCATAAAAGAAAAAATTATTAACAATAAGTGCTGACACAAGAAAAATTGCTCTCTACATGATTTATGATCCAACTGGTAATTCTTTAGAATGATTCTTGACTATAGAATTACGAAAATTGTCATCATTTTTTATAAAAATCTAATGAAATATTTCTATCAGTAGTCAAAAAATAGTATTCAAAGTGGTGAAAAATTTTGTCATCTGACAGACTTTGTAAATTTCGAAGGTATATTATAAAAATGGGGGTACCAAAATTAGCAAAATCTGACAAATATCAGCGTTAAACCGAGAATAATTTTTGATATTTTTCAGCTAATTGTCTCTAATAGCTAAAAACGTTTTTCAACAAAATTAATTGGCAAAGAGAAGCCTCTAAAATCTGACGAATAGAAAAACTTATTGATCACGCTGCATGCTTATTCTTAACGAGTTATAAAAATATGACAATGAATTCTTAAAGTTATAACAAAACTAGAGTAGTAAATTAATACTTTATAATCATAGTAACGAGTTACCAATTAGATTAAAGATCTCATTGCATGCAATATATACGAATGATACTATTTAATCTCATGTTGATACTTCTACGAGAAACCATTTTTATGAATCCTATGTATTGTGTGCACAATGAAGGTAAATCATTTGTCGATAAGCTCACATATAACCAATGGTATTCAAAATATTAATTACCTTTATTTGCTTCAATATAACTGAAGCAAAAGCGAGCAGATGGAGAAATAGAGCCTTCAAAATACGTGCTTGTCGATTGAATATGTGTGTCCTCGAATCTGTAAGCAAGAAAAGAAGAAAAAAACGCAATAACGATGAGGAAATATGCGTCAGCTGCAGCTCTTTTATACAGAACTTCGGTCTCAAGATACACACATACGCACAGGCATTCAAGTATATATATAAGTGCATGTATAAATGAGACACGCCAATGTTCTTTAACACCAATGCATGCACAATAGTGGCCAGAAGGATGGCTTATCAGCACTCATAGATGTGTACTATGCCAATGTTTGAAAAGGGTGGAATCTTTCCCTCGTATTATTTTTTATCATGAATGAGAGAGGGTCAGAACACAACAGAGAGGAAGAGAAACAAAGAATATAAGCAAAGAAAATGACCTTTACCAATAACATCGGTGTTCATGTTGGCAGCCGATCGACGCGTCCATTTTACTACCGATGATGGAAAGCGATGATCCATTCACCTCATGTAAATATACTATATCTTTAGGTGATTACTATTGTTGCCATTTTTTGTAACGAAGTCTGGCTCTTATCTTGATGCTTCAAAGAAAATATATGTATAAGAAAACAGATAGAAACGGAGAGACGAACAAGGAGATTAAAGATTCTGGTTATTTAGTCTTAGTAATATTATAATTATAACAAAATAAAAAGTAAATTTAATATTATAGATTACTTTTTCTTCTGTGTTTTTTTTGTCTATGATCGATCATAAAACTATTACACAAGAGAAATTGCCTGGAGAATATATTATCATATGTATATATCTAATATGATATATGTTTGCTGTTCTTCGATTTTATTATATATATATAAATCCACATATGCATAGACTTTTCTCATGAGTAATATGAGATGGTGGTAGTTCAATTAGTAAAAACTACTTAGAAACGTCTATAACGAAATGTCAAAGAATCAAATAAGATAAGGGACTTCACTTTTTTTTCTTTAGTGCTCTACTACATAGTTCCATGCAAAATATGTTTATCAAGGGATTTAAACTCAAATATGCCTTCCAGACACAATAGATAATGAAGCCAATCAACCTTATACAATATTTTATAGTTCTTATTCATCTCCTATGTGGATCTAATAACAATAGCCTTCTCTTGTTTAACCTATCTCAAATGCATTCATCACATACACATAAAAATGTAATATGATCGATAAATCAAATGATGACGGCGGGAAACATAGAGAGTGAAAGAATACGACGGCAACGAAGAAAAAAAATGACAAACATGAGTTTCTCTCTCCTGTTAATATCGTCACTAACATAAGCGGAAATCCAATTTTCTTACTTACCATTATCTGTTATTAAAGCAAAAGTCTTCATCATGATGCAATAAGAAACAATAGGATGTGTATGCTCTCCCACCCTTATTCATCTCCAGTGCCTATTGATAAACAAGCACGTTCCGTCTCGCTGCTATTTCCTCCCTCTTATTATAATATCACAAAAAAAAACTTCTCTTTTTTTTCTGAACATCTTCATACATCAATATTTTCTAATCAATTTAGAGAAAAAAACCTATTCGTTTCGTGTTCATTATGAAAGAAACAGAGAAATAAAGGAGGCCATTACTTTTTATGATGGCTGAAGGACAATAGTAACAATTACTTTCTATAATTGTCAAACTGACGTGAATAAAAAAAAAAGAATCTGACTACTTGGGAGCCTTTGATAAAGTGAGGCACACATCGAAATTGTTAAATATTGATATAACTCTATGACAGTCGGTGAGAAATACATTTGTCAACGTCCTTGAAAGAGCTAATTTATTTTTTTCTTGGTGTATCAAAACTCTTATATAAATTATACTTATGTGTTGATCGCTAAAAATAGATATTTTATATATCCAGTACTCTGATATTATTACATTGATTTTCTTACATAATAATTCTGATTAAACTTTACCTTACTCTATTATGGATATCGACAGAGCGTGCTCACATTGAAAACTTACTCGAGATGATGATAAATCATTGGCTATTTGCCTCCATTTTGATTTCACATAAAACAATATATTCTATGAAAAAATGTGTTTCTATGAAACTTCTAAGGTTGTGACCTTATAAAGTCATAGACAAAATTGAAATCACTTACTATGCACCGTATTCAAGGTTAAGGGCACTTACAAGCAGGCTGTATGAGCAGAGGGTAAAAAAGCAAACCAAACGACTTTCGTGTATACTCTCGTAATTGTCCTTGGAGAGCAACGAAAAAAGAGTGCAAGAAAATCAATTTAT